AGCTACACCCCTTTCGACGTCTGCGCCCTCCTGGTTGGGTGAGACATCGACTCAGAGCGTGAAGTTAGCCGAGGTTCGTCGACCGTCGGTCTATTAAGAAGTAGTTGTTCGACGGCCGTGACACAAAAGACCTCATCTTGACATACTACTTACATCCGACACATCCCTCATCATCGTTACCCCTGTTCACACCATCACATACACCCTTATCGTCATCTGGACCTGCCCGGATCCTTCGCAAGTGTCACGGCCGTCGAGCAACTTCTTCCTTATAGACCGACGGTCGACGAACCTCGGCTAACTTGACGCTTCTGAGTCGATGTCTCACCCAACCAGGAGGGCGCAGACGTCGAAAGGAGTGTAACTACGGCGTACTTCGGCGTAGTTACTCTAACTAAGGCTTTGTTCTATTGATGGCGATGTATCTCGATGTATAGCTATCTCTATTTGTCTTTTACTACTGACAACAATCAAGGATCGCTGAAGAACTTCAGCGATCTTCTCAGCTAATATTATCTACTCCTCCTAGACGTTCATCCAACCCTCTCGCGCTTTGACGTACTTCAACGCACTTCGTCCAACTTCCCCGAGCCCTCGGCCATCCTCTTCCTCCTTCGACTAACTCCGCCTAACATCGCCGCACTTCTGCTCCCATTGTCCCGTACTTTAGCCTAAACTCCGTCTAACTTCGCCGTACTTCTGCTCCCATTGTCCCTACTTAGACTAACTCCGCCTAACATCGCCGCACTTCTGCTCCCATTGTCCCTACTTAGCCTAACTCCGTCTAACTTCGCCGTACTTCTGCTCCCATTGTTCCTACTTAGCCTAACTCCGTCTAACTTCGCCGTACTTGGTGTCAGAAGTCCTGAGTTACGTGTAGAGTAAAAAGGTTAAGGCGTGATGGGGTTTTGATGGCCAAAGGAGGGTCATTGTTGGTGGAGTAATCGAGGTGTCGCGACGTAGTTCGTGACAGCAAGTCACTTTAGCCGTCCGACTATATCACAAGTCTACGGACAACATACTAACCGTCGTTGTCCGAGCTAACTAAACAATTGCAGTCCACCTGTCTTTGATTCATCGAGGTCTGCCAAGGACAGGACCGTGACAGTATGGTTTGACATCCGTACCTTCGATTATCCCAAGACATCCATGGATAAGGAGATAGTTTTCAATGGCAAGTTTCCAATCAAAGTAGTTGCTTTGACTCGATAGTACGGGTACAGATTTGAGACCGATCGTAGTCAAACGATCATGCGACATTGTGCTTTAAATTTAGCTTATGAATTGTATTACAATAATAGACTCTCGTAGAGGACTTATCGTACGCAAGACGTACACCAGAGGCCTCTACTGTGTACGCCACCAGCACGGACTGGATTTTATACGTCTACGAGGCGACGTCTACGTCACAACCGAAGCTGGACTGTCCTTATTCTACTACACCAGTACGGTGTGTCGTGTACGATTTGTCGTACGGTTCCCGATGTCTCGTCGGGTCGGTTTGTATGCACGTTCAAGTGCGTACGATCGGTGCGATATCTTCACTATATTCAGAGGTACTGAGACTTTTAATCTATTTGAAGTGTACGACAAATACAAATACGATGATGGTAAAGAATAACATCGAAGGCTACAGAATAAAATCGTATAACCAATCTGTACCGTTATGTGGTATTACTTACACAGTTTGTGACAAGTTGAAATAGAAACTTGCCTTAGTTATACACAGAGGTATGTGGACTTTCAACTGTTAATATTGAGATGATAATCCAGAGGGGGAAAAGAGCATACATCAATTCTACATGTCTCTATACTTATCACATTCCACTTACACGCAGTAAACCAGAGACAATCGAATCAAGTTCAGAGGATAAGTTGAAGGGAGAAATATTCCACGGAAGGGGTAATTACAGTATTTAATGGCGGTTTGGCCGTCCTGGACCAATCCTGGACCAATCCTATGGGCTAACAACTTTTGTCTCACGAAACCAGCTTACTGACCTGTTCCGAGCCACAACTCACCCTCTTCCGGTCGTTGCTCTATGGTATCTCGAGCTTCAACCGTTACACCGAGTGAATATATCGGCCTTTTGATAGGGGATGAATCAACTCACTCAGAGTTTTACCTCATCTTATTCTTACCCATTTCCGCACGGATCGCCTCAAACCCATGCGACGCTTGATCGTGTTGGCCGTATGGGGATAGTCCGTTTGGTTTTATCAATTCTACTCTAAAATTTTCCGCTGAAAACCCATTTCCGTTGATAGATGTGGAGTTTGAATTAAGTTGAAGAAGGCTAATAGGTTGGTAAATGGGGAATTTAACCAGTATCCATCTACTTGACTTACTCTCTTCTACTCCGACCATACTTACCCACCTCTATCATTGACAATATGTCTACCTCCATGTCCATGATTACTAGTCATCCCTACTGGAGGCGTGTTGATTACGAGATATACCCTTCGGATGGTCGTACAGTCACTAAGTGGGTCTTGGAAGGGATAGATGACTTGTCCTTCCCCTTTCTGATCACAGACGCAAAGATCTCGGTGCTTCTGGGTGAAATGGATAATGATGGGGAATGCCATCTGATATTTGCAACATCGGTCAGTTTGCTATGTCTTTTGTGGCTGAATGTTGACAATCACAGTTTGATGCAAATCGGAACAATCATGATGCAGAGACCACACCTGATTTAATCTGTTACATGAACACACCCCAGATTCAAAGCACAGCTAAATTGTACACAGACAGACCAAAAGAGGAGCTGAGTATGTTAGCGCCTCTGCGAATCAAGACTATCTTACCTGTACACAAGTACTCTATTGACCAAAAAGACTCGATGTTGACTGAAGTGGCTCTAACAGCTTGGCTCTGGTGTCGAGCAGTCCATCAAAGTCAATACATGAAGTGGCAGGCTATTACATACTGCTCTCGGCTATCTCACCAAAAGACGCGTACAAAGAAGCAATCTGACTCCCAACATGATACTCGAGTCACTCAAGCAGCAGTGACCGGAAGTGATTCGTTGCCAACGGATTCATTGTTTTTGACATGGCAATCGTGATTGCCTAATTCAAATGTTCGATTTTGTTCCTGTTATGTGCAGTGAAGGTATGCATACTTGCATAGTAGATGATGGAATGCATTGCATGAGAGAGAGATACATTCCCATTCCGCATCTCCTGGTCCGTCCGCATATGCTCCTTCAGTCAAAAACCAAGTCACACACTTAGAGGATCTCGTGGCCATATCATTCTCCTCGGATACGCACGCTCGGAGGTTTCGCTCTTTCAGTCGCAGGCGATTATCCGTAGTGGTGTACACAATCAGCCCCGAGGTCTTCACGTCTTCTCGCAATCGTAGCTTTCCTCTTGATAGTCCCGTAGGCGTATTTGTCTGCAGTATTGTATCGATAAGATGCTTGATCCCCCCCCCCCCCCCCCCCCCGTCCCCCCCGTGAGTAAGTAGATCAACACCGATTTAGTCTCCGCATCAACTTCTCTCGATCATCCTGAGTATCTTCGATCGGCTCGTCTCTCAGTCAGGTGAATGTCAGTATTGGGGAGGGCCCGCGGTACGATCGTGATGGTGCTAAAGACATGCAAAACAGCTCGCCAAAACGTGTGCAGCGAGATTCTTCCAAAGGACAGTAAAAGAATAGGTATTGCGGGAATGAGGCAAAAAGTGACTTGTGTATATAGTTTGAGAATGAAAATGGTGTATATCCCCAACTGCTGCCATCTCGAATGGAAATCACACAAACAACCCAGTCGAATAATTCAAACTTCCTCCTTCGTTTCTCTGTATTTCATCCGCTCAACTTTTCTACGTCCTCTCGCAGGTCCTCAATGTCAGGATCGGGGCTGTCTAGGCGTTCGACGTCGGAAATGTGGAATCGGTTTATGAGGCAGCCACGGGCGCAGCGGGTAGTTCACCAGTCACTGGTCCTTCCGCCTCGCCTGCGCCAATGTCACCGAGGTTGTGGAAGTCTGCCAATCAGCATCAGGCCCAAGTTGACTGTCACGTCATACAAGAGTATGGAGAGGACAAGGGATCGGAAAGGGTACGCCACAACCACTCACCCAGGATCTCACTATACATCATCACCTTCCATGTGTCCACTGGCAGGTCCGCATCGTTGAAAGACCAATCAAAGACTTCCGCGGCGACGGGTTCGTCGGAGGGATCGTGGTACGGGGCCAGATACTCATGGGAAAGCCCGTCGGCAGCTGAGACTCGGGTACGAGGATCGAAGACAAGCATCTTCTCCAGTAAATCAAGGGCTGGAATACATCAGCGCTGGCAAATATGGATCTATCGTGCCAGATCGCCTCCAACAGCGCGTGAACAGTGAGATGTGTGCCAGAAGGAGGCATACTCACAGATAGGGTCGGCATTCGGAAACTTCGAAGAAAATGGAACTTTTTCCCTTTTGGGCAAGCTTTGCACGAACCGCAGGGTCTACTCCGGTAAGCGAAAATCTAGTTGAGAGAATGATGTATCACAACTGACGTTTTCACTGGCGATAGTTTGTATGACATCGTCTGGTGGTGTGCCAAGGAGCTCGGTGATGATGGAAAATTGATTGACGTCTATGCATCAGCAACAATCAATCTGCAGCGTGTTCGTGACTGACGATCTTTCCCTGGGAAGAGGGGCTTTCCCTCTAACATCTCGGCGAAAATACAGCCTGTGCTCCAGATGTCGACTGTGCGCATCAGCACAGACTCTATGAATCGTGGTCGCGCATAGGATACTCACCGGCCACATCATACTTCTGCCAAGTTAACATAATCTCCGGGGCGCGGTAATATCGCGTAGAGACGTATCCCGTCATTTGAGGGTCTTGAATTCGGGCCAATCCAAAGTCGCAAATCTTCAAATCGCAATTCTCGTTGACGAGAATATTTGATGGTTTCAGGTCACGATGGACAACGCCGGCGGAGTGAACGTATTTGAGACCACGAAGGATTTGGTAAAGGAAGTACTGGATGAACTGTTTTTCAAGCGGGCGAGAGGTGAGCAGTCGGTGGAGATCGGTACCAAGCAGCTCTGTGACGAAGTATCTCATGGTCAGCATGGGGTCTCCTGGGGTAGCGACTGCGGACCGCCTCCGGTTGTGAAGCGGGAGAGAAGGGGGAAGAGGCGACACGCACATGTCTTCTAATGGTGATATGAAAATGTCGCTCAATGAGATGATCTGCAGATCAGTATGTGCACCTGAGAGATATTAAAGTATTGAACGACTGACATTCTCATGCCTCAGATGTTTAAGAAGCTTGAGCTCCCTATATGTCCGCTTGCTGAGTACAGGAGTGGAGAAAGGCTTCATGATCTTTTTGATAGCGACAGAGGTGTTGGAGAGTTGATCCTTTGCGGAACTGAAGGGTGTTAGCCACTTTCTGGAGAAGGGAGCTCGATGGGACACTTACCAGACGAGTCCGAATGCGCCCATACCGACCGGTTGAAGGTCTACATATCGCGTGGTTACCTCGAACACCTGTGTACATCAGCAATGGGTTGACTTATCACAGACCTGGCATCGCTGGGGAACAGAAGGAGTGAAGAAGGTGATAATGGGTGAGGTCTGGGAGGTAGTAGAAGACTTACTGTACCAAAGATGGAAAGCTTTACGAAATCCGCCATGATTTTACCAGAGACGGGCCACCAGGCTTTAAATCTGACAGTCTGGTGGGGGAACGAATACCAAGGTGGGTTTGTTATCAAGTTGGGATGAGTTTGTACATTGGGAGATGAGAAGCCAATGTTTTGTGAGAGCAGCATGAGTGAAAGTAGGGTTTGAGAATGTGGGAAAAGCGCGTAAAGAGGGGAAAGATGCGTGAGCTCTCTTCGCCACATCGTGCAGTAGTAAAAGGCTTACATGAAGATTATCAAAAGTGCCGTACTATTTGTCAATTGACAATTGACGACCTTGATGTTCCTTGAGATGGTTGACAAAGACTTGTGATATGTTTCTTGACTATTGAGAAAAAGGCTTTCGATGAGGTGAAAGAGACCCCGATGTAGGATAGACGCTTCGGGCGGCGGCGATCAGAGCGGAGCTCGTCCACACGGTCTGGGGAAGAGACAAAGGTGAGAGTGAGAACACCTGAGAAAGGACAGGTAGAGCTGGAAGGACTAACCCCCAGCGATGTACGTGTTTGGGTTGAAGAGATGAGAGGGGCTGATATGAGAAGATATGAGGAAAGATGATGGGAGGGTAGTGGGAAGGGTGTGTCTGTAATGGGTTGGAGGACGGCGTGGCAGACTGGGGTACAACTGCAACCGGAACTTCTATCCTCGGCGTTATACGATTGAATTCCCGATATTGGCAGTTTATCCACTTACGATAAGAAGAGTGAACCCTCAGGTTTTGGTGTGCCTCGAAGTGGGCATCGCTTGCACAGCGTGACACATGATCACTCAAGAACAGGCAAGCTAACGTCAGATGCAGATGCACGAGTCAAGCAGGATCATCCACCTCTACTCGCGATGACAAGTCTATCCGATGTCCATGTCCCACAACTTCTCTTCCTGATCTGTTCATTTGAAGTAAGGGTAATCCCTCTCCTGATTCATCTGAGTGACCTAAACCGAGCCATCCCGCTTTGAGACCGTTGGAGATGACCGTCTCTAGCACTCGTTCCAGTTTCTCACTCCTGGTCATTAGCCACTCCTCCTGTGACGTGCCACATGTAACGAGCTACCGGCCACGGGTCACCGGTCACGGACACACTGCCGAGAGAACGTTGATCACGATGTGCTTAAAACTCTCTCTGATGGTGTCACGGAATCGAGTGAGGTCATAGAGAGTCAAAGTAACATAGGGCGGTGATAGAAACGTGAAGAATTTACTGACCGCTCTCTCAAGTCATCCACTCCCTCCCTCCAAGTTGCACTCTCCAACAGCCCTCGTATACTTTTCACGTCTTCTTCCAAATTATCCAACCTCTCATGTACCTCATCCCGTCGTCTCGTCTCTTTCCGTGACGACCGCCATGTTTCACCCACTATCAATCCTGCGCCCACCAGAAAGAGAAATGATTCAGCTAGAAAAGTAGCTCCGTTTTGTATGGCACTATCCATCAGCATTTGCCCTTCCTTGTCAAGTCATCAGTTCAGAGGACCCTACACGTCCCATTGAGATAGATCACCCTGACCACGTGCCCCTTCACGGGATAGAGTGAAGGTAGGTTGTTAGCAGTAGTAGTTCTTATGAGACCGAGTAAGTACCGAAAACGGAGTAAAGCGAGTTCAATACAACTTACCGAACATCATTCAGAGGCTTGATATTCTTCGCTTCTTCATTCAACAACCCCAATCTCATCCTAGCTTCTGTTCTATGCATAGACTATTCCGTCAGCTCTATGTCTTTACTGAGAGAATGGCGAGTTTACCTGTGCAAGACCTATACAAACACTTCGAAATGTTGGATGTCTGATACTTCAGCTTCGACCACAACTGTGTATATCCTTCCCAGTTGCTTTTAATGTTGAACAACGAAATCGAGATTGTTCCGAAGACACATGCCTCCTTCCATGCAACAAGCAACATTACCTGGAGCGGCTTCCGAATGTTGGTGGAGGACGACCAAGGAAGGGGATACGGTGTTTTGTCACGAGTTGGTAAGGAAGTTCACTCACTCGGCCGCTTGATTCTTTATGGTGGTAGAAATTGGTTTCGCCAGTGTCTATTCATCAGCCCACCATACACATCCTTCTCCCTTCTCATCGCGTTTTCCAGCGTCTGTTCCAGAGGTTCGGACAATTTGAATGAGATAGAGGTCAAGCCGGACTCACCCGGATGGCCAAAGTCAGGATCTTAGCAGAAGCCATCCCTCTCTATATCCCACCCATTCAAACCTTCTTTCCTAGCTTTATTCCTCCGTTGTCGCAGCTCTTCTCAAACGCAGCGAAATGGCCATAGACGCTCGTTCCCCCGGCAACTCCAAGTCGGAGCCCCACCCAAACTTGATTAGGCGTGTCTATCTCACACGCCTATCTCGCTTACCGCCACCTGGAAGTCCTGCTTCGTACACGTTTCTAAAGGAAGATGTGACATCATACCCTCTCGTCGCTGGCCTCTGGCATCATGGGATGAAAAGAGGAAGGGGGCATCTTTTCAAGCTCCATATCTATCTTGTCATTCATTAAAGCGTTAGATCCGAATCAAGTTCAACAACATAAGAGAATCTGAGAAGAAATGGTATTTGTTAGAGTGGTCACCAGGTCTGTAGTCCGTGCTAGACCAACGGTGGTGAGTGTCCCTGTCCCCTCCACAACCCTCTCGAAGATAGCTGGACAATTCACCGGGGGACAGAGCTAGGACCGAGTAAGGTAATTAAATCAGAGACAAATCTCTGACGTCGGGGGGTATACACATCTCCTTCTTTGTTCAGAAAGAGGACGCTGACACGACAGAGACAATATGCCACCGTCCCGCCTACTGGAACACCTCCTAAAAGTGACAGTAAGTCGTCCCTTCACTCCTGTCCCGTACAATACACAATACTTGGGACACATCCAATACCAACAATTCGTTGGACGTTGAAGAGTTGTAAGAGAGCGAGGACCTAACCTCAGACACTCTTTTGTACGCCGCCGCGGCCGTAGGTCTGGCCGGCGTGGGTTACTACTTCTTCGCTGCTGGAGGAGATAATGTCGCCAAGGGTAGAGTGGCTCAAGCAGAAGGACACGCCAAGGGAGCGGTGAGCGTTTGGTTCTTCTTTCCTGCCCTTCAGTCTACTCCATGGCTTCGTCTGTTCGTCTAGCATCACGGAGTCTTGGTACTGGGTGTACTTGATGATGCAGGTCTCGTTAAGGTGGGCACGAAGGAGAATGGTTGCTTACTCTTAGGCTTCTGAGTTGAGCGGAGAAGCTAAAGGAGCATACAACGAAGCCAAAGGTGAAGTGAACAAAGCGCTCAAGTAGATCACCTCTTGCAAATAAGGAAGTATGAGGAGACAAGAGAGAGGAAGGGAAGAAATGGAGAACACACGATCTGTCAGTTTGTAAAGTGTGCATGATTGAAGAGATGGATGATATTTTGATCAACGCATTTCGATGCCCATCTCTTGGACGACACGACGTTGGACTTGGTCTTGCAGTACATTGACTTCTGCATTACTTAGTGAACTACATATCAGCCGCCAACTCATTCCATCATTTACGAAGGATGAAATGATCAAAAGTCGACAAGGATGTGAGAAGAAAGAGAGAATCAAGAACTCACCGATCCATGCTTCGATAGTTGAGACGATAGCATTTGCTCTGTCGTCCCGTTTTAGGATGCGTAAAGTCGTCAATCTACTAGTCAGAATTTTGACTCCCATATCCTGTATCTTAAACGGAAATACAAGAAAGTGTCACTTACCAACTCTACAGTCTCTACTAAATCCCCAGCTACATCTCTCACTATCTCACAAAAGTCGTTTTCATGAAATACCTTTCCCCCATTCTCGTCCATTTTCACACTCATCTCCCCTTCTTGTATCCTGCCACCGGCACTGACCGCCCCATGTTCTGATGATGCGGGGACTGACGAAATAGGAAGCCAGAATGACATGTCTTTGTAACACGGTGGATATTTTGAGTAAGGTTTGAACTGAGTGATTTGTCCAGGAGAAAATTGCGAGATGAATCTTGGATCTGTTGACCAGAAAAGTCGGATGTCAGGGATATCGAATAAAACCATTGCTATTCTTTCTAAACCTAATCCGAATGCCCAACCGGCTTTATGACCAACTCCTATTCATCAGCAGATGTATCGATAATTCTTCACATTCATCATGTATACCGAAACCCTTGAGAGGTCATGTTATCAATACAAAAAACCTAAACTCACTCGCTTGATCTAAAGTACGTTGCATGACAACTCCACAACCTAATAATTCTAACCATTCTCCATTCCACCAGACTTCCACTTCATAACTTGGAGTTGTAAAAGGGAAGAAAGCTTCTATCCATCTCACTCTTAATGGCTCACCCTCATGAGTCGCAGATTGTCCAAAAAGTCGAAATATGAGAGAATTCAGAGAATGTTTCAAGTGTTGTGTGATTTCAGCCGCATGAACAGGATCATGTTCTGATTGATAAGGATTATCAGGTCCGACCTTTGTTGGATCTTCAATGATAAGTGGACATTTCTTCAATTCCATAGACAACTTCCTGTTCAATTCCGGTAACACGTCCAGTTCATCTTGAGGCCAAATATGAGTTCCTTCCATTTGATGAAAGACTGGATAATGAGAAGAATCAATTTCATCTCGTCGATAAACGTCCGCAGTGAGTAACCATGAATTTAAATCTTTTCGATATGTTCCAACCTCATGGGCGCTTGTATGTGTTCGTAGCATGTATTCCTTGTTTAGGTAATACGAGTCTGTGAGAGCTCTTCCGGGATGATCTGAGGGAAAACCTAATTCGTCAAAGTTTTCATGAACGGTGACGACGGGAGAGGAGGGTATGATAGACTTGAATGTGGAGAAATGTGATTCTATTATTTGTCGAAGTATGGAAATGGGATGATTGGGTTGAGTGTGAAGTGAACGGGGTAATTTGGAGAGAATAGAGGGAGGAGTGTTGGAGTATGAATCTAGAGGATAGGTCTTGCCTTCTATGAGATAGGGCTGCTGAGGGGATATGGTGGATTGAGTACGACGTCTAAGTTGAGTGAGGGGAGAGGAGAGCGCTCGGGAAATGTATGGTGGTCGGAGGTTGGAGCAGCCCACAAAGACCGTCCGAGGTGACAGAAGGACCATGATGCTATGATCTGGTCCTCTACCTTCTGATCTCAGGCTTATGGCCGGCAGCTGGCAGCCGGTAGGAAGTGTAAAAGTCGAAGGGAAAAGTCGATTCAGAACAGTGAGTGAAGCGAGTGGGATTGGCTCCGAGTAGGAGTAACTCTGTCCGACCAACGGAATTTGTCCTCGTTTCCTCCATCCTCCCTTCCTTTTGCTTCAACTTTTCCATCATCAGATCGCACCTCGGTCCTTCTCCATATACACTTGATTTCCAAGTCGGTTAGTCAAAAATTAGAGAGTGGAGAGTAGGGCTGTGACAAAAATCAGACCCCTCAACGCCCTCAGTCCTATTTGCCTCACCTGGACGGCGTGGCATCATGAATCAAGATGATCCCGACAGCAATATGGACGACGAAATCATCGTCAAAACTCCTGCCAAGTAATTCACCCTTATTCAGTTGGAACAAATGCTGAGTGATATAGAAAATCAGTACCGATAAAAGATCCAGATTATTACTTTCATTTTTACTCTTCACTCCAAAACCAGTGCGTCATCTTATGATCAAAAGTTGAAGTCAACTGATGAAATCAGAGCTAATATGATTGGGGATACATCCAGGACGGGGACTTATAGAAAGGCTATACTTGGGAACTCAGAGGTGGCATTCAAAGATAAGTTGGTATTGGACGTTGGGGCAGGTGAGTTTGAGTGTCTCGCATCTTCCAACCATGAGAAGTCGTACGGTCCTTTGGATCCTCCGACATGAAGAAAAGGTTGCTTATATGATAGGATCTGGCATTCTGTCGTACATTTCTGCTCAAGCTGGAGCAAAGCATGTCATAGCTTTAGAAGCTTCTACCATGGCTGAGAAGATCTCAATTGTGAGTTCTTCTTTCCTCACTCGCTTCTTTGACAAAATGCCCATGCTCGTTACGCAAGTCGTGGGAATTCGCTGATCTTCAAGATAGTCAACGCTGCCAATCGGGGAAATTCGAATTGGCATTTGAAAGATCGAATACGTGTCGTAAAAGGTTTAGTGGAAGATGAAACTGTACAAAAACAAGTTTTGGAAAGTGGAAAAGTGGATACTATCGTTTCAGAACCTATAGGAGTTATGCTCTTACATGAACGTATGGTATGTCATTTTTCCATCATCACACCCTAAGATGATTTCTGTCAAAAAGCTAATCTTGACAGGTCGAATCATTCTTATTAGCTAGAGATTTGTTCTTGAAACCTGGAGGGCAAATGCTTCCTTCGTCTGGACAGATATACTTTTGTCCATTTACCGATGAGGCTATATATCATGAGACTGAGCAAAAGGTGTGTCAACTCATAGTTCCAAAGCCAGGTGATTGATGCCTATAGGCGCAGTTTTTCAACTCGACTTTGTTTGGTGAGTCAACAGTCAAATTTTCCACCGAGGATTTTTGATCCTAGGTACCGATTTCAGAGAATTGTACAACGCAGCAAGGGAAGAAGTCTTTGGTATGTTTTCTTTTTTGACTGTTGGGCTGAGGTAGAGAGGGGGCTGATCTTGACAGCTCAACCTGTGGTTGGCATGTTTCCACCTAATTCACTCCTCTCTATACCTTGCCCACCGGAGACATTCGATTTCTACACCTGCAATATATCCGACCTGTTGAAATTCTCTACGCCATTGGATTTTGTCGTTACGCGGACAGCTTTGATCCATGGGGTAAGTTCTATCTTTACCTTCACCACTAGTCTACAACTCCATCATTGATCATCTTTCCGAGTTGCCGTATTGATCTCTCCTTGACGGTCCTACCTCCATGTCGCAAATAGTCAGTAGAGCTATCAAACATTGTCGTTTGGAGCGATCATTTGGCCGAGTAGAGTGTCTTACCTGACTCCTCAGCTGGCATCATGGTTCGACCTCGACTTCTACCCTAATCCTTCCTCTTCCATTCCTCCTGCTGATTCTTCCTCCACAGAAGGCTGGGATTTCCCCGTTTCCTCATCTCCCGCTTCTTGGCTTTGGGGTACTCAAGATTCCGCTTTAAACCCACCTCCTACTCCCTCTGCTCCCATCAATGGTTTACACGTACGTTTATCCACAGGACCTAACGGTATGTTCTCATCCTCTATATCTCCCTCTGACTGACATTCCAGCTCCAAGGACTCATTGGCAGTACGTTCTACATTCATGTGTAAAATGTCAAATGTCAAGTGACTGATGGTATAGACAAACGAGGTTGATGTTACCTGAACCACTAGCCGTCAATAAAGGTGAAAGGGTGATAGGATCCGTTAACTTCCAAGTGAACGATTCTAGGTCTTATGATCTGACTGTGGAATTATACGTCGATAGACCGGGTTTGACAGCACAACCTAATCCTTTGTATAGAAAAGCGAATTATAATCTTCATCAACAATGTTTCAAGTGAGTGAGATTCGTCTACACAGACATAATTATCATTCCTCATACCTTGACCTCGGTATCAGAAGGAAGGAGAAACGAATTGATGTCGAGATTGAAAGAAGACTGATATAGATAGTTATTCTTATATCCCACCTGAACCCACTATCCCAATGTGAATGAAAGAACGAATTTTTTTATGACTAGGAATTATTGATTTCCTCATCTGCATTCTATCTTGCCATATGCATATCTTGTGTTCATAACCTACCATAGGTTCATCTCCTTACAATGTATGATACGGGTTCTTCACATTATCATACCTCTCGTATAACTACATGCCCGAACCTCCGAAATCCCCATGAAAGTCTTTACTGTTGTTCCTAGACTGAAGCTATGGTATATGAGGGGAGAAGTTGTCATAAATCCACCTTGACTACTAACTCATCTAATCCCCGCTCATCATCATCATTCCCCATGACCACAACTTTCATCCCTACACCCGCACACACACATCTCTCTCCCATTTCAGTCAAAAGTTTCGCACGGGCTTCCATACCCGTACAATGGAGCGGTAGAATATAAGCCGGCTTAGGATGTATTCTATTACTCAGAAAATCGATGGTTTCCGCTACTGGTTGTGAATGAGAAGGAACGAGATGAAAGCCTCCTACTACCATATGGATCGGTCTGTCGTGTCGTTTTATGGCTTCTATAATGACGTTACAGATTCCTGCGTGGCTACAACTAGCATGTCAGCGGCGGCCATTTGGCTGTAAGATCTTAGGTTCAAGGTTAAAGGAAGGAGTGTCGCTTCCATCTCAGAACCATTACTGATGTTGATAACTCATCTGTGGAGAAGGGAATGTCAGGGCTGATGGTTTTGTAGTATTGGGACTCGAGATAAGGGGGAGGGGCCTATAGGAAAGACTCACGGACTGAATATCACCAGTCCTTTACCTTTGACATCAACTGTAATGTATCGTTCGTCCATGATGAGCTATCCGTCAGTAAAACAAATTATACCACGATTCCCTCCTATATTCTAAGCTTGCCACGGCAAGTTTTACTTCCCCAATTACCATATCTACCAAAATTTACCTTCTATTGAAACCCTCAGTACGACTGCGAGGACGATGTCGTTTTGTGAGATGGGCCAACTCACCTCATCGGTAAACCACCCTTTATCCCCGTCCTCATCTACCCATCTAACCGCCCCCGGTATACCCTTCTCAAACCCTGTCACCCTCTCAACTTCCCCGCTCACCTCCACACCCGTCTTGTCAAAGTTCATCCCCAATACCTCGTGGGGTGAGTTGGCTTGAAAAACCATTCCGTTCAAACCTTTGATTTGATCAAATGTCGGATCAGGGTTGAGACATGCTATGGGTATATAAGTGGGAGGAGGGGCGATACCTCTTCTGATCGGACGATCTGGGTGGACGTCGACACGGAGGGGAAGATGATGAGGCGGACGAAGGGAAAGGACTTGGGGGATACCGCCTGAGTCTAGACTGGTCAGTTGGTGAGTCCCATGATTGTAATAATTGCTCAAACAAAGGTAGAGAAGATAGCGGGAACCGTCACTTAAACGTGTATCTGTTGGTAACAGAACAGATAAAAAGGAGGATCAGTCAGGAAGAAGGTGAGAGTAGTGATGGGTGAGTGACGCAGGGGAGTTGAAGGTGGGTGAGGACTTGAATTGAGGAACGATGACTTACGGTCGGAATGCCAATGTGATAATACCAAACAATCCAATTTATTTAGATCCACTTGCATAGCCTCGATATTTCTCTCGATAGTCTTACCATCCGGTCCAGCATCCAATAAGACCTGATGCTCTTTCCCATTGACCGTAGTTTTCTACTTTCCGTCAGCGGGACAAAGGTCATTTGATAGCTTACCAGCAAGATAGACAATCCATGAGCACCACAGCAATAATGTTCAAAGTCAATCAGTGGGACCTTGGTGAGTGGGTCTAGAGGAGCTCTTGGGAGGTGTTGAGGGAGTTCATGGCTGAAGCCTTCGGGAAGTTTGGAGAACCTAAAAATGTCAGTGTGTGTCTCGTGTACGAGCACAGAAGGAGTCAAGCCGCTTGTTAGCTATCTAGTAGAGAGAAACAAAGATGGGAATCACCATTCGATACCTAAGAGATCAACATGAACTCAGAGAAAGAAAAGGCCCGAGTGACTGACTGTTATCGACCAATATGAGAAATTCTAGCTTATCAACTTTGGTCAGAGAATGTCCTGGACCTAGCTTGGGAGGGTCAGACAAGCTCGGGATCGGTTCTTTGTATGGGTCCATTTTTCCCATCCGTCTATACTGGCTGAATTGTCTCAACGAGCGAGAAGGTTATCAAGTTACATGATAATGATGACAAGACCGATGGCGATGATGGCGATGATGACGATGACGACGATACTCGGATCCGGTCAATTGAAAAACCACCTCTAATCTTTGTTCCACCTTACTTCCATTCCTTCTCTTCACTTTCCCTTTTGTTGACTTACGAAGCGTCATTCAGAAGTAGCAAAACATCTTAACATATTTCATGGCTATACATATCCGTTTGTCAGCAAGCATCTTGAAGGCATCCCCACCCAATGCCCGCTTCCCTCTACCTTCGACCCAACCCTCGGGCGTTCTTCCTCTTGACCTCTGACCATGCTCTCGTCTTTCGACACCCAGATACGACCGAGTCAAAGGCATCAAAGAGCGTTGTGGTGGCCGAGTTCTTAGCTATGGAGGAAGTGGACATGCGGGGGTTAGTCATGGTGAGCAGAGGTCGTACTGTGGAAGGTGTTCTAGGTGTCACTTGTGTTCCTACGGGTATGTTTAATCACGTTCATGACTTACTATGATGCTACTGACTTCTTAGAGAGGTCTCCAATACCGGAAATCTTTCTACTACTCATGACTGATTTTACCCCTTTATCCCCATTTCTCCCTTCTTCCTCATTACGGCCAGCTCGAGTCTTGGGGGTCGAATTCTTTTCCCTTTCGTCGTCTTTTTGGGATCCACCTGATCTCGTTGCTGCCATCAATGCCTCAGTAGCCTTGGACGAATGGCAAGATCCTTACAATCCTCAAGCTTACCCTTTATCTCAATCATCCACCCAAAGCCAGGCTCAACAACAGGGACTCGAGCATCCTTGTGCAGGAATGAAAAAATACCTCGAATCGGGCGGGTTTTTCTTCGCTGAGGAATGTAAATGGGATATTTCCACTCGGATGGGAGATACAGATTGGGTTCATGCGGAGAAAGGATTGGTCAAACATCCACTCGATACGTTTGACGAACGATTCGTTTGGAACGCCAAGCTTTTAGCACCATTATTGAACTTCCGCTCTAAACTTCCTGCCAGCGTCAAAGCTGGCTTGGATCAACAAAACTTGCTCATACCAGTCTTACAGGGATTCTGTGGGTCAGTACCTATAGCTACGGGGACATACACCGAGAATGGGAGACCTGAGATCGCCGCGTTGGGGATTATCAGCCGTTTGAGTTGGAAACGCGCCGGAGCAAGGTTTAGAACAAGAGGGATAGATGATGATGGACAAGTGGCCAACTTTGTGGAGACAGAAGTGGTGCTCGCGACCAGTAACGTCTGTTTGAGCTATGTGGAGGTGAGAGGTTCGGTGCCGATGTTCTGGCAACAACCAAGCACAGGTCTTGGTACCCTACAACAAAAGGTTGAGATAATCAGAGTCAGTCGTGGTCTTCTTATTATTAGCAAACATTTCATTGATCATGCAGCCTCCTCAGGCCACACAACCGGCTTTCGATAAACACTTCCTAGACCTCATGGATCATTACGGTTCCATTCATGCGGTCAACTTACTAGGACAGCGAGATTCCGAAGCTATGTTGTCGGCGGCATATTCAGATCATCTAGCATCTCTCAGACAGACATTAGAAGCGATGCCCCATGATGGGACATCACCACGGGGTGATCTAGATCTCACAGCCTATGACTTTCACGCTTCTGTCAGAACCAACGGGCAGGATGCACCCAAACACGACTTTTCCACCAGACTGAATGGTCCTGTTCGGTCATCTGAGAAGTTTGCATGGACGGCCATCGATGCGGAGACCGGACAGATCATCGAAAGACAACAGGGAGTTTTTCGTGTCAACTGTTTAGACTGGTAAGTATCTAAGACAGTCACTCTGTTGTGTAGGGCTGTGATACTAACTCGTAGCCTTGATAGGACAAATTATGTTCAAGAAGTCATTTCCTCGATTGCCCTAGCTAGATTCCTTCGATCAATCGGCTCGCCATTAGCAACCAGTCCCACTCTTTGGAACGCCCATCGACAGCTTTGGGCGGACAATGGAGATCGGCTTAGTAAGATTTATGCGGGGACAGGCGCATTGAACACTTCAGCCACGAGATCAGGTAAAAAGACCTTTGCAGGATTACTCAGTGATGCCACCAAAAGTATGGGAAGGTCAGTCGTGTTTGATACCCAGTAAGTAAACAAGCTGACAAGTGCCAGAGCGTACATTACCAATTTTCAAGATAAGGGCAAACAAACGTCAATCGATATGTTACTGGTGAGTCACCACAATTCTCGTCGATCAACTCTCATTATCAGGGCATGATGGCTGGTCAGCGTCCTGTGGTTTTGTTCGACCCTATTGGGGATTCTGTACAGACTGCCTTGGCTGCGCGGTAAGCAGGTCAATATCACCCCAGCTGAGCTGACCCGGTAGGGTGGACGAATACTCTCAAACCAGAGAAATCACAATCTTCGCTGGGACCTGGAATCTGAATGGCAAGGTGAGACCAGTGTTATCAACCATGAACGTAAGGCTGACTCTGTGCAGTTACCAGATGAATCCCTTGAACCGTGGCTTTTCCCCGCTGGGAAAGAAGAGTGAGTTCTCGAACTCTTCATCTCTATGCTTACGCGAAAGTGCGGACATCTACATGATTGCATTTCAAGAAATCGTAGAACTTACTGCTGGTCAAATCCTCCAGACTGATCCTGCTAAACGGTAAGTCCCTCCATGGTTGGGGGGAACGGACTGATCGAAGACGCATGTGGGAAAAGTACATCATGGACACGTTCCATGCTCGCGGGGAGAAGCATCCAGAGTATTTATTGTTCCGAAGTGAACAGCTAGTCGGAACAGCCCTCATCATTGTCATACGCTCCGATCTCGCCCCAAACGTCCGAAATGTGGAAACCGCGACCAAGAAGGTCAGTGTCCTGTCTTGGGGCTCTAACGTTGCTGACATGCAGACGGGTTTGCAAGGACTCAGTGGGAACAAAGGTGGCGTGGGCATACGCTTGGACCTTTTCGATTCGAGTTTCTGCTTCATGACCTGTCATTTAGCTGCAGGACAGAATAACGTGGCTGAGAGGAACGCCGATTATCGAACCATCTCGGAAGGCCTCAAATTCTTGAGGGGTAAATCGATTGAGGATCATGAGTGAGTGATCCATGAATGGCGAAAACGCAGCTGACAGTCGAGTGTCATCATCTGGGCTGCTGATTTCGTATGCTCTCTTCCTTCCCATCAATATGAGACTGACATATAGAATTACCGGATATCGCTCCCGAATGGGGAAGTGCGAGAGTTGACAGCGTCTGATGACATCGAGTCTCTCGTGGAAGCAGATCAGGTGAGCTTCAGCAATTTGGCCAGTAGAAGGTCTTCCGCTTATGAACAGCTCAAACTGGCCATTGAAGCAGGCGAAGTGTTCCATGGATATCAAGAAGGAATCATCACCTTCCTCCCCACTTACAAGTAGTACGTATCCGTTCCTTCGTCTCTGCGACCTGGAATTGACGAATCAGCGACAACGGCACAGACGAGTACGACACGAGCGAGAAACAACGTATACCTTCTTGGACAGGTGCGTGTTCGGAAAGTCATTTGAGTGTATCACTGACTGAATGCAGATCGTGTCCTTTATCGGGGATCAGAAGTGGGTAACTGGAAGGACGGTGGAGGACTCCGATGCTGACGAGACAGGTTCATCTCGAGACGTACAATCGAGCAGACTTACGAACTTCGGATCACCGACCGGTATATGCTGTTGTTCGAGCTAACGTCAAACAAATCGATCACGTCAAGAAGGACCAGATAGCGGAGGAAATTATGGGAGCGTTGCGGTCGCATGATGGACGGATAGATACAAAGATACAAAATGCTCTATATGGTGGGCCTGGTGACGTGACGGAGAAGTTGATACCTTGTATGTCTTTCACACGTATCATAATCATCTGAATGATGCACCACCACAAATCTAAAGACTGGTTCTCTTTCTGACGTCCAGCAACTCTGCGTAATGGCCATAAACATTTCCCACACAAAGCACCCGCTCTACCTCCCAGACCATCCCGGACGATATCTCAGTCCAGTCTGAACACGAATCCTGTGACTCGTCAAGTTCCATCCGGTTCTGCCTCGCGTTATCTCATGTCAGTTTCTCAACCTTCAACATCGGTAGAATCAAATAGACGACCTCCACCTCCGATCCCTAATCGTATCCCCTCGACCAAATCTATTTCTTCCCTCACTCAAACGTCATCCTCTTCATCCGAACGTCGGTCAATAAACAACATTCCCAGAAAAATATCCAACGGTTCAGTGAGCAGTACCACCTCTCGGATTCACGCAGCATCTCCTACACCATTAATGACACCTACTTCCACAGGTGACTTTATCCTCGTTTCCTCTTCCAAAAACCCACCTCCCTTACCTTCCAGACAAGGATCCCTCCCTAGACTTTCTCCCCCTTCAATACCGAAACGTTCCAATGGATCTCCCCAAGCTGTGGTTCCATTGTCAAAAACAAGACCATCCTTAGACCTTAATGCTTCTCCACCGGAAGGCTTAGCTGCACCTGTGTTGACTCCTGACGTGGTGAAGACGGTGAAAAAGCCAGTTCCGAACGTTCCTAGTAAACCTGCCAAATTGCGTGGTGGGATGTCTGGTTCTGAACCTAAACATGTGACACCCATGACGACTTGATGATTGTATGGTAGTTGTTGTATACTTTGCATTTGTTATTTTCTCATTGTCATGTACCTACTAGCATGCTTGATGACGCACTTCAGGTCTCATGTGTGAGACGAGACAGTAGTTAGCTGATCATTGTGAGATGCAGTGATAGCAGTGGTGGTGGTGGTGGTGGTGGTGCCATGTTCCAGTTGCCACACGGACGACAATTCCAAAAGCTTTGACCTCTCTTTGTTACGTTGTCACCCCCTCCCTCCCTTCCTTCCTTCCCCCTTGTACCATTCACCCCTTTCCTTAACCCCTATTCTCATACAGACGTGCAGTATCCATCGTGCGTCACCATCATATCATCACACTCTTGTCATCCGTCGTCAAGCGTACAACTATTCTTGTTTGGTCACTCAAATCAAGGCCGGAAAAGGAAATTGCTCCATCAGCCATCCGGACCATAGAACAACGTGGTCTTCTCCCATTCAACTCTTCTCCATTACAACTCCACTCATCACTATCTCCCTTTGCTCCACACCGGGTAGTGTCTCAGTACAAATCATTCATCAAGTGAAAAAAAGAGAACATCATTATCTCGGAATTCACTCCTACAATCTACCTCTTTCCTCGAAAAGCCCGTATCCATGTCACGTTAACACCCCCCTTCTGATACACAATATCATTTTCATCCATTTGAACACACTTGATGATGGAAACAACCATCCAAGATGGTTCTCCATCAATTAGAGATCTCAATGATAAACCCGAACGAGAACGTTCTACTCGACCATTATCCGAAATTTCTGATAACGATAATCGTCGTTCTATAGTTTCTATAACAAGAGAGTCCAAGCGTTCTTCACGTCACTTGGAATTGGAAAAGGATAAAGGACGTTCACGTCCTTCTAGCGATGTAAAAGATGAAAACACACCACCTACAACTTCAACTCCAAACAGTCCTTCACTCAACCAAGTCGTAACTGGTGGTCAGATGAAAATGCTCACTATCAACTTGATCGATTACGCTTCGCAACAAAGAAGGAACGAGATTACAGGTTCACCTATACCAACTCCAATTCCTAGTCCCTTATCTACAAATATGACTACGGGTATTTTAGAATCTGACGAAACTGTACTTTCCGATATGGGAGATTCAGGTCATGAAGATTTAAAGGATAAATCTGTGACAAAGGAAACGAATACGAAGATTAATCGAACGGTAACTTACGCCGAAGCTTCAAAATCTGTTGGGGATAAACATACGGATAATTCTATTCCTACTTCTCCAAAACATCAAGAAACACAATTTGCAGGAATAGCAGAAGATAAGAAAAGAATATTGATAGAGGATAAAAAATTACCAAAAACTCCAGAACCTGAAGAAACAAAATCGTACGTTATCACTTATCTGTAATCCGGCTCATTCACCACTCGGAATGTTACCTTTCAGAGCTGATTTGACAGACGTCCTGTATCTATCGATGGTGTATCAGCTTTATACATTGCAAAACGAGCTTCTCTTCGTCCTTCCCCATTAGGTCCATCATATGCCGATATCGTCAGACCTAACATATCCTTACCCCTTACCGCAGATGATCGAGCTTCCCTGGACTCTCGACGTTCCTCAGTAGATCTTCTGAAGCCTCCCACGAAGAACAAACCGAGCTGGCTTCGAAGAGCTAGTAACACAGCCGCTGCAGGTTTACGAGCAAAGTCTCGAAGTCCCGTAGCTAAAGAAGAGACTACACTTGCTTCATCTTCAGCTCTTCCCGATCCACCTGCCTTACCTCCCAGACATCATCAAAGTCAAGAACGAGAAATGATGGAAGCATCCAGTAGCATCATTTCCATTTCAGACAAAGCCATTCCTATGCCTCCACCAGAACTTCCTAAGAAATCAACATATGCCAAAGTCGTATCCACCAGAAGTCGGTTGGCCGAAGGTGTTGGCAAACCGGCTTTCTTACCTCCCCCACCCAGTCATCCCTCTCGGGAAAATATTGGTAACATACGAGGTCGTATAGCCGCTTGGACTTCCGCAGCTGGTTCCAACAATTCTTTCAGTCGATCAGCTTCCTCCGCTACACTCAGCCCTCCTCCACCTTCATCTTTTATCCCTGCAGGAGGATCGTCTCGTAGTCAAGCACAAAAAGTCCTCGGTCATGCGGGTTCGGCCGTTCAAAAGGGTTGGGCTGGGATAAGGAGGAGTGGCGTAGCAGGAAGTATCAGCTCTTTGAGTCAATTAGGAGGATCAAACAGACGTTCACCCAGCGGGTCCGTGGAAACTGGTTCGAGCTGGTCAAGTGGGTTGGGAAAGAAAGGTAAGGAGAAGATTCCATTGGTGGAGGAAGAACCGAGGGGCGACGGACCACACTTTGAGGTTGGAGTGGTGAAACGTGCTGGGAAGGGAAGAGAGGGATTGGTATTTGGAAGAGATCTTATAGAAACAGGAAGGACTTTTGGAGTTGTCGATGCCATGTCAACCGAGGAGGGAGGAAGTGAATTGGATCGAAGACGGCGACAGTGTCTGCCGGCCATTGTGGTGAGAGCTGTTGACTATCGTGAGTTTCGAATGACAAACAATCATTTGTCATGTGGACAAAGCTGATCACTAGTGGAGATCTGGGGTCCCAAAGAGGAGGGGATCTTCAGGATCAGCGGTAGAAGTAGTCATATAGCAAAATTGAGAAAGGAGTTCGACTCTGGTGAGTCTCTCATTAATTATTGTGATTGACGAGGCTGATCGCTCAGGTGCCGACTTGGATATCACACCATGTCATCCGGGCGATGTGGATCCTCATGCTGTTGCTGGAGTGTTCAAATTGTACCTTCGACAACGTATGTACTCGCTACAATTATGGCCTGAAGCTAATTCGTAGTACCTCATCATTTGCTCACAGACGAACTATCCGATCAATTTGAGACCTACGATAAAAGTTTGGATAAAGATCCAGCGGAATTGGACAGACTGTTACAATGTCTCCCCTCTGCCCATTGGTTCCTTTTGGCTGACATCAGTGAGTTCATCCATCACTTCTGTCACTTGCACAAGACTGATGTTTAGTCAAATTGTTGGATCTTATCCCTCGACATGTCAATATAAATCGTATGACACTTCACGCACTTCGTACCTCTTTAGGACCTTCGCTCAATCTTCCTGGTAATCTCGCCGATGAGCTCGTCATCAGACGCGAAGAGCTTTTCTCACATCCCCCACCTATCACCACTGTCGAATCCGCATCCAATTTGATCAATTTCAGCGAAGTGTCTATCCCTCCTCCCTCTGTACCGAAAGATCCACATCATCGACCTATCACCCCTTTGTCCGGAGAAGAGAATGTTCATCATGTAAGACTCAAACGATCTTCACCTCGATTACCGAAAAGACCTAGTATTCAACGTTTATTCAGTTCAGGAGCTGGTTTCGTCACTCGAAAAGGAAGTGTTGAAACGATGCGTTCCGCTTCTGTCATTGGGGATTTACCTCCTCAAGTTGATATCCCCATCTCAAATGCCACTCCAATATCAACTCTTGACGGTCATGTGCAAAGTGCTCCACACCGAAATGACGAATGGGTAGAGGAAAAGATGGAGGAATTACAACATTTAACAGAAAATCCACATACATCAGCTCGATCTCGAGCTTTTTCAGAGACCGCTACTCCTATAGCTGATAAATTTCAGGGAACATCACCCATTTTTCCTCCACTCAGAATTCCAAGATCATCAGCTACATCGGTAGAATCATCAGCTTCTATACCTACATTAGGATCACTCGATGGACCATCATCAAATCAACATGGTCCAGCAATAATAAGACGTGGGCAACCTGTCTTTTTTCAATCTCAAGGATTAACACATCATAGATCTAAATCTGCCAATGGGATGAAAAGGAAAGATGAACAGGAAGAAGGGGAAGAAGAAACGGAAGGTGGTAGAGGAGGTAAAAGATTATCGTCTGGATTAAAATTTGATGGAGTCAACGTACGGGACGCAGTGCGCGCAATGGAAATGACCGCTTGAAAGTTTTAGTCTTGTTTTTGTTTTTGTTCTTTTTTTCCTTTCAAGTTCTGTTGGTTGGCAGGGACAATCAAATGGATTTATGGACTTAGATAGAAGAGAATTTTCCTTTTTTTCCTTTTTCTTCTTTCTTTCTTTCTCGTTCTCGTTCTGAATCCAAGTGATGTAAAATTAGGCTTATGTCGTATGTCTTTACGAAATACAAAACATAAAATACAAAATACAAACTACTCGTATCATTACATGACTCGTACGGTATCATCATCTGTCTAATTTAAGTCGTACAGTGTACACGATAACATTGGAAGTTTGAAATACAAATGCATTGCACATTTTGACAGAATCATTCGCCTTTGTGAAAGGTATATAAATGTTAATGGCTCAATACCTCAGTAGCTCGACCATTCTATGATTGTATATGACGGGAGAAGTTGTTCATCCTTCCTTCTTTTCGACGGGAGGTAGAACAGGCTTGATCCAAATCAATGCAGGCTATCTGATCAGCTCATCTATGAACCATCATCATCATTCCTAACTCCTAACAATGAACTTTCTTTTGGTCAAGTCAAATTCTAACTTGTGGATCTTCTCATCCTTCTGAAACTCAACATTTGGGATATCTTCCATGGCTTCAAACCGCAACATTTGGAGTCCCTGTTCATTCCAAACCTCAAGACGTGAAGAGTCAACGAAGTGTTGGTGATCAAAAGGAAAAAGGAAAGAAAGACAGAACTAACATAAACGCCGACGGTTTCCATCTCGGGTCGTCTATCTCTTCCTACAACAGGACGTCCCTTTTCGTCTATTTTAGGCCGTTTTTCTTTGGAAGTTGTTGAATAGAGGAACAGACATAAAAGAGCTTTGATCTGATCTTGAGTTAGTGGGATGATCTTCATTTCACCGTTTCCTCTATTTCTTCCTATTACTCACTTCATCATTTTCCTCTTCCACTTCCTCCCTCCTTCAGACATTTCCCCCACTGGTGATGTGAAGGTATATTTAACGTCGTCCTGTGCCGTTCCGTCTTCTACGCTAGGTGACAGTACAGAGAAGGGAGTTCCCTCTATGAGGAAAGGGGTAGAGTTTGAGAGAAGCGATCCATGTTGGAAAGGGATGTGTGTGAGAGAGAGGAAACGCCTGTGGAAGGGGTACGTGGATGTTGATGTGGAGAAGAGACAAATGGATGAGACTGACTTTAGGATACCAGAACAAAGAAATCGTACTTCCAAATACTAGAGATTCAGAGTATTCGATACATGCTAAAATGATCCAATAAGCTTCCCTGTTTATTCAGCGTCGTCTCGGAATTTTCACACATTTTATCCCTCCGACACGATAGCAAGGTCTTAGAGGAAGAAGGTTGGCTTGATTGATGGAAAAGACCGTCTTGGATACGAGATATTCTTAAGGGAGAAGATAAAAGAAAGAAGACGGAAGGTGAACGAGTGGGACAGCGAAGAGGGGATCGGGACGACGGAGGAAGGAGGAATGAGGTCAAAAGAACCCACCATAATCGTTGATTCTCTTTATTCGGTTCAAAGAGCGATAAAAAGGTACACCATGCCGGTACCAAATAAATGATAGGATAAGGTATGACGAAATGAAGGTACCAAGGAGATGACCACCTGAACTTAGTACGCTTTTATATGATCTGGTACAAGTACTGATGGACAATCCAAACACTTCGGCCACAAGGAGAGGTAAAAAGCAGTGATGGGTGATAGTGAGGTTGACATAGAAGGACATAGGTGATGATGAAAAGAGTTATAAACTTACCAGAAGAGTATATGAAGTATTACGAAGGCTGGTAGAGCTCGATAGGTCGGACAAAAGGTCTCGAGAAATTTACCAAGTTGGGGTGACCATTCTTTAACCTGAAGTCAAGTCAGCGCTTCTCTCTTTCCTCGCTTATGCCTGCCTATAGTCACCGTCACCCAGAGCAAGAATCACGACCTCGGAATTGTGTAAGGAAGAGTGATGTACGAAATTCCACTCAGCTGTCACATAGTCTTCGGCACAAACTCGAATATGGAAACATTGTGTATTTCCCATGATGATCACGCCCGTTTTGGAGGCTCAAAGAGACAACACAAAGCGAGAGAGAAATTACTCATAGAACCACTCACGAAATCTTCAACCATCTTCGCCGCATCCACTTCATGAGGTTTAGGAGCTTTCGTTTTACCCGCTTCCTTGTCTTTTTTCTCTTTCTCTTTCTCTGCTTCTTCTTTCTTCTCTGCAAATTCATCCAATTCATCTTGTCTAATTTGAATCAACCGATTATTCGCCGCTAATCTATCAGGAGTCCAAGCTTGGATAGTTCCCAGAAGATGATCCTTGCGGTTCTTGCTCCCACTCATTTCGAAAACAAACCTCCAATTCCGGTCAACAGTGAGAAGATCAGCATTTGTTTGTCAAGGAAAGGACGATCGACGAGGTCCAAGGTAAAAGATGAAAGGTAGGTTCAAGGGGATATGTTCCTTTATCCATGTCTAACGTAGTCGTTAGGAGTCAAAGGGATGAGAAAAAGAAAAAGAAAACTGTAAGTATCCAGAATATGGAGAAATTTCATGATATATATATGTATATATGATTTGAATGCGCGATATGACGAGATATGAAATATACGGTGTGTGATGGTGATGGTATGTTACATGTCAAGAAGACGTCGAGGGGGAATGGATAATTTTGAATTGTCGTATATGGCTTGTAGTACAGTACGAGTCATACCACTTGCGAGGCATTTCATCCTGCAGGTCGTCGGAAAGTCCACGTCAAATCTATCAATCAGCTACATTCTTTTCATACATCTGTTGACTCATGTGAAGATCATTAGAGGGGAGGGGTGGACTTAAAAAGAGGGGATGGAAGAGTAGTACAAGTACGTACGGGAATAACAAGGGTCTGGGATATCCGTTCGCTACGACAGATGCACAGCTGATTTTCAATCGCTTCAATGACTCTTCATCCCTCAAACAAATATTGGGAACATCCGAAACGGTGAGTGCATCATGCCACACGGCGGAAAGATGACGGGTTTGAGTCAACATCAACAAATCTTCTTCTATAGTCTCTGAAGGTTTCCCCTTGATGGGACTGCGAGATCTATTCGATTTCGAAGCGGAATTGAATCCACTTCTAGAACCCATGAGTGTGATCTTGCGTCCAGCCATGAGATCAAGATACGCCTGGCGAATGTTGATCGAACGGGAAAGACGACGTTGACGAATACTGTCCCAGATGGTTTTACACGCTTTGATGTGTTGTTTAAGCAAATCGAGTTGCTCAGACATGACTGGTGAGGATTTTGATAAACCTTCGACGTTATGATAAAAGGGAGATAGATGATCATAATCTTTACGGCTTGGTGGACTTATTTCGGTAGGGAAAGAGAGCATCATCTCATCCCTATGTCTTTGTCCGATCTCCATAAGAAGGTCCATCTATCATCAGACCGCGGAATAAAATGAGTTGAAAGAGACTTACAACAAATGGTCCAAGTATCTGGGGACGTTTGATAGGTATCAAATTCTCCATATTCTCCAAATCTTTTTTGAAAAGTCTCCATCCCAAAGCACCGGAGTGTTCTCGTTTATCCTTCGCTTTGATGTGGGGCAAGACTTGTAGACCACTTTTGCGGGCATCAAGAACAAGACAAAACCTCACGAATCAGTATGATTACATTGACATCCAAATTATATGAAGAACTCACATTCGTGCCAGACGAACAGTGAGTGGATGATCGTATCCTAATCTGTATCCCGCATTACCATGCAAGTCAGAATCTGAACGTTAATCATAGACCAAAGTCCAACATTATGTGCGCTCACATGTTCCCGCCAAATGGTCATCTTTCAGAGCAGCTAGCAAGAAGGATTGATAATTCGCAACTAAAGTCTCTTCGGACACTCCATCCAAAGCAGCAAGAAATTCGTGTCCTTTGACGATATCTTTTACAAAATTTTGTTTCTCAAAATCTTGCGGAGTATCGGCGAAACTGTCATCCGCATTCTTAAAAGGTCCAACGATTTCAGGATCCCATATAATTTGAACGGTGTCTCCATCATAGTCCCCTCCACCGAGGAAAGACGCAGGAGAGCGACGACAATCATCTCTGGCAGACATGACGATGCAGTCTGTCAAATGGACGAGTTCGGGTCGATACACCGCGGTGAATTTACGAATGTCCGAAGGGAGTTTGCAAGGTGATCGTAGAGCTAGAACAGGTCCTTCAAGGTATGAAATCCTGCATCCTGTGACCGGATCAGAAGGGGCGATAGATGAGAAGGAGACGAATATTTCATCTGGGCCTAACACACTAAGAGAATCCGGGACAATGAAAGCTGACATGGATTGTTCCACTGGAATACGGAATTCTCGGATGGCTTTGGAAGATAAGGAGTGAACGAGCCATTTGAGTTTAGAGCAAGTATATCCCGATTCGGATGGATGGAAGCCAGAAGCGACTGCATCCATTAGGCTAATAAAGTGTCAGCTTAGTCATCAAGGATAAGGGTGACTCACCTTTCAGCAATGGATCCGGACTGTCCGCTGATAGGATCTACGTCGTACCTCTCAGAAGGATGGATCAGAGGGGGTAACTCCCCATCTTCAGTCTCATCGTTTTCCATCGTGGACTCCCATGTTATGCCAGCAGCGCGCGTAGATCTCCCCGAGGCCACCACGAGTCGTTTCTTGCGTTCTGTTCCAACTCCACCACGACCATAGCAGTTGGCAGCGATACGAACTGAAACGTCCTCTCTATTTTCACCTGCCAGAGGTTGTGTCGTGAAAGCGTCCTTGAGATCATCGAGACCTTGGATCAGGCGATCACAGAAAAGCCATGCAGGTACCCCGTTATGCACAAGCAGAGCAATCGGCTCAGCAGAAAGTGTGGTAGAAATCTTGAGACTTTCACAACGGATCACGTCCAGCGTGAGAAGCGACACGTCATGAGCGAAACGAGGGTCGGGGATGGCCTTAATCATCGAGGGTCGAAGAACGATATCCACGTTGGGGAACTCGATTGATTGTTGATAGCTCATCAAAGCGAGGAGACCTTTGGCGCCGCCGATACGCATCTGCACGACACAAGATCGACCTGAGGACGGACGTATGTCCGCATGAGCATACATGCGGCTTGCAAGGGCTTCGGCTGCGTGTCAACATTGCAAAACGATAGAACTCGAAGAAATGGGAGAGATGCTCACACATCAGACCGCAACCATCCGTGAGAATCTGCTCAGTGGATGCATGTCCAACAGCATCAGCCTCGGCGGTGATGATATCGTCGATTACCATGATACTTTCAGGGCTGACGGTCGTGGCAGGGACTGAATCCGAGAAGAGGATTTGAGGTCTTGCAGCCCACTTAGCGACAGCTTGGGATGGTTTCAGAGTCAAATCGTTGTATCCTTATTTAGTCAGCTCACTCGGCGGCATCAAGAGACGTCGCATTACTCACTTTGTAGGATCTCTGCAAAAGTTGGCATTCCAGGTTCCCGTGTAAATCGACCAGAATATGTCACACTAGGTACACTATGATTGGTCTCGATGGCAAAGACTGAATCTCGGTCTGCCGGTGCCCAGAGAGCTTGATAGGCTCTACCGAATATTACGAAAACTCGACCAATGAAAAGTGACAACAGCTTGTTGCGGTCTTGTTCTTTGACGTCAATCTTGAAGGTGATGACGCGACGAGAGCCGAATCGTCTGGCCAAGCGAAATGACTTGCCTTGCATGTCTGGCTGACGAAGAGTCATTGAGAATGGGAATCTCGTGACAGGCTTGGTGATACTTGTGATACCCATTGGATTTTCTGGATCATCCATGGGACCTTCAGTCTTAAGTATGTCACGTTGATGATAAAGATCCTGCACAGAATCGGACAGAAGAGTAACGCATTCCTCAGAGCGGAGGGAGACCGATTTCACCGTGATTGAGTAGTTAATCTTACCGCCATACCATCCATCATCCCCTGTACCACAGCCTGACAAGTCACCCGCACGAATGGAAGCTTCCTCTCTATCTATTTCATGTAGCATCTTCGACCTCTTCTGACCCATGGCGCCTTGTAGGAGCAAGATATCTTCTGCCGAGGCGGAGGCAGTACCGCTCTTCCTTGCTAGCACTTTGTCCAACAGGGGTCGGACGAGGGGAGCGGCTTCGACTACGGAACCTTGTAGACTGTCGAAATCACCCGTCTCGAAATCAGCCCACGAGAGCACAGGATGCCTGGCAAGGGCTCTCTCCAGCTCCCATTGGACATGAAATTTCACATCATGTTTGTAGAGCATCGCTTGGTAGGGGCAACGGGGAAGGACGAGGACGGTGCGTTGATCTTCCTCTGATAACGAGATAGGTTTCCAGGAGACTGTCGTGGCTGAGGAGGTCGGTATCACCCCTGTCTCGAGTCTGGTCTTTGGAAAGGCATGGACGATTCCGTCGACATCACTGGATGTAGGTTCTGTGAACGGCTCTTCGGGATCTGGGTAACAGAAATCAGGTACGAGTGGGGTGGAGGGGGTGACTAGTGTCGTTGAAGGATCAGAGGATCTGGTATCGACCGAAGTGGTCGACACGGTCGGGATGAGTGAAGGTCTGTTGGAAGACACATGAGAAATGGGGGGTCCCATTTTGCGATCTTCACTGGACCGACGTTTTTTCTGAGCGCTCGGTGACGTATTTATCTCTAATCTTCTCTTCGTAGACGTCGTCTCGACCACACTGTACTTCTCCGTTCTGACAAAGGGTGATGGAGTCGAGTAAGCTTGAGAGGCTGTGTGGGTCAGCGCCCTCTATACAGCTCATTCCAGTCCAAGAACTTTACTTGGAGAACCTCCATAGGCAGTGTACATCTCTTCATCTTCATCCTGATCCTCGTTCTCGTCATCCGGACGCCCAGTGTCGACCCTAGGTCCTGAGGGTAGGTCGGATAAAATTTGACTCCCCCCGAGTGACCCGAAGGACGAGAAAGATTCCAGGGCCAGTTGACTCATCATCTTTTCCGCTTCTCCCAGAGCCTTTTCAAGTCGGAGTGAAAATGCCAACCGGCCATCAAGATGATATCGCATTCCATTTCCTCCTCCAGCATCGTGCGGGGTTGAACGAGTGATCTCAGCTTGAACGAAATCGATGAATGAATCTGGATGAGCATGAATGAAATCGCGTAGGCATCGGTGAATACGTTGTTCCGTAGTATTGGTATAGGGACCGGAATGTATGGTTTCCACGGAGTAAGGTGATCGGCCAAGTTTACCAAACTATCAGTCAGTTTGCGCCCTTTCGGATTCCGAGAAGAAGGAACGCGGCCCAAATCATATGAGTGGTCCGGACTCACGGCAGTCCTGATGGCAGGGTGATATGTCGTAATGTCCCAAGACGCATTGTCCATCTTCTACTTGCGATGACATGAGTGAGTGTGTTATAGGATATCCGAAGTTGACCAAGAGGGCGTTACCAGGAAGCTTTGAGATAACCTTGATGGATGAATGAATGATGGGTATTTAGGTCCGTGCTATGACATTCGGGGCCGAAGGAGATCTTACAAGATTGATATAGTGACAGTATGTCTAGAGACGAGGGCCACTACTCGGTCCATCGCTTGTTCAAGGAGAGAAGGGGTAAGTAATTATATGGAGTGAGCTTTTCCGGGTCAACTTTGGGGATTTTGAAATTACACTCCCCAAGACCTCTCTTATCTCCACTCTCCACCCTCCGGCTCTCTGCTAGCAGCTTGACGTCCTGGACGTGATAGTTTCATATACTGCATCCCGGGTCCTCTGTCGTGCACTTCAGGATGATTGAATGCATTCTTCGTGTTCCAATTCAAGCCACAGGCCACAGGCTTGAGAATCGTGAGCATATACTTCGTAAAGGATGAATATCCGGCAAATAGGCTCCCGAGGCTCCTTCGGGACAGGCATGGAATCGCATGCCTATTACCGTTGAGTACCGGCGAACCGGCCGATCTCCTGGCTAGACTTTTTTAAAAGTGACCCATCCTTTTTCAATCTGCATCTTTCCACATCCCACTTTGGTCATCGTAAATGACCCCATTCAGCTCAGCTCAATCACCGCTACCAGAAGATACCAGAAATAGTACGATCATGACACAGATAAGAATACCGGCGTTACCGAAAAGGTCATAGCCTCTGTCAAAGAAGACAATTGCTGCCACGCTGCCCTTCCTTCTCCATGGCGAGGTACGCAACAACCCCCCCTTGTGGCTTATTTCATCGCCATGAAACCCGGAAAATCTCTCGGTCTCCTACATGACTAGCGTCCACATTGAACCTTTCGACCATGCTGAATACTGTTTGAATGGTCGACTCGACGCGTCTCACTCTGGTTCTGGCCGTGGATGCAAGGCTTCATGCGGCGTAACCCGGTGCCTTGTTGCGGCACTGCAATCAAACACTCTTGCCCTGTCTTTCTCGCCCGCCCTGTCAAAAAGTCAAACGCGAGTACTCGAGGTGCCAAGATCTAGAAAAAGAGCGGGACATCGGCTTAATATGGGATGATAATCCTCAAAACACATCTTGACAACCTGCCTTGTTCATATATTACCGACGTCTTGTCGACCTTGCCCCGATATTCCATTACCTATTACACCTGTGTCAATCAAAACGCTCCTTATCTATGGTCAACTCACAAGAGGACGATGTGGTTCATGTCGAAACGCTTATCATAGGTGCTGGACCGGTGAGTCTTGTTACCACCACCTTGTGCTCATAGAAAACATTCCCGAGCATTTCGAAAACCCCAGTGACAATTCTTATCTTGTCCACGAACTACGGAAAAAAGCACGGCTAACATGGTCTAGACCGGTTTGGGAGCTGCTATTCGTCTTGACAATCTCAAGCGAGACTTCCTCGTTGTAGAAGCTGCGGAAGCCGCAGGCGGGTTGGCTAGTACAGACGTGACCGACGAAGGTTTTTTATTTGATGTCGGAGGACATGTCATTTTTTCGTAAGTCTCAACATCTTGCGCCCTTCTGGTGACTAACCGAACTGATCGATAGCCATTACGCCTTTTTCGACGAAATTCTAAATAAAGCCTTACCAGGGAAGGATGATTGGTTCTCACATCAGCGAGTTTCGTACGATCGTTCGTTCGGTCATTGGGTACCGTGTAAGTTTATCATGTGTTCCATACAAGATGAATGTTGTTAACGCATCTAAAAGATCCTTATCAGAATAACGTCTCAAAACTCCCATTGGATATGCAGTTATCATGTATTGATGGGTTGATTGTCGCTTCAGAGATTCGCGCAGCTACACCGACTATCAGACCGAAAACTTTCGACGAATGGATAATTAGGAACATGGGAGAAGGGATTGCCAATTGTTTCATGAGACCGTATAATTACAAAGTATGGGGTGTTCCAACGTACCAGGTTAGTGAATGGCATCCAGTCTTTTTCCCTCCCTTGAGTCGGCCAGATCGAACTCAAAGCTCACACTCAGATGCAATGTGAATGGTTAGGAGAACGTGTAGCAGCTCCATCATTACGTCTTGTCGTTCGGAACGCTCTTACCAAAGAAGTGGCAGGAAATTGGGGACCTAATGCTTTGTTCAAATTCCCAGCACGAGGAGGAACAGGGGGGATTTGGAAAGCCGTAACTGCTCTTCTACCAATTGAAAAATTCAGAATGTCTAAATCTGGGACAGTGACAAGTGTGAATGTATCGGAAAAATCGGTCTCATTGGGGGATGGAAGAAAAGTTAAATATCAAAATTTGATCAATACAATGCCTATAACCGAACTTTTGGGTCGTTTGAAAGGTTTGGAAAGTTTAAGACTTCAACAATTAAAGGAAGCCTCTAAAGGATTGATATGGAGTAATACCATAATTTTGGGTATCGGGATCAGAGGTGAAAGACCAGAAAGGATAGGAGATAAATGTGAGTCGTCGTAATCGCCCACCTGAGTCACGATGGCTAAGTGAATAATTAGGTTGGCTTTACTTTCCTGAAGATTCAGCACCTTTTTATAGAGCTACAATATTTTCTAATTATTCACCATATAATACCCCTCCAACATCCAAATCACTTCCTACGATCCAACTTGCCAATCCAAATTTACCGTTCGACAACACTCCTAAGACAGGTCCATATTGGTCACTCATGTTTGAAGTTTGTCAATCGGAACAAAAGCCCGTCAACCTGGATACGTTGTTGAAAGAAACGATAAAAGGAGCTATCGCTACGGAATTATTGAAAGAGACAGATGAGATAGTTAGCACTTATGAGAGAAGGTTCGATTATGGCTAGTGAGATCTTCCATCTGCCTCGATCTGAATAAGGCTAACATGTTTAAGTCCCACACCGACATTAGGAAGAAACGCAGCTCTTCAGGAGATACTACCCGTTTTGAAAGAGGACTATGATATTTGGTCAAGGGGTAGATTTGGGAGTTGGAAATACGAATGTGGGAATCAAGATCATTCTGTGGGTTCATTTTCATTCCCATCATAATATTTCCTTGTGGTCTATATTTCAGTCTGAACGATGATCCACATATATCATCTTGAGAGATATTATTGAAATTTGGTCATTTATCAAACGAGCACACAACTGATATCCGTTTAGTTCATGCTTGGAGTCGAAGCGGTTGATAACGCCCTTTTTGGCGTACGTGAGATGACGCTGGATGATACGGATTGGGTGAACAGCCGACGGAATCCGTAGGTTGATTGGACACAATACCTCCAATGGTGAGTTACGGGCATTGGGAAGATGGGATTTACTCTCTGCATTGAAGTACTAGAACAATGTTTATTACACTTTATACCCGCATGTATACACGCAATATTTTGTCACCCTTCATCGCGCAGTCCACATCTGACATATTTCGGGATATACGGGAGCAATCTTAAAGGAAGTATGGAAGGTCAACTTTGGTAGTGTTCCAATACCTTCAAACATCCACTGACTGAGAATATCAACTTTGGTAAGCTGAAGCCTCATCAGAACTAGTACACCAGATAATGGCTCATGATGATATATATGCATGCGGGATTCACATCTACAATTGTTAAATGTGACGATTCGTTCATTGATCTAAATATATCTATCCTTCCAGCTTACCGAAGATCCGCAGGTGTAGAAGACCTCCAATTCCCTTCCCTATCAAACAACACAAAACTCTCATGCGCCAAGGATCCACGAATTATTCACTCAAATACTCACACAACTATGCACGTTACACCGTGTCAAAACATGTACATGTGGGTCCATGACCCTCACCACACGTTTCAGCCATTTTGGCATCCTCACAACCGAATATGAGAGGCCATGATCGTTCCAATGCGTGGCCTGATGTCAGTGAGAACTTACAGGCAAGAGAATACCGTTGAATGCGATGATAACAAGGGACCTTGGACACTACCCGCCATAAACAAGTTGGGTATTAGGTGGGAGGAGAAGTTCATGTGGAACGGCACAGTAAAAGGATGGAGGTATGGAAAGGAAGAGCGGAGAAGGGAGAGGGGAGAAGACACACCTAAAGTCGGATTGGACGGTTCATTATTATGCCATCCTTCTGTCCATATCCAATGTTCTGGAGGAGCATGGAATTTGGCCAAGAGGTTTGTATATAAATGAAGTTGATTCGATAAGATTCTTTCACGTGAAACGACAAATTGACCTGCCCACGTCGCCTTCATAGTAAGTGATCTATACTCTGACAATGACCTACGGTTATATTCAACGATTTGCAATTTCTATTCAGTGATCTGCAAGTATGCAGCCTGCCCGCAGTTTCCCGCCATCTCCTTTTTTCACTTGAACGAAAGAGATATATCAATGGAATATCAATGGAAACTAGGGAACAGGAATTCGATAAACTCACCAGGATAGAATATGGAGGTGAGAAATCACCTCTGAAAGCAGAATATATATCATTTATCCTCGGAAAGGAATTACCATGAACGTCTACCCCACGGGTCATGTTGATATAAGGACCCAATGAAAGGAATCCGGTGTTTGGTTTGATGATGGAGACACGTGGAAGTAGAACCCAATCCCAAGCCAAGTGAGGCTAAAGTCAGCGTCGTTCATCCACAAAATGGACATGAGGACAGTATCGAAATAATGGTTTTGAGAGAATTTCGAACGTGATGAAAAGTGCCTTGGAACAGATATACTCACTTGAAGGAAAATTGTGTGATCTGCCATATCACTTTCAGCATTATCATAATGTCTTACGATATGTCGCTATCCCATCAATTCCTCTTCAAGTATAGTCAATCTGGTCTGTATCCAGACTTACAAGATACGTTTCTCCCTCTCTGCCGATATTGTCAAGCTTGATGACTCGATCGGCGATATTTGACAATTCTTCAAGCTCACTACCAGTTCGGGATCCTTTGTGGTAGATGGTGACTCTGATAGAGGAAGAAGATGGTAGTCTAGATTTGATCTGTTCTATGGTATCCGCCATGACATCGTACGGTTCTTCATAATGCGATACGACCCTACGTCGCTCATCAGCTCATTGACCAATCCCCAGACTTTGTCACATACACAGTACACTGGAAGAAGAGCGAGAGTGAAGATAACTTACATGTCAAAATTTGGAGGTTGGATAAATTGATCCCCTATCAATCCATAATCATCCTTATGTGGAGACAAGGACTTCCATGTGGAGCTGGTGGATCGATGTACGACAAAGATGATGAAGATAGCTCCCAAGACGAGCAAGATTCTGGTTCTCGGTGTAGAAATCATCGAGCGTATCGCTTCCATAACGAATCAACTCTGCGAAGGAACGACAGTAAGCGAATTGAGGATGGTTGAGCTGAGTCAACCGACCAATTACTGGAAGAGGAGAAAGGGGAATGCTGTTCGGTTTGAGGGTCTCTCGGCTTCATTGACAGATTGGGTGATATTTCGGCCTACAGTACTCATTAGCGCCTCTGGGTTCGTATAATAATGTCAGACCCTCACAAATGAAGCAAGGGCCATGGGAAAGTCAACACTTATCAGCCAGCACCAAAGCAGTGCTCGCAGTAATTGCGCAAAGTTTTGTACAAACGGCGGGTCTGCGGATCTGCGGATGGGGATTTGCGGGAATCTTACAAGCGCCACGACGTCACAGAAACGTATGGCACGCCTATCAACCAAATCTATAGCGGGGGAAATTGGCAGGTTAGCAGATCTATTTCATAGGCACGCGGAACGCTCACTCCAATCTTGACAAGGGCATTCAATAGGTTTGGAAGTACTTAGGTGGTCTGTTGTTACTATGCTTCCACAGCCATCATCGTATCATCGTCCATGCATGTTTGCTCGCCGACTATAATCATTTGTGAGACACTAAGGATATCTCCTTTCCCAGGATATCACTCATGAACTCAGCTCGTTGACTGACTATCCGGAATCAATAAACCTCGCTGCTCGGCTGCTAGGTACTCGCCAACGATCAACGACTCACTTCCCCTCTAAAGTGAAATAACCTATTACCGACAACTCTCCTTTGATCATCTACAATGGTCACTGTTTCTTCGTCCCGCTCATCCACTCCATCCGACACTCAGCCCATCAGGTCAACCCGCGCACCTATCCACTTGGCGACCCTCAATATGTTCGTCCCCTTTTCTGCCTCCCTCCCTTCTCCCTTCGATGATAGATGTTCACTGACAGTGTAGAAAATTCGATGGGGATCGTGATCACCCAGTACCCATACCCCCACATGGGGCCGTTCCACCTAGCAAGAAATTCTTTAGAGGACCTTACGATCAACTTCCTTGGGCGGAAAGACGATCAAGGATGATTGATGCTCTTCTTTCTCTTGGGGATTTAGACATTGTTGCATTCCAAGTCAGTCCATATTACCTCTCAACCTTCTAACTTCTGTTCATATCTGTCTTCTCTGCTTCTCCTACTCCACATACATCTACTCGATGCTCCAAATGATTATGTCTTGGAAGGGCTGTTCCTGAAGGGATGTGTATCGATTTAACTTGATTCATGAAAGTGGGTCGGAAAGGAGGTAGCTGATGAATAGGAAGTATACAAAAACCAATTGGACGACATACAAACCCTCCTGGGACCTGAATACTCACACGTGGGAGTCGGGAGAGACGATGGTATTGAAGCTGGTGAATATAGTCCTATATTCTATGATTCAACCCGATTCGTATTATTGAAATGGACAACGAAATGGTTATCGCCAACACCTGATAGACCTTCAAAAGGCTGGGATGCGGTGAATATTTCTTTTCATGTATCATCCGTCATCTTACCTTTAACCCGGATCCCGCCGAATTGAGGTGTCTAAAATTCGCAGGTGTGGTTTCAGGTGGTTGAGAGCTGATGATTTACCCTATGTAAACCGACGATCGTATGGATTCAGAGTTGATGGGATCAGAGAGTAGACAGAATGGACGAAATCTGATACACAGAATTTACCTAGAATCATGACACTTCTCAGTCTCAAAGACAAATCTGGGGAGATAGTACATGTCGTCAATACTCATTGGGACGATCTAGGAATTAGGGCCAGAGCTGAAAGTGGTTTGATGATGAGACAAGAGATATGGAGATGGGTGAGGGGTATAGAAGAGAATGAACAAATTGGAAGAGGGGTTGTTATCTTACTTGGAGATCTCAGTGAGAACACCTTGCCTTCTTTCCCTTATGTCAAATCAATTACATTCTTACTTCGAATTTAACTGCCCGATCTCCTCATTGGTTGACTTCCCCTCTACGGATAATGCTAGGTTTGTCAGATGAAGATGATTCAACATGACCGCTTCGAATGTGGAGTAAACGAAGATTCTCGAGAAAATAACTAAAACTCAGATTCTCCTCCTGAAGAAGAAGGCTATAAAAACCTCACTTCAACCCACGGCATACCCGGTCAATCAACATTCACTTTCCTAGATACTCACTCTCACATCAGAACCAGACCCAACGGAAGACAAAGCAATCCTTATGGACCTTTACATACCTATACAGGATTCAGCAGGACGGAACGTACGAAAAGGATTGATTTCATTTTTCTCGCTTCTGATCAAGATCTTCCCGCTTTCCCTCCAGTCCCGCTCCAAGAGCATGTTACGATAGACGATGGAGAGAAGTCTTCAGACAAGGTGATTTCGGTAAGAGAAGAGGGGAGATCAACCTCACAACAAGTGATATCGACAGGGAAAACAAGAATTAGAGGAGGTTATCAGATTGACACGTATGCGGTCATAGATAACTTTGTGGATGGTGATGTTACAGGTTGGAGGGGATTATGGAGTGATCATCGTGCTGTTCGAGTGACCATAAGTTTTTGAGCAATTTCCCATTGACATACGTATGTTGTATACTGGAATGGTGTATGATAAACCACGAAACCATCTCTATATTCGATATGCATATCGTTCACGATCTGTCAATTGACAAAGAGGGTGATGAAGAGATAAAATGTGAGAGATCACTATGGACCTTCGAGACCTTGGTATTCCGATTCAACACCCGGTTCCATCAATACCGCATGACCGACGATGAGGATGGCAGAAGAGCCGACTAACCAGAAGAACGTTGAGACGGGGGATGCGAACCATAGCAATGGTAGACCTGTGAGATGAGCAGTGAGGCCACCAGTACAATGTGATTCTCATGTCACGGTCTTCTGGGCCAGAGAAGTTCGGATGTGGGTTTGAATAAGGTTATAGATGAATCATTGCCAACAAGGAGGGAGCAAGTCTGAATAACGAGGGGAAATTAGACTTACCAATGACGAACAAAGCGGCATATAATGTTTTTTGAGTGATGACTCGATTTCCTACTTGCATAGGTTCAGGCGCTATGGTATCAGTATCAGTTTTCTTTCAAAATCACTCTTGATCTCTTGGTCTTCATCACCCCAAAAACCTTTGTTTACTCTTTTCATCATAAGCCCTCACACGTCTCTCCGTAGATTTCGGGCACTCCCTCGCCTTCAACACCTTGCAGTATCTTTCGCCTGCTGCTGAAATTCTAGGTCAGCCATCTTGTCCCGTCTCCAATCTACAACTTCTTAGATCAAAATCTCTAAAACTCTGTAACCTCCCCCCCCCCCCTCTCAATGTCAAATAGCTATCTCTACTTTCTTGTCTCTTCTCTGAACACAATGGAAAGTGTGAGAGGGAGACGACACAGCGTCAAAACGAAAACTCACCATATTTGTTGATCAACACGAAACCCCCAAATAAAAATAAAATAGCAATCAACAATAAAGGGTTCAATATACTTTTTCTTCAGCTTCTTTATGGTTGCACAGGAAAAAAAAACTCACATGGCATAGACAGCAAGGAGAAGTATGACTAAAAGATAATTCCCAGAAAAGGCTCGAGTGTTATATGTGATTCTCTGAACCATTAGCCCACTTTTTCCTCGTCCGTATTTCACCTCTGTCCCCTTTCCCGGATCCATAAATATTGCCTCATCATTGTTCCATGTCGTTTGTGAATCATCTCTCTCAGAACAATCCACCCGACTTTATCTTGCCATCGGAGAACCCTCCCTTCCTGGACCCTTTCGTCCTTCACAGATACCTATGTTGCGTTCGGCTTAACTCATGTCTCACATGGACCGCATAGGCACTGGGATGAGAACACTCAAAGATACAGGGACGAGAAGACAACATGTCGTGAGACGATCAGATACCGAAGTTTGAACATCGTAGACCAAAGGTGAGGATACATAAGGAAGAAGAGGTAGAAAAACTGACAGTAGTCGCATCGTTTAAATCCTTCGGTCTGGAAATTTGACGATGGTCAAACTATTCATCAATGTCCATCCTATCTTACTACCATCTGTCCGATATGCAGATGGATGCACTCACAAATTCCTGTGGCGGTTTGAGAGTTGATAATTTTGTTTGCTACTGTTAGTCTTTGTTCATATCGCTATGCTTCTCTATCATTATCGCGAATTGATGCAAAGATACATCGATGACGGAGATGACTTTGATGAATGGGATTGGATAGGAAGGAAGAAAAGAAAAAGGAGTATGCTCACTCTGAAATGACTTATCACTTCGCTAGCTTTACCGACGTATTCCATCTTTTCCCTTTGCTTACACTGAGTCTGTTACGAGTCTATCAAGGATCTACAGTTGATAGTTGGGAAGATGGTGAGATGGCGAGTTGAGACATCGTGGAGGACTGTTCTGGTCCGGGGCGCAGCTGAGAAGTGCAAGTGTATTTTCCCACGGTCGTACTCACCAAAAACAAGGTTTCCATCGAGTGAAACTGAATTTCGAATGTGCATGCAGTTTGACGAACTATCTTTACAACAAATGTATGTGATCTCACTCTGTTCTAGACTTCTTACTACCCCACGGTGCAGGTCTACCCATCCCAAGTCTCTTTGTACCCTGTGCCAATTTCACTCCTTGTCCCAAACCCTGTCCTGTTCCGGCCCCTCCCGATTTGATCCCCCCTACCCCCCCCGAACCCATTCCGTTGAAACCTCCTCCCGATTGAGGCGCAGGAAGTCCAAGGTTTTTCATAGCCGCCAAACCACCCGCTGAGGCACTCTGAAAGCCCCCGACTCCAGGTACAGTTTGTCGTGCTTTCAAACCCATGTCGAAACCGTTCGGTCCTAGATGTGGCGAACTGACCGGAGAGCTAGGTATGGAACCCGTTTCCCCGGGTAATCCCAAGTTACGCATGAAAGACAAAGAAGATGATGATGCGTTTGTGAATGCCCCTAGACTTTGTTCTGTCGGTTTGAGATCTGGCTCGCCAAAAGTGAAAGGTAGAACAGTGGGCATGTCCACTCTGGTGGGCTGAACGATCTTCGGAGGTTTTTTCTCTGGTGATGGCACCATGGCCTCACGAGCTGATTTGAATCCTTCATCGGATGCTCGCCATGGTTCATGTGATCGACGATGAGGGTTGGAAGTGGATTTCGACGAGATCTGGTCGGGAAGAGCATAGTCGTCTTGATCCGAGGCCCAGTATTCAGCAGCCCGAGCGGCTTTGGTCACTTCTCTCCGAGCGAATCGGTTGAATTGGCGATCCCGGGGTTCTGGAGGATCCCACATGCTCAGAGGAGGAGCAGCACGAACACTGACAATGAGCGCCCGGAATATATCACAAAGGAAGAACGGACTGCTTCATGATGGCTTCTTTGATAGCCGCTTCGTCCGCTGGTGGCCGACCAAGCATGGCTGCTATGCGAGTTCGGACAACTACGTCGATTTCGGGAAGAGAAGCGGAGAACGAAGCCTGCCGAGTCAGCTGTGCCAGCCATACAGTACCTTATTGAACCACTCACAGGGTCCTTCTTCTGAGAGGAGATGATAAACTCAGACAGTGACTTGTCGTTCTCTTCCCCTCCCATCATTCGGAAATGGCAATGCGACAGCGTCTGCTTGTAAGCGAACTCCCTGTCGGTACAAAAAGCTCACGAGGAACAGCTGGGCACGGGTCATGGCGACGTACAGTAGTCGACGTTCTTCAGCTATCTCGTGTGCCTCGGTGCATCGGTAAGAAGGGTATGTACCTTGTTCGACTGCAACGTGAGCGCAAGGCCAAGAGGCGAAATATCAAACTGACCAGCGGGTATGAACACCACAGGCCATTCCAGACCCTTTGCAGCGTGCACCGTGGTGATTGTCACTTTCTAGATTATAAGCTACGTCTCAAGTGAGGACACCGATGAGTACGACGCACAGGCTGATCGGCGATGTCCTTTTCACTATCCGTGTCCGTCGACAGCATGGATGTCTGCAAGAAAAAGCTCAGCGGGGTCATACTGCTTTAGATCAGCTACGTTAGGCTGGTACTGGGAGAAGCTGACCCATGCTGAACCTGGCCCGCAGGCGAGATGTCCCTCCCATCACCCGCCGGCATAAGCCTAGAGCCAGCGCTCTCGTCATCGCTGGACAAAAGCTCTATCACTCCGTCATCGCCACTTCGAGTGCTCGTGCGTTTTCTCTTCTTGGTCGGTCGAGAGTCCACTGTGGTAGTCGATCCGCTGCTCATCCTTCGGAACATCGGATGTAGGCGTTGGGGAATGAGCTGAGGAGATTCTGCTTCTGGAGGGTTCACCAGGGTCGATGTAGAGATGAAACCGTCATCTGTCTCGGACATTGACCTCCTCTGTTCTTCTGCCACGACCACACTGAATGAAATCTGTCTCGTTAGCCACCCTGAGTCGATCATTAGAAAACACGCACCAACTCCTGCACATTCTCCCAACGTGAGTCAAAATCCTGCTGGGAGGTCCGAAGAAATTCCTCGTAGCCTATTTTCTGGATGATCACTCTCAAAAGCTCAGCGACTGGGGTGCGCTGATGGTGAGTATCCGGTGCATGTTGCCGTCACGACGTTGAGATGTAGAGACACACAGGAGATAGCCGTACGATAATCGAAGTGGAGAGACGCACCTTCTCAGCTGCGCGACGGACCTTGCGCACAACGCCGACAAAGTTGGCAAGATTCTTTTTCATCGCTGGTTTGAATCCTTCAGGCAATTGAGCACCATCGATTATAGACTCTGACAGCTCCATGGGTGAGAGCTTTTCAGCTTTGGCAGCCGCAAGCAGATCAGCGACGGACTGAATCGTCAGTATCGTCTCAGTGGAGGACTGATCATCTCTCACCTTGTCACCGATCGCTCTTCGAGGAACATTTACCACCCGCAGGAATGCTGGCTTGAAGGTCAGTAATGTTCACTGCCATGAGAACTATAACGGACCAGAAAGTTCGGGTTGTCGGCCAGTTGCAGATATGCCAACAGGTCTTTCACCTCCATCCTTTCGAAGAATTTGTGCCCACCAACTACTCGATTAGGAATGCTATCCTTCTGCAAGGCTGCCTCTATGTTTCTGGAAAGTGCGTTGGATCTGACTGCCCTGTCAGTCTTGAGCTGTGATGATTACACTAAAAACTCACGAAGGACAGCAAAATCCCCGTGATTAAGGACGTTCCCGGAGTAGGCAATCAAACGCTTTATCTCGGTAGCGATGAAGGAAGCTTCGATGACTGGGGTGCTAAACACTTTCAAAGTGACGGTCGTGCTCTTTGGATGCGAAGTGTAGAGATTCTTCGGAATTCGATTGCGATCTATGAGTAAGTATAGGGACCGGAATGAGACAATGACGTACCTTGCGAGACGACAGAATGCGCTGCGTGGAGTATAGACCCAGTTGAGCGGTAATTCTCTTCCAGGTGGATGGCTTGGACCCCCGGAAAGTCTATGCAGTCAGTTGCTAGATCTCCACCCATGTGATTAACTGACCGGTTATCATCTTGTTGAGGTTCTCTACTTCTGCGGAACGCCAACCGTATATTGATTGGTCGGGATCTCCTACCACACTCACTCCCCCATGTGCTTTGGCAAAGCATTTCATCAGCTCGTACTGGGTGGTGTTTGTGTCCTGGCCTCAGCTGATGCCTTGTTGCGCGAGAGCTCGGCGCTCACTTGAAATTCGTCCACTAGAATGTGTCTGCAGCTCTCTAGAATCCGGGGGGAATCACGGAACAGTCGCAATCCGAAAACCAGTAGATCATCAAAATCAAGTGAATTTGCTTCCCTCAATGTTGCCTCGTATTCTGCATACAACTGACAATCAGCTTGCTAGTTTCATGAACTGTTAATCGAACCTCAGCAATGATCGCCAGAGTGCTTGTCGAAGTATTGGGGTCTCTCGCAGCTCTGACCGCCATTCCTTCAGGATCTTCTTCTTTCGCTTTTGCCTTTGAAATCTCGGACAAGACGCCGGAGTCCTTCAAAGACATCTGTGAGGCTCGGATGATCTCAGCCTTGGCTTTGAGTAGACCCGAAATGATCTTCTTGCTATTGATAAGCTTACTTTGCCAAAGTCTTAGTCGCTCACCAATCGTCCGCGTCGGCTATGGCAAAGTTGTTGGGTAAGCCAATGAGCTGTCCGTAGCGTCTGAGGTATCTCGCGCAAGTTGCGTGGAAAGTTCCTTGGTGTCATTTCATCTCTCCTCTCTGTGTCAGAGAATCACATACCCAATACCAAGGCGTCCGCGGCTTTAGACCCTAAAAGAGAAGTCAATCTCTTTTTCATTTCATTTGCAGCTTTATTAGTGAATGTGACGGCTACTATCTGCATGGGCTTGTAACCATGGTGCTTGACTAGGTAGGCAACTCGGCTTGTAAGGACTCTGGTCTTTCCTGATCCCGGACCCGCAAGGATCTGCAAGGGAACGCTAGGATCTGCAGTGACGGCTGAGTTGAAATCAGCCCTTTGGTCCATTCGGAGATGGTGATAACGGACCTTTGAGTTGAGCCGGATTGAGCGCCTCAAGAAAGGTTGCCGAGCCGGGATGATCTTTCCCGGATTCTGTGTCACGCATGACCACATTCATCCTCGTGCCTTTGAAGGTTGTGGGGAAGTGAGATGTTGTACTAGAGCATGCTTTGGAGGATGAAGATGAGGGTGAAGGGAATGGGGTTGTCTGTTGAAAAAGAGGTACAGTAGATGATGAAAAGAGAAAAGACATGACGTGTGTGACTGTGTTTGATCGACGCTCGGACCACGCGATCGAGATCGGACCCCCCCATATGGCCATCTTCCATACATCTCCGGCTAGCGTCCAAGCCACAACCGCAATTCTGATTTCTCCGGTAAAAAATGTTATGAGAAAAGATTTTAAAAGTCAACCATTTCTTTGTTGTACTTTGTTTTCTTACTTCCTCATCATGGTCATGCGAGTGCTGGCACTCTGCGGTTTCACTCAGAACGCTCATATCTATTCAAAGCAGGTCAGTCCCACCATCATGTTCGTCTTCAGAATGTCGGAGCTGACAGAGAATTAGTTAGGTGCGATTCGGAAGACATGCAAAGAGGTTGAATTTGGTTGGTCTTTTCAATCCATCAGCTTGTCTCTTATCCTTACTAAATCTGACAGTTTTCTGCGAACCACCGGTGGTCGTGAAGAAAGCCGACATGCCATGGGCTCAGAGTACGGCGTCTTTCGGTTCAGACGCTACCACCGACGAAGATGCTCAAACACCTGAGACGACACCTCGAGCATGGTTCCTGTCCAGAGATCGATCATCCCTCTTGGGTATGTTTTCTCCTCTTCCATATTCTAGTCTATCTGACTTTTCAGAAATACCAGAAACGATGGCTTACATGCACGACTTTTTAGTCCGTCATGGTCCCTTCGACGTGAGTTCGGGCCTTTTCCCTTTGACTAGCTCAAGTGCTCATGCTTTTCTATAGGGTGCCATGGGATTTTCACAAGGAGGGTGCATGGCTGCACTACTTGCTGCTTTAGTGAGTCTCTCTCTTTCTTTCATCCCTTGACTTCTAAAACTGACGGATAAAGCTCGAGAAACCCAATCTTGACCCGAGTTGGCCGAGCGAACCCCGAATTCCTCCCTTCAAATGTGAGTAAACGGACCGGTTATCACGGCCCCAATCTTTCCCCTCCTTTCCCACTTCATCAAACACAATCGGTTCCTGGTCGAGCGTCTGATCACCCTTATTTCTCCTGGATTTCAAGAGTTCATGACATAGAACTTCCGATCGAGTCCATTTTTCATGTTCGAGAGAGAATGTAACTGGGGCCTTTGGACAGGTGGGATGAAACGGAGAACACGGAGAAAACAAGGACTTTCGAGCTGACAAAGAAAAAAGTCATCATATGCGTCGGTGGATTTTTTCCCAACACCACCAACCCGAATTTCTACCCTTGGTTCCCTCTACCGGCTCATTTATCAACACTTCATGTGATAGGAAAGAACGACGTCATCGTTACTGAAGAAAGGAGTAGGGGTCTTATTGCTCAATGTGAAAATGCTCGTGTGGAATATCACGAAGGTGGTAAGTGTTATTGTTTTCCCTGAATTCGCTAACTCACCCTTATTTCTTACTGGGATTTTAATCCCTTGGATGTACACACACTCTTCCTTGTACATCATACGCAATCCTCTAATCGAGAATAAGATTTGGCTGATTTACAAAGGACATTTCACACCCTCGAAGGCTTCCTGGAGGCATTTCTTCAAGTACGTCACGTCCGACTTCTACCCATCTTTCCCTACATCACTATAACCTTCCTTTCTCCTGACTTCTCCCTCAAACCCCACCCTCTTTCTGTATTCACCCCACTCATCATTTCCTCGAGTCATTTCATTCACACCACTCTGATGACTCGTTACATCACTAATCAAGTCACACACTAACACTTCAGCGCTTACATCATGTCATTCGTCCCCGGTGGAGATCAAGGAGATGTTCCACCTCCTTCATCTTTCGGTCCAGGAGGAAAGAGCGGTATCTCAACCCCTATCCTTCCCGTAAGTCCACCGCGAAGTCCATCGCCGGTGTGGGGTAGATATCATTTCACAGATTGTCGTTTAGATCCTATTTTTAGTCTTTGAGTGGAATGCTCAAAACCTCTCGATTTTCAAAATTAATTCATCTCATCCTTTTCCATCTTATTTCCCATGTGATTCTTGGGATTCTTCTCGCATGGAGCTTTTTTGGAGGGCGATCATTGTGGCTAGTTGAATTTTTATGTTGTTGATATAACCAAGGAATGAAAAATTGTCATCATCTCATCACCATTTCGCAATTTTGCTGTGTACCGTACCTAGCTACATAGGCTAGCTTGAATATCCGACTTGCGATCATCTTCAATCTTCTCGAACAGAAAGGGATTTCTTGCGGCTCGAGACATGCGGCATGCGGCAAGAGCGAAAAATGAGGTACAAGGGGAAGGGGAAGGGGGGAGATGTTGGGACACGGACGTTTTGAATAGATAAGACAAAGGATCTAAAATGTTTAGGTTAGATTATCATTATTTTAGACTACCATCATACAGTAAAATGCATAGAAAGAATAAAAAAATTCACACGGTTCACACAGACAGAAACAAAAACCAAAAGTTCAAAAAAGTCCTTTTTATCGAAACCAATCTTGTATTCGTACTCGTGTAACTTGTACCATCTGTACCCAGCACGCGGTATCACCCCTAATTTCATTCTGATCGATAGTAGGATAAGCAAAGAAAAAGGGGGAAGGGAGGAAGGGCGAACAAAGTGATTAGAATCCATCTTGTTCCCTAACCAAAGAAACTTTCTTCATCCCTACTGTCGATTGTTTCTTTACCAAAACAGGTAAACTACTTCTTTTGACAACTTTATGTTCTTTCATCTTCGTTGTCTTACCCGTGGGTGTCTGATTATGTTTAGTACTTTGACCTAAAGGTTTCGGTGTTACACTTCCTCTTCCTCCTAAAACCGCTGTCGATCCTCGGACAGGAACGGGAGTTTCCATTTGTCTTTGATTTTGGTTGATTGTCGAAGTGGGTATCGAAGACATTGAAGAATAAGGATGTTGGATTTTTCTCGTTGTACTTCCTTGAGAACCCTGTGATGTTTGTGGACCGTATGACGATTGTGAAGTATGAGAAGGATGAGAAGAATGTGAAGTATGAGAAGGATGAGAAGAATGTGAATTTTGTGGTGTGGAATTACCACCTTTAGAACGTTGAAGTAAGACCAATTCCGTTTGTTTACTATCCAAAGCAACATTTAAAAGTTCTTTATCATCTTCCAACTTTCTACATCTCTTCTCTAATTCCATCATTCTCATATTCTCTCCTGAGGATTCTTGTTTCAATTGAGATATTTCCGATCGGAGGGAAGCTTCGGAAAGTGTGAGTCGATCAACTTCTGATAAATATGTGGATAATCGAGAACCCAGATCTTCAGCACGCGCATGTTCCATCTCTGCCCGAGTGATTGACTCTCGTGTGAAACGTTGTTGATCTTGAAGTTGATTTCGAAGATCGGCAAGTTGTTGAGTAAGAGAAGAGATTTCGACAGTGGCACGATTGTGGAGACGTGAAGTTTTGAGAGAAGTCTCTTGAGCTTCTTCGGCTATAGCGCGGAGAGAATGAATTTCTGAAAGTTGCGAGTGGACGGTAGAGCTTGATTGAGAGAGATGGTGACGGGTATTGATGGTTTCAGATTGGAGGGAAGAGATCTCTTGTTGAGCGGAGAGAAGTTGGTTTTCTAAAGAAGAGATTTTGGATTGAAGATCGGAGAGTTGGGATAAATCTTCAGACCTTCTCTCCAGAGCGTCGCAGAGCTATGACGTGAGCATCTATGATCTACCATCGAACTCGCCATAACCCCCCACCCACCCGTCGCCGACGGCACAGAAGTCTCAATCTTGCGAAGAAAGATAGTGAGTCAATGCCAAACCTTTACCAAGGAACACATCAAATAGAAGGAAAAGAAGGGGCAACAGAATAGAATGAGACGGAGAAAAAGCAATTCAACCAGGACTCACCTCTGCCCGTTCTTCCTCCCACATCATCTGATCCCCTCTTAAAACCCTCAGACCCTCTTGTACCTCCTCGAACCTATCTTCTTTCTCTTGCAGGTCCGCGATCATCTCCGCCAGCCTTTCCTCCAACTCCATTATCTGTCTTTGGGCCAAAGCGCTTTCTTCATCCTTTCCAAAAGTCACAGTCCTGAGCTTATCTTTCAGCGCTGTATTCGCTTCTTCCAGCTCGGCCACTCTTTCCTGGGAATTCCTCAGTTCCCCCTCGTTCTTCCTCATTTCCTCACGTTCCTCATCGCCTCTCCTCAATTCATCTTCAAGAGCAACTATGGTGCCCTCTTTATCTTTCAGGTCTTGACTCAATAAAGCATTGGCATCATTCGCGGCTTTGAGAGCCGTTTCGATCGACTTTTGCCTTTCTTCACTCTGATCGAGTTCTTGTTGTAAATCATAGGTACGATCTTCGTGTTCTATAGCCCGGGAGCGCCATCTCTGCAAGTCCGCATCGTACAATCCAAGATGTTGAGCGTACTCATCCGCCGTACTTTCCAAACGCCGGTCCGCCTCCGCCAATTTAGCTCGTAGTTGCTCGTTGGCAAGTTTGGAATCGGAAAGTTGACGACTGACCAATTGATGTTGCGATCGAAGTGTGCCCAGCTCTTTGCCGAGTTCGAATTGCACCGTATGTGCCGCCCGTAAAGAGGCTGCTTCGCGTTTTTGCGCAGTGGATAGTCGGGTGTTTTCCTCGGCCAGTGAGGTGACTTGAGTGGCTAGGAAATCATGAGCAATTTGGAGACTGGTTAGGAACTCTTCGTTCTCTGCTAAAATGCGACGTGACGAAGACAACTCTGTGAGATCAGCTTCGCTTCCAGATACTGTGGATTACGCAGTTGAGAGGCGAGGTCAAGTCGACAATGAACAAGGTCGAAGAGAAAAGCGACGTTCGATGAGTGGAAGGACTGATGGACCCACCTTCAGAACTCGTGACAAGATCCTCCTGAGCTTTCGAGAGAAGTCTCGTTTTCTCATTGAGCTCAATCATGAGTGTCCTTTTCTCCTCACTCTCCTCTTCCAAAGCATCACGCAACTGCCTTGACTCAGCTTGCAACTCCTCTACCACATCCTCTCCGGCTTTAATCTCTCTCTGAAGCGCTTTCGTATAATCCGCATGAGCCTCCAGCAGCGCTTGAGAGATGCCCATAGGAGGTGCGGAAGAATGCTTACGTTCCACATATGGTCGTCGGTGTGGCAGAGGTAAACCGTGCGCTCCTAGAACGGGTCGGGATGATGGGGTGTGAGATCTAGTCTGTTCACTCGGACTGTCCGTCTCACTCGACCATTCTGTTCCTTCCTGCTGTGCTGATTGAGCAGATAGAGGCGATTCATCGATCGTCGACAGAGTTGTGGTGTGGAATAAAACTTCTGCTCCACCATCCATTGCTGGAGTGAGATCATCGGTTGGTTCATCTACCAACTCTTCCGCTTGCCCACCAACGAAATCCGATATCTCCGGTGAGGAGGCTCCAAAAGCGTCTAGAGACATACGCTTAGTGACCATCGGAGTAAGCTTGACTTCGAATGGTGAACTGGCACGTTTATCGATTTTGCTCGTGGTCGATGGTGTTTTCGTATGTCCGGGCGAATGAGTGTCGCTTGAGGAGGGAGAAGAGGTGAATGAAGAGTCGAGACCTTCTGGGGAGTACATGTCTCTTGAGAAGAAACGAATAGCTATTGATAAGCACAGTCTCTGTGTCAATGACAGGGCGACTTACCACCTTTCTCATGTTTGGCTCCATCGATGAAAGCTCCTCTGCGTAGATCATCCGTCCGACCACCAGGGGTACCAACGGGGAGTTCTTCTTGAGGTACCATGATACTGAGACCATCATCGCTATCTATACTTGTTTCACGACGATGACGGTAGTCCGTCGATGGCTCGAATTCGTCGTCGAAGTATGAACCGTTGTTACCATAGGGGCTCAGATGTCTGGCAAGGGGGACAGGATGAGGGTGCTGTTGGGTACTAGGAGCGAGGAGACGAGGAGGGGACGAGTTGGTAGAGGAGGTCATGAATGGATGAGAGGGAGATGCAGGGGTGGACAAGTGCCCTACATGTCAAACGACGCATCCAGACACAACAAAGAAGAGCTTACGAGTATGCGGGGATCCTGGAATTCTGAGAGTCTTTGGAGGAGATGTTGTCTCTACCGCTGATGTACTCATTCCTCTCTTCCGAGGAGACTCCAATTCGATCTCAAATCGCATACGTCTCACCCTAACGCTATCGGGAGTGACAACCTGGAGCTCTGCGGGTGTCGTTGTGAGATAGACTGAGGCGTGAGTTGAATGATGGTCGGGAGTGTGGACATGTTGTGCTCGACGGGAAGCTCCGATGATTGATCTTTGGAGAGGGGTTGGGGAAGGTAAAGGTGGTATGTCTTCCTCTTGCTCGTAGTCTATTTCATGTTAGTCATAATCAAAATACCAACGGCTTGTCGAAGTCCCAGATTCTCAAATGTTTTTATCTCACTCAATGCCCTCCAAAGATGGCAAGAGCAGAGGTCGGAGACGGACAGGTGGTGAGAAAGTAACTAAGAAAGTGGACACATAGATGAACAAGGAGAGGGAGAGAGGAAGTGGAGAAGAAAAAATCTCACGAGTCGTCCCGCTACCAGTCAACCTCATATCAGAAGGAATACTTCTACTTCCTTTCAGACTACCCCTCCTAAACTTCTTCAAAGAGTTGGAACGTCCCAATGAACCAGTATCAAGTTGCGGCCCATTAGTAGAAACTTCACCCAACGGTAATGACGGTCTTATCTTCGAACGACGTTTACGAGACCTGTTCTTGAGTGCTGCTAGAGAGGGATGGTGTGCTAACGATCGAAGGATAGAAGGAGTTCTCTGATGTTTGGGCGAAGCAGGTGGAACTGGAGTGGTGTAAGTCCTATCTAGGAGGGGAGGTTCTTCTTGAATGCTCTGTTGAGCTGAGACGATACCGGAGAGGGAAGAAGTGGGACGTTTAGAATGATGTGAGTGAGCGGAGGAAGGTCTGTTGAAGGGATTCAATCTGTGCAAGAGGTCTTTGGTCATGATTGTGATACTGGGGTGGTGTCAGAGTGTGAAGGGATGAGGATGAGTATCAGGAGTGGGGAAGAGATTGAACAAGGAAAAGAGAAGAGAGAGTGTTGACGTTGTTAGGAGTTAACGAGTCAGAGGTGGAATGTTAGTCAACGTGACTGATTTTCTACGAGTGAAATCCCTGACGACCGACGTCAAAGGATGCTTCGCTTCGATCAGTCAACGAGAAAATGTGCCACTTTCACTTTTCGCCACTTTACCAGGTTACCTGCATGTCAACGGCATGTCTACTCTTACTTTTCGTTTATACACCAAAGAGTCGCATACTTATATACTTAACCGCCATATCACATCTCCCTTCTCTACTTATGTTCACACCATTGAAGCGCCTGATCAATTGACAATGATCAACCCAGGAGCGAAGATAGCTTCATCCGCCGCAGCTTGCGCGTCCGCATATGGACCAGCGTTGTCACTGATGATAGTAATGGTGAGACCATTCATCAGATGTTCCGTGTATGGCCACGCACCCGTGAAGACTGTAGTACCACCTTGATCCGACTTGTGAACCGCGGGCACCACTACTGGTAAGTTTTGTTGGTTTATGTACACTACATAGTAGGTTTTGCCAGTGACGACGTCGGCCGTGTTGACTGCAAAACGAATGGCGGGATTGTCAACGGGACCTGGAGTATCGAGTACGGTGATATGTTTGAAAAGAGGGATGGTGATTTCGTTTACGTTGGGACAAGTGGAAAAGTCTATGAATTGGTTGAGGATAGAGAATGCGAATGAACGGATGGAACGAGTGAGGAATGGAAGAGAGTTTGGAGTTCGGCCTAGAAGCAGTCTAAACTATGAGCAAGATCTCTTAGGTGACTTCAAGATTTTCACATTAGATCTGCAGAGAAAGATCGGCGAGAGTACGAGAGAATGATATCATAGGAGGAAGGTATTATATGAAAAAATGACTTACCTGTAGTATCCAGCCTGTGCACCTTCTTGTCCCAAGGTGGAGGCGATCGTCGCTGTGAATGGAGCATCGCCATTTTCAGCAAAATCTTGGATGATGTCCTGATCGTCAATCTAAAGATCGAGCAGTGAGATCAGATCGGTACCCTCGATGGACGAGTAGTGGAACGAGACCGATGACGATAAGACCAGATCGATCCGATAAACTTACCTGAAGAGTGGACATGACAAGACTAGTCCAAGTCATGGCGAACAGAACACCTTGTTGGAAATTATTAACGGGAAATTTGTACACTTTACAAGGTTGAATAGGGTTTGCTCCATAATGTTGCAAAGCATGAATCGCGTTGATAGTGTGTAATTCCTCTTGCGCCTGAGCTGCCGATAATTCCGCGATGAGGATATCCCTATCGATCGTATGAGGTACTTCGAAACCCGTCACATTGTTGGTGACGTTGTGTAAGAATTGAGCGAAAAATACAGCTTCAAAATATTCGTTAAAGTTGATTATACGGAAGTTGTTGAGTGATTCTTGGTTGTGTAAAGTGGCAGGGAGTGTACGATTGGACAGAGTACCCAGGGCTTGTTGTTCGATGGCTTTCAATTGGGCGGGAGATGGGTTAGGATAACCATCGGGGAGTAAAGTGTTCGGGAGAGTGACTGGAGCGGCTTGAGAGAGTAATAGGACTTGTAGAGCTGAGACACAGAGAGTAATCACTCGCATATCGAGAATAGTCTGTGATTTTTGGTCTTGGCGATAAGTGATCTGTTATCGGTGTGAAGGAAAGAAAGTAGGAAAAGAGGAGCGATGATAGATAAGTGTGAGTAAATTTGACAAGAGGAGTGAGTGGGGGAAAAGGGGGCGTAGAGTCCAAAGGGGATCTACACTCACCTTATATACCTCCATCGTAGGGACATCCCCTTTCGTGATGTCGGTATCCCAGATTCACAGGGCAGAAGTGAGACGGGGTGTGGAGGTAAAAATGACAATGTCGGTGAAGCACCATATCGCGACATTCAAGATCTTCACTGATCACTGATTGACCATGAGAAAAAATCTGATAACTGACATTTGATTTTGTACAGTATTTGACGCGTACCTCGTCCATCGTACCGTGGATACAGTGGAGCGCGCAGAGAGCTCGTACTACCCGTACAGTACTTCATCGATCATCGCGAAGCCGCCGGCCACTGGTCTTTCTAGCCTGTATTAAACATCTTCGGTTTCATTGTCATTCGGATCGGCGTACATCAGTTCTTAGCATTCGGTGATTTCATTAAACGGTTCGGTCACGAATATCCAACGTGTCGAAGTCTGGTAGGGGGCCGGGCGAACGAGAGAACGAGGGAACGAGTGGAGATGGTACCTTCGATGTTGTAGGTGTTCCGAAAGACATGTACTGTCACGAGTAGATCGTTGATCGTCTGATGAAGAACAATGACACCATGGTGACGCCAAGGCGGTTGATGTACCGTATCGTATTGTCTGTCATGCCAAGCTGACAAATCAGTGATCAGTGAGCTTGTCATGCATGGATGTACTGGTCTATTCTGGCCAGTGGAAGGAGAAGATGACGACCTTACTCCGAATTCTCGACGGTCTTGCTAAGAATAGCTGTATTCACGATGAAAGTCGTCCTCAGCCTTCACAGGCCTCACGGGCCTACAGGATCACAAGATCGCAAGAAAGCACGTCGATAAGGAAGAGACTTCGCTAAATGTGATACCGGCGATCAGCGTACGGCGTCGTTTGCGAGCATCATAATGTAAGACAGTCACCGTATGCTCGTATCCCTCAGAAGTCGTATCTTGAGAACAAAGATCCTCGTATGGGATTGTGTGTCTTCTTGTCGGTCTACCGGCTAGATATAGACGATCTAATCCACAGGCCACGAGGCCACGAGGCTTCTGTTCTGTTTGTCAGCAGGGTCTGAACCATGAACCATCAACAATCTCCAAACAAAATGCTGATTCATCCTCATAAGATTATTGTCCGAATCTTGATGATCAAGTCGAAATTGCATGGACTGCATGCATTGCAGAGAGGTGATTGACCTTGAAAAGAACCCCCATTCACATGCACGACGTCGAGGATGGATGAATGCAGTGAGGTGGTTGTATACTACAGTCAGTGGTATGTATGCCGAGAGAGTTTTGCTTACTGCATGCAAACAAAGTGGGGGACATGGGGGGAGCTCGGGGTAGGGAGAGGGGGAAGTGGAAGTGGATGGGAGACGTCGGCTGCAAAAGGGAAGGGGGAGACGCGTGCCTTGAATTTCCTAATAGGGATTAGTATAGTTGGGTAGACGGACTTGACTAAAAACGGCGGCCGGAGTAAGCAAGGGGGCAAAGGGGCAAGGGGACAAGGGGAACGGACATCTTCTGAACGGGGGGGGGCACGAGCACCTACCTAAATCTTACACCTAGACTTTCTCACTCTCTCCTCCATCCATCCATCTCTCTCTCTCTTTTCTCACACACTCTCCCCCCTTCTATACTTGGTAGATGAGACGTTCTTCTCTACCCGTATACTTATAATATCCTTCCTTATCAGAGCACGGGACCACGCGTTAACGTCCAATCCAGTCCCAGAACAAGATCGACGATCTTCACCCCGACTCACACACTTCTGACCGTTCTGGTCATTCCTTGTTTGTATTGTCGCTCTCACCATCTTGAAGCGCCAAAAGCTACTCAGCCATTGAATCGTGCAACACGTTAAAGATGGGTAAATCATCTAGACGCTCGACGGCCATGTCATCCACTACACCATCCATCACACCCTCTGCCCGTTCTGCATTTTTTAACTCTAAATCAACTCCCTCTCCCTCTGGGTCCGAGCAAAAATCAGCGCGAACATCACTCATCAATGTTCTATCTCGTCCTCGACCCACTTCGGCAGTCTCACATCATTTCGCAGTGTCAAATGAAGGGTTTTCACCTTTTGACGATGACTTTGATCTATCCGACCAATCGACCATCAGCAGTTATGCCAGTTCCATCAGCTCGACCCGACATCCCTCTGCTGAAGATGTAGCTCAGTTGTACAAAGATTATCTCGATAAACCATTTGTAAACATCAAATCCACGTTCAAGCATAGTGAATTTGGTCATGATAATAATCCCAATTGGCGCTGGACAAGTCAATGGAATCCTGATGAACCTATTCATCCCATGGTGGAGATACAACCTCCATACTATGTATTATTGACCACATACATCAGGTGAGTGTCACCATCATAGACTTATATGATCGTGTGGCTGACAAATAAGTTATTTGATGTTCATCGTTTTGGGTCATATTCGTGATTTCTTCGGAAAGAGATTCTTCCCTGCGCATTATGCTCATCTCATGTCCCACAATGTACGTGTTTGAAGTTACATCGACAACAACGCTTACACTTCTAGGGCTACGCTGCTTTGAACTCTGACTTTGATTCATTCTACACTCGTCGATTGAAGAAACGTATCGATGATATCTTTTCACGACCTGTCACTGGCGTGGCTGGTCGATCGATAGTGGTCTACGATCGTTATTCCAACGATGAACAAGATACGTTCCAATACACTGGTGGGAAAACGCGAGCTCTGAACGTTTCATCTTACAACTACCTTGGTTTCGCTTCCTCCAGTGGTGGTTGTGCAGATGCTGTCGAAGTGGCCATCAAACGCTACGGAATTTCCAGTGCTGGTTTCCGATTAGACGCGTCGACCCTTGATCTTCACCAACAAACCGAGAAACTCGTTGCCCGTTTCGTTGGTGCCGAAGCGGCAATGGTCATTTCTCAAGGGTTTGCGACCAACTCAACTACTATCCCAGCTCTTGTCGGAAAAGGATGTTTGGTCATTTCGGACGAATTGAACCACGCTTCGATTCGATTTGGAGTTCGATTGTCGGGCGCTAGCATCCGAATGTTCAAACATAACGATATGAAATCTTTGGAAAAGTTGTTGAGGGAATGTATCTCTCAAGGACAACCTAGAACTCATCGACCTTGGAAGAAGATTTTGATCATTGTGGAGGGGTTGTATTCCATGGAAGGAAGTTTGGTCAATTTACCTCAATTAATAGAGTTGAGACGTCGATACAAGGTCAGTCTTCCTCCGTTCCACACCCTGATTATACTGATCATCAGTTTTACCTCTACGTCGACGAGGCTCATTCTATAGGGGCTATAGGACCTAACGGTCGTGGTGTTTGTGATTACTTCGGTATCGATTCCCGTGAAGTCGACGTTTTGATGGGAACTTTTACCAAATCCTTCGGTGCCGCAGGAGGTTACATTGCCGGTTCTAAAGAACTCATCGATCGACTTCGAGTACGTTCCCACGCCATGTGTTACGCCGAGAGTATGTCACCTGCCGTTCTCACTCAAATCATCGCTTCAATGGGATCTATAATGGGTATAGCCCCACCATTAGCATCACCAGCAGAAGAAGAATCCGATTCCGTATCAATCGTCTCTCGACATGCGGTCTATGGTCCAGCACCAGCTTCAAGTTTACCAACATGGCTGACACTCCCTACCACACTTTTGAACGGTACGGAAGGTAGGGAAAGATTACGAAGATTAGCTTTTAATTCACGTTACCTTTCTTCTGGGTTGAGAAAACTTGGTTTTATAGTTTATGGTCATCGTGATTCTCCTATAATCCCTCTTTTGGTTTTCTCACCTGGTAAAATGCCATATTTCTCTCAGATGATGTTGAAACGTATCGGTGTGGAGAAAACGCCAATAGTAGTGGTTGTGGTTGCTTATCCGTGAGTTCTCTTCATTCTCTCTGCTTCCTTTCCTCAATATCCAATTCACATCACACGCGGACTTCTCTTTGCTATTTATTATCCCATGGCTAATTGTCAGAGCCACTCCTCTTATCTCATCCAGAGTCCGATTCTGTCTTTCTGCATCGCACACGAAAAACGATATCGATATGTTGCTTCGTGCATGTGACGAAATTGCCGATGTGTTGGATTTACGATATGGAAAACAAACCATGACGGTGGATGAAGTCATAGCTTCGGCAGAAGAATTGGTAGCTGCGAACTTCTAAAGATCATTGGATCTCAATCGATCAAAGACGAATCTAATCGTTCGACCTACCATAACACCTACAAACATATTTTCTGCCTTCTACTCTACCTCCTGACCACTCCACCTCAAAGTTTATCGTCTCCTGGTATCGTTGTGGATATACGAGTAAAAAGGACAGAAGACAGTGCATGGTATGGTATGGAAGGAAGAGAAGGTAGATAGGAATTTGGTCATACTGCTGATAACCCTTGTAAAACCCCAAGGGTGATAATTTGGAATACTATTAAGAAACCGCCTGGAGCGTTAATGCAACTTTTGTGATTGAATGATATATGTGCATGTTGAACCTCTGATTCACTACTGTAGCTTATCTCATAAATATGGTTGAGTGGCGTTACTACTGGTACAATGTAATTCATCGATCATTCAATTCGATAACTTCACCAGATTCCAGATGTTCATAATCCATACTTAGATCCGTTGACATTTCACGTTTTATACATAACTGCCAGTTAGCACATGATCACTGGCTATATCATCTCCACCACTTCGAATTCCTAGCCTCCGGTTGAACCTACCCCACAGCGGCCTTGCAGGAATATGGTTTAGAAAATAACCACACGATGATAATGACGGTGATCGTAACAGGAAGAAATAGGTTGCGTCGTCGCAAATATCCTACAAGAATCATCTGATGTTGTGATGAGGGAGAAGTCTGATAAATGGGGAGTTTTATAAGTGAAGGGAGGAATGAATCCAAGGAAAGGAAGACTCACCTGCTCAGCAATAACGATCATCACTAAAGCTCCAAGAGCTTGAACTGCCCAGTAAAAAATACTAGCGGGGAACGATTTGGCGTAGTAGGTCGTCAATATCAAATGGACGAAATTCAATGTGAGAGAGAAGTCTAGGATGTATGTAGGACGACGGATTAGGTAGTAAAGAGGTATGATACTGATTATTAGCTTATTCCTTCTTTCTTCAACTCTGTTGCTTTTCTTCCGTTTCTACTTGAATCGATGAATAAATCCTCTCGAAGGAGTTCATACTGATACCTTACCCAAAAAAAGGATAACTTTTAGATAGGGGTTCAATTTTTTTGATACCTACAAAGTAGGAAAGTGTGAAAAGAAGTGGATATTTCATAAGACATAGATGTAGAGTTGATTCGCGGATAAAAGTCTAGGTATAAAGATATATGGTCACTATGTACGGGTATAATTCCAATTGATGTAGATTATGAGGATGAATTAGTGGATGAAGAACCCTACTCACTCAATACAACAAGCAATCATCCATGCAATCCCAATCATCCAACCTCTTGTATCATCTAAACCAAAATCTAAAATCTCCATCCCATCTTCTTGTATCTCATCATTTTCCACAGTTCCAATTTGTTTACCACCACTCCAAGCACCTCGTAATGAATTCCATCCTCCTTCTAATGTGGTTGAGACGGTAGGTTTCGATGACATCTCTCTCCAATCCATCAAATGAGAAACCGTTGTCGGTCCTCCTGAATATGCTAGAGTGTCGGGAGAAGTAAAGGTAGCTAGTAATGGTGGTATCAAAACTGCTAAAGTGAGATAATGAAGAGTTTGCATTGAAACGATCTAGACGTCAGTTTAGAGAAGTCATCATGTGGAAAGGAAGGGAAAGAATGACTGACTTGACATATTAACCTATATCGTCAGTTGAGCAAAGTGAACAGAGAGAAGTGGGGAGGAGACTTACATGACGGGATCCCAACCCTGCACTCGAATCGTTTTCATCTTCGTTATCTTTCTATTGTTCGATAAGTTAGTGTCATGAGGAAGTTGTGCAAAAGTGAGAAAGACCTATTGAGGTGGACCCCGTACCCCCGTGGTTGAACGAAAGGGAAGGAGTGTGAGACGGAGATAGTCGTGATCTCCGTGATAGTAGACGATGTTGAAGAGTTGGTTCAGACGTTCTGAGGACAAGTCGGGATTTGACTTCATACTTGACTCAACTTACCCCATTCACGCTGGCTAGGTTTGAAGACAACCTTGAGGAAGATCCAACCTCACTGATGCTTCCTTCACGGTAGCGTCATCAAAAATCTCATACGCCATGGCGACATCCTCCCAAGCGGCATTCTCAACGCCCACTGGCAAACCTACTCTGACATCATCAAGAGGTCCCACATCTTCCACTCTCATATCACCTCCTCCGCCAGTCATACCAACTTCATGGTTAGCACCTCATGAGCAACGTTGGGCTTTTGTATCTATCTTCGGTCTCATAGAGGTATGTGACTGGAACTTACAAATACCAAAACTCCGGCTGATGATAGGTAACGAAAATATGGGACATTATAGCACCTTACTTGATCACCAACCCTGAACCCACCTGGTCATCAGCTTTACGAATAGAAGGACCTCTCAGTGCTACTTTATGGACTCTATTCGAACTCTCAACTTTCTTCGGTATCTCATTACTTCGCATACCCTTACTCTCCCCTTCAACAACTCAACTTGTCAAAATTGCAGCTTTGTTGATCTTATGGAACCTCGCTTGCTGGTTGATAGCTGAACCAGGGGCCTTTTTACTTCGACTCAACCTGTTTGGTCCTCCAGCATTAGGAGTACAATGGTATCTCTCATGGTGGCCCATCGTCAGCCGGGCAGTATTAGGAGAACCTTCCCATTTAGGTGGTGTGCATCATATCCGTTTACTTCCCCATAGGTCAGCTATCCGTTTCTATAATTAGGAAAGAGCTGACGTCAATAGTACTGCCACTCTTAACCCTTTATCAGTCACTTACTGTATCCCTCCGAATTCAAATATTCAACCTCTCTACATTCCTATCGTATTCAACAACTCCGTTCCTACTGAAGTTTCCTATTTCATTCGCTCGTTGGAAAACGAACATTCCACCATTCAAACCGTAGCGGGAACCTCATTGCATAAATCACAAGACCACAAACCCTCACTTCAGATCACAGATTTTGATGAAGATTCCGATGAAACTGATAATCCCGCATCTGCACTCATTCTTCGTTCTCAACAACTAGACGTATCGAAACTCCCTTCGATCAAACCTGCAGACTCCCTTGCGTTCATTCCTCACGATTTAGAACCTTCTCAACAGATTCTTTTCCTTTCCGTCAGTGAACCCAGTATCGTATCTCTTAAACAAGCTGTCGATCGTCGGGGAGATAGGTTCCACATCACTCCTCATCGCGAAGCTGTCATCATCGAATGTCCGACTGGGGGTCAATTTGTCGATCATCACGATGGTAGAATAATTAAAAAAGGAGAAAAATCACGACCGGCTGAGACTCGTTGTGTGAATGATCAAGAAGTCGTCCATTTTCAAGCTCGCGGTGTCGGAGAGCTCAAAGTAAATTGGAAGAAGAAGTCTAAAGATGGAATAGAAACCGGTGTCATCGAAGGGATAGATAGTGAAGTTCAAGCGGTGGACGAATTGGCCCTTGCTCGAAGAGAAAAAATGTCCAGAACTCATACTGTACCATTAAGAGTATCACATGACAAGTCGGGTGTTCACACAATATCTCTGACCAGCGTAACCGACTCGATGCGTAATACCTACATTCCCTCTGGACCTTCAACAGAAAAGGTCTTCAACGTCATTCCTAGGCCTTCTGCCAGTTTCGCCTGTCCAGGTCCCATCCAACTTCTGATCAATATGACTGCCGCATTCTTCGTACAACTTGACGGTACAGGTCCTTTGCCATCACCCATGGATATCACCTATACTTTCCAACCCCTAGCAGGAGAAGAGAAAAGGACCACTATGCACTTGAACAAGAGGAGCGAGGCAATCACAGTCGTGGAACCCGGTACATATACTTTACTCGACATCTCTGGTCAATGTGCTGGGAGCGTTTTAGAACCTTCCACATGTCGCGTAGAGCTTGTTCCACCTCCAGCACTGGCAATCAAAGTGGAGAGTTTACACGAAGGGGCCATGGATATAGGGGTTCTGGCCAACTTTGACTTTACGGGAACTGCTCCTTTCACCGTTTTCTGGACAGAACAGCGTAAAGGTTCTCGAGCGGTATCCCATTCGAAAAGATTCGACTCTCATCATGGAGATATTGTCTTGCAACCGGAGCAGGAAGGAATGTATACCTATGTAAGTTGACCCCTCAGTGTCATGCCTCAGCTGATATTTAGACCTTTAAAGCACTTAGTGACAGACATTATCAACATATACCTCTGGACGAACCACCAATTCAACAGACCGTGCACCCTCTGGCCAACGTTGGTATCGTCGGACAACGTGATGGGATCCGGAAGATCAAGGTTTTCTCTTGTTCTGGTGATCAAGTTGACCTTGCGTTAGAAGCCAAAGGGACTGCACCTCTCAAACTGAGCTATCTCAAATCTTGGGATGGAAAATCAGAGAATGCTACTATAGATATCAAATCTGGTCGTTCGGTTGTGCCTATAACCATCCCGTCAGAATATGGACCCGACAGTAATGCCGTGGGAAAGATGACGGTAGTTTTGACTACTATTGAGGATGGTGATGGACGGATTAGGAAATTACCTGCACCTACTCTGGAAGTGGACATCAATCGTCAGAAGGTGAGTCTTCCCGGTGGAATCCCATACGCAGACTGATATGTAGCCCACTGTGAGATTTGTCAAATCCGAGAAAGTTGTCATCACGGAAGGTGATAGCGTTAAAGCTGCATTGAGGCTGGCTGGAGAATCGGTGAGGTTTAATTCCCACGCTACTTAACACCGGTGAACGCAACTGATAATGCAGCCATGGGAAGTCACATACTCCATCAATGGTCGTTCAGCCCGACCAATCACGCTCCGAGATGCTAACAATCATCTGGTCTTCACCGAAGCTGGTGTGTATCGATTGGAACATGTCAAAGACGCACATTGTTCTGGTCATGTTGTGACTGAGGAATCGACGTTTGAGATTACATACAAGCCACGTCCTGTCGTTGCATTGGTCGACAATCCTTCACTCAAGTACGAGTTTGGAGTTTATAAGCATAAAGGCTTCTGTGCGGGTGGTGAAGATCACATATCCATCAAATTTACTGGTCAGTCTTCATATTGTTTCTTGAACAAAACTGAATGAGTAGGTGAAGCGCCATACGAACTTGCCTATAGATATACAGTAGAAGGTCGAACCACTCGTCACACACTCAAATCAGCTCAAGAATCAGGTGTTCTACATCTAGCGATTGAACCAGGTCATCATCGCTACGATTTCATCTCTCTTGGCGATTCGAATTATCCTACTTCACCTATATCCCACGCAGTGGAACATGACGTTCATTCACAACCTTCAGTCACATTCATCCGACCCAACTCAATACCCATATGTCTCGATACGTCTTTGAAAGGTGATGCAAAGGTCAGATTACAAGGAAAAGCTCCTTTCACCATCAATTTAACAGTGAGAAAACCCGCATCGACTCAATTATTCACACATACCGTAATGGTGAAAACCAACGAGTGGACATTGGACGTTCCGTATGTTGTCAAGGATATAGGGAGACACGAAGTATCAATTATCAGTGTGACTGATGATAGTGGTTGTGCTCAAATAGTGAATGATGATGATCGACTGAGTACGGTGGTAGAGGTTGTGGAAAGTGCGAGGATAGTTCCTGTTACTGCTTTAGAGGATCTTTGTGAGGGAGATAATTTGGATTTCCTATTACAAGGAAAAGCTCCATGGACGATTGAGTGAGTTTTTGTATTTTCCTCGATCCTTCTTTCTATCCACTTCGACACGGATGATATGTTTCCTATCTTCGCATATCCTGTGCATAATGGGATATCATGTGACCGACCATACGATCAGCAGGGTCAATCGGGAAAAGACTTCTGTGGATGGTCGCTGACCATAAGATACTCTTGGCTTGGTAAGAAACATAAAGTGTCTTCTTCGGCTTCTAGGTTCTCTAGATATGCAGAATCACCAGGTATCTTTCAAGTTCATTCCGTAGCTTTGAAAGATAATCAAGTGTGTTCATCTTCATTCTCCTCCTTTCCGTTTATTCCCTTAATCCTCTGTCCTCTCCTTTTTCTAATTACTCAGTCGCCTTCCTGCAGGTCGTATCTCTCTCTGGATGTCAAATCAACGTGAAAAAACTGACAATCAGTGTAAAAGAGAAATCGTAGATCTCATCCGACGTATCCATCCTCTACCTTCTGTCAAGATACAAGAAGGTCTTGATCATTTAAGAGAAGGTGACGAACCTGCTGTATTTGGTGTCACATTCGAAGGAACATCTCCTTTCTCTTTTACATATACCAGAAGTGAAATAATCAATGGGAAGAAAAAAGTTGTTGAGACTCAGGTCGGTCATCTTGATCCTTTCTCATCATGCCCACATGTTCCCTTGGTCGTGATACCTACATATCTATCTTCAAAACTGATCTCTGCTCCAACTTTCAATCACCACCCGACAGTGGCTATAAATTGATAACATGACGACGATCCAGACGAGTACGGCGTCGTCAGGTGTGAAGACTGGGTGATTTAGGATAAGAGTTTATTGACAAACAGACCATCACGGACATTCATGACAATAATTATATCATATCTTCTTCCGCTCCGGGGGATTACGAAGTGACTAGCGTATCTGATAAATGGTGTAGGTATCCTCCTCTTTCCACAAGACAGGATGTATGAATGCGGATGCATTACACTTTTGTTGATTTCATTCGTGTTTCACCTTCAGCCGAATTGACCCGTCCTTGTCAGCTCCATCAGCATTCCACTGCACGAGCTCTACTCGTCATGGTTCCATGCTCCGTGCTGTTGATGAAACTGTTTTGTGCCCCTTTGGCGACATTTCGCATCAACTCCCAGATCACAGACCACCAGCCACCAGGTTGCCTTAGTGCATCGCGTTTAACTTTGACAAATGAAACCCTCTCACCTCTCACCGCTCTACTGTTGATCGTATTTCACTCAGAGTACAGCACTCTACTCGTAATTTATTCTTATTGTAAGTACTGGTGCATCACGAGTCGTCTACTCACCCAGCAGTCAGCACGCGTCTACACATCAGTCAGCACGCGTCTACCCAACAGTCAGCACGCGTCTACCATATCCACTTCAAATAGTCTTTCTTCCCGCACGTATCCCTCACCTAGCGTGATAAAAAAAAATGACAATTTCCCCAACTCCTATAGACAAAGCAGTCGAAACGTACCGTTCTCAACCTCCCCATATCCCTCATATCCCTTTAAGACAAATAGCCAAACAACATGATGTACCACCTTCAACTCTTTTCGATCGTATTTCAAATAACAGAAAAAGTCATCCACACTCCAGTACACATCTTCAAGCTCTAACACCTAAAGAAGAAACTCAAATAATTCATTTTATTCGATCAAACGTTCTTATTGGTAACTCACCCACTCCGAAGATGATTTTCGAAATTGCGGATGATCTTCGTAGAGAACGTTTGAAATCCGAGCGATATCGTAATTATGAAATTGATCCTTTGGGTCAAAATTGGGTATCAAGATTTAGACAACGACATGCTATTCTCAAAGATTTTTGGCGGTATGAGAAGAAAAATTATCGTGTGAATATGTCTAGTGATGAGGAGAAGATGGATGAATGGGTAGGAAAAATTAGAGAAATGATAGAGGAAAAAGGGTATGATTTGAAAGATATTTATAATTTAGATCAAAGTGGTTTTGCTATCGGTTCGACTGAAAAAACTTTTGTTATGGCAATTCTTGATAGATGTTGGAAAGGATATTCAAAAGATAAATCTGATAAGGATCATCAAGAGAAGGAGAATGATTCGTGTGAGAAGAAAGAGGAAGAAAAAGAAGAAGAACAAGGTTGGATCACAACTGTAGAATGTATTTCAGCAAAAGGGAAGATATTACAACCTCTCGTCATTTTCAAAGCTCTTGAAGATTTCAATTTCACACCGCTTCGTATTAGTTATGGGGAAATCACAGATAATTGGGGTTGGACTTCAAATGAAGAAGGTTGGGTTGAAAGTTTTCTTATTCAAGATTACTTGACAGAGGTATTTATACCCATTACCACACCATCTGAATCTACTTCCCGTCGATTGCTCATTGTCGATGCGACAGGTGATATCATGGATGCAAAAGGTATATCTCTGTGTATGAGGAACAATATAGATGTATTGCTTGTTCCTTTTCATCTCTCGGAAAAACAACCTCTGCGCGTGGGGGTATTTGGACCTTTGAAAGATGCTATGAGAAAACAAGTTGAAGGATGGATTGAAAGTGTGGATAAGGTGAATGAGTCAGACTGGGCACTAGGTATGGTAGATTCTTGGAAGGAAAGTTTAACGAGAGAAAATGTAATCAAGGGTTGGTTAGGTAGTGGGTTCCTTCCTATCGACATCGTTGAAAAACTCAAAGATTCCCCTGCTCTTTTATCTCCCGCAAAACGTACCCTCCGTACAACTAAGACTACCCCGTCACCCCATACAACACGCGTCACCCGGAGCGCTCGTCAGTCACAAAACACCACTGTCCAATCCCAAAACCCTCCTTCGACCCCTCCTGCCAAAACTCAACGCCGGACTCGTGACCCAATCGCAGACATCCTAGATGAGAACACCCAATGGCTCGCAGAAAACGAAAATACCGTTCCAACGCCTGTCAAAAACGAATTACGCACTCTGCTGGAGTCCACGAGGGTGGAGGTTGCTAATAATGTGAGGTTGGAGAAAGAAAAACAGGAGTTGAAGGATGAACTGAGGTCAGTGAGGCCGAAAAAGGAAAATGTAGAGGTCATACAACGTCAGATGGATAAAGGTATAGAGAAGAGGAAGAAAAGGAAGCACACTTGAGTACGAAGGGATCACCCAAGCGATATAAAATAATCAATCTCGGGAGGGGGAACGTGCAGGTCAATGTGTGCGACAAATATCATGCAAGTGATGTGTAATATGAATAAAATATTGAGGTTGGCCACGTCGTCCGGTATGCTTTTATGCACTCAGAGCTACCGGGATAACGTCCTGAAGTGGAGGTGCTACATTCGCCAGCTTCGGAAATTCCATCTGCGAATAAGTTCAGGAAGTTTCAGATAAATCTCATTAGACTCACATGACGCACAGCAGGATACTGAACCTCCAGTTCAGTCAAGACGGCCCGGACCAAACCTCGGGACTCCTCAACATCCTCTGCGAATGTCAGTTGAAAGACCTTGCTCCACACAAAGCACGTGTGATGGACATACCAGTCGGTAAGTCCCCAAGAAGAGCCGCATCGTTGAGCAGTATCACGAATCTTGCCGTCATGTCCATTATTTGGCCTCTCCATCGAATTATACGCTTCGTTTCTCTCAAAGTCTGCATTACCTTGATGAGGGCCTTCAAGTTTGCTGTGATATGGGGTAAAGTCGTCTTTGTCGGAGACATCTGCAATGGTTGGAGTAGATAGGGTATTATAGTCTGTTCGTCAATATTTAATGATAGATATCTCGAGGTCCAGCTCACCTTCAGCCACCGGAGGATTCCCATTCCTAAGGCGTCACACATGATCTCCACACTCTGAGCAATCCCAATCAACACGATTTTCCCTTCAGCTCCCGGCGGAGCATATATCCATCCTTGCACGATGGCCTTATCCATCATCTCCTCATACATCATAGCTCTTCTCTCCCCTTGTCCTTGCAAACTCTTCTCCACTAGTTTTATGGTCACTGGGAGGACATGTGATAATGGAGGATTCGCATGTAGACTGAGGGTATGAATCAAGCTTTTCAACAAAATTTGATCTACTCCCATTCGTCGCATCGTTTCCCCGGGCATCAAATCAAGCCACGAATCCAGCACTATTACTCCTTTTCCCCTCCATGATGGGTCCCAGTCATCCATCATGACCAATGTGGGAGGAAGAAGAACCCCAATGTGCTTCTCCAATTCTGTAGATGAGAGCTGAGCGGAACACCAGATCAGAACATTATGCGCCCCGGATTCCGTGGTCTTCCAAGGTGTAGGAGCATCTGAAAAGTCTATCTGAGCATCTTTACCTCCTGCAGGACGAGGTAGAGCGCGTGAAGTGGATGGGTGAAGGAGAGGATGGGGGTTGGTGAATGTGTTGCGGAGGGAATGGTTCAGAAGGTGGAGGGCTAATTCCGAGCGGGATAGAGATGATGTCGCTCCTGGTAGTGAGCTTAAATCTCATTCAGTTGGCAAGATGTGAGCTCACGGTCGATTGTGGCCAGCAGGTTGGGTGTACACCAAAGATCGTCTTTGTACAGTCTCAAAAGGGGCAAGAGAATTTCCACTTGGTCTTCGATTGAGAGGGAGCTTAGAGGAGCGGTAGAGATTTTGGAAGATATTCGTTCCACTATATTGTTAAGGTGTTGGCGATGGTTTCTGAATTTAACTGCGGCTGTGTTGTCAGTGAAAGCATAATCTTCACTAGGATGGAAGCTTACAGATGTCTGAGGATGACGGGAGGAGTTCCTCAGGAATCACGAGCTGCTGAGTGAGGCCGCGAAGCGATCTGAGGTCTTGGCCATTCTTACTGGGACCTGCTTCGGTCTCGACCTCTTCTGAAACCTCTTCAACCTTTGCCATGATGACGTGAACGATGAACGATGGAGAAAGGAATGTAAGTGGGGGAGAAAGCGAGGGTATGGGTGGGGTACCGAGGGGTAACTTTCCCACGGTCGTCCTCCACCCCACCTGGCCTGCACCCTTGAACCTCCGCCCCGCTGTAAGTGTCGCTGTCACTGTCCGGATCTTGCAAAGTACTGAACCTCACACTTCTTTTCGTGATCAGTAGAAGACAAGCCTATAACCCAGGCTCTACGTCCGAAAGTGGAGGGTCAGATCAAGCGAAGATAGGGGGACAGCTCGACTCCAGTACCATCCCATGACCACTCAACCATCATGTCGGCCACTTCTCCACCGCAGTTCATGTCCCCTTCTAATCCCAAATACTCCTCACCGGCCATGATGTCCTCCATGTCTTCATCCTCACTCAATGAAGGGCCTTCTCGCTTTCCTGCCATGCTCAATGGGTCTCTTCCAACTCGTCTTCCTCGTCAACGCGGGCCTTTGCCAGATTTTGGAAGACGGACGGCAGAGCTCTCCATGCATCGTCAACCATCGACTGTCTTGTCCGCTTCTGGGACGTCAACCCCGACCGTCAGAAGAATGAAAAAAGCCGTTAGACAGGTTTCATCGACCAAGGATCATAAGACTAGAGATACAGACTGGGCGGCTATGGAACCTGATGAGGTCTTCAAGCGCTTACCAGTCAATCAGGTCAAGGAGGTGGAGCGGAAGCTGCGCGCAGAGGCATTGAACAAACAGGCAGAGCTTCGAGCGATGGTAGGGTACGTTAGGATCTACTGCAATGAGCCTCTAGCTGAATAACTGTGGGCTGATGGTCAGGACGAGATATCGAGATTTGTTAACTTCCGCCAGTCAGATCACAACGTTACATTCCTCCTCCCTTCGTTTATCAGAATCTCTGAGAACGGTAGCACACGCATGCTCAAATCCTACAGACTTGACAGTCACTACCGAGGAAGATGAAGGGAAGGATCAAGTAGAGGAGATTTCGAATGTTCTTCCCGTCGCTGCGCACATGAAGCTACTTCTGGACACTCCTGAGGGTGAGCCCTTCTTTTGATTCTTCGTATCGAGCTAAATCAAGCAGCGTTATATGGACATCTGGCGAGACACCACTTCCTCTATGCTGCACTTCTGTGGCTTGTGGCTAGAGTCGTCAAAGAAAGTCTGTCAGCCATGCCGCAAGATCAAAGTGGGGTAGGTCGTCTGAGGAATATTCTCATATGGACCTGATCGCCAGCCTTATCTCCCTCTTCTATCTCAGCAATGGGAGACACTTCTACCATTTCGCTCTCAGATTGTCCAGCGCGCGACAGCCTCTCTCCGAGCTCGTGAGCAAACGAGTACTAAGGTGAGAACGAACAAATTTACGCTCTGATAACGTCCTCACCGTTGTAGGTGCTGTCCGAGACAATCTTGGCCATCATCCTTTTGGACAACCTCCCCTTGAAAGAAGCCCTCTCACTGTTCCTCTCTCAAAGATTGAGAACACTACACGACATACTGCAACATGCACCCGATCCCGTCACTCCAAATTTGGCGGATGTCCCCAAGAAAGGTCGTCCACGGGGAAATTCCAAAGTGGCCATGGCGACTGCAGCTCGCGAAGCCGCACATGATCGAGAAGCCATCGCATCAGTCCTCACCGAAGCTGTGATCTCTCTCTTAGACACCGCATCCAGTGTGCTGAATTTATTCGGCAAGAGGCGCGGTGCACAAGACGAGAGCCTGATGGCGGAAATGATACGGCTGGTACAGCAAGGCGAAAAGGCGAATCCACCCACGCCTTCACAACCGAGTCCGCAAGAACGTCGGTCATCGCATGCCAGACGAGCGTCTCGATTGGCGTCCATCTCGATGGCGCTACCATTCACCAAATCCATAGCTACGTCCGGAGCGTTGGATGTGTCGACGCTGAAGGTACTCCAACCCTTGCCATCCTCACAAATATGGCTGCATCATCTCCCACCGTCGATTTTAGGCTTCACCCCATTTATCACTCCCGACCTGGTCCCGCCTGTCAATGACAAGATTCAAGAGTGGCAGAAGGCAGCCTTGGGTCTGCTTTCAGAGGCTGTTCCGTTTTGGCTCGGCGGACTTCAATCCGTCGCTGACGTATGGCGAGTGAAGGCAGATTTGCAAGCGCTGTTGGAAGAAGGCATGCTGGAAGCAGATGTTCGAACAGCTCTGGACAATGCGTGGGAAGGGAGGGTACAACGTATATGGGCCGAGAAGCTTGACGTGTTAGTGCGTCAAGCGGCTTCGCAGATCCAGTCATCTAGAGATGACTTACTTGAGGCCCGGTCCGATCTCGGTGAGTTCACATCTCCTCTCGAAGACTGAGCTCATGTTTAGACATTAACGCTGATACATTCCTCTTCTCCGATCTATCTTTCCCATCCTCTTCAGTCTCTGCGCTATCGGCATCATCTCAAAACGCCTCATTTTCATCATTCACTGATACCCTCAAAAAGCGTGTCAGTCTCCGAAGTCCCAAACTGGACGTGATCTTGACCGATCTGGAGGATTCCGCAGCGGACATTAAGAAAGATCTCGTACAGCTTCCTCCAGAACTGCACGGTCAATATCGACAAGAGTTAGGAGAGTCTTTACGGACGCTTGGCGATGTGTTACAGAGTGCATCAGAAGCTGTGGAGACGAGAGACAAGTTCAACGGGGTAGAAGCTGAGCTCTTCGTCGGAAGAGTTGCTCTTTACCTGGTCAAAGCTTCGACGTTCTTATCAGATCTGTCTCAGCATGCTAGCTACGATACTAGTAAGCTCGTCATGTTGCACCTTCACAATGAGGCTCATCGCATAGCTACCTTCGAAGGACGCCTACTGGACTTGCATAGTGCATCGACGATTCGGTGGCGAGAAAGATCAGTAGCTTCCGCCATCTCGACATTATCTCCCCTCTTTGGGCCTCACCGAGATACTCAAGGATCTCGACATACCTGGCAAGGTGAGATAAATCTACTTGTGGGTCAGCTGATTTGCAGGTCCTTATCCGTCTCAGCCTTCAAGATATCTCATGTTAGCATTACAATCCCTCGTTACGGCCGTCCCGTTGCTGGGGATACCTCCTGGAGTCGAATCATCTGTGGTGAAAGATCTCGTGGAGACATTTGTCGACCGTGTGAGGAACATGGATGGATGGGAGAGTCGGTCGGAAGATACAGCTGTAAATGCCATGGTGGATTTAGGATTTCTGACTCTTTTGAAAGGGGAAAGCATACAGGAGGATGTGATGGTGACGAAGATGGTGATTAAAGTAAGAGTTGTTGCCGGTCTCTGTACTTTCACAGCTGACGATCAGGCTGGATCTTCCGTACCCGAAGAATTCACAGATCTTCTCCCTGGTATCTGTCTGGAACACTTACGTCGAACCCAACTTCTACTTGATCCTCTGATTCAGCATCTCCCATCCATCAACGAGAGTAAAGGTGGCGACTCTAGATTATCCTCTCTGCTCCCTCTTGGTCCTCCTTCGAACAAAGGTGCAAACACCGATTTCCGATCCCCTATCCCAGTGGCTAAACCTAGCAAAAGATTCGCTTTGCTCAGTATGGTCGTTTGATGATATCGATAGACATGATATAACAATTGCATGCATCATCTATCCTAGTTTGTAAGTATATGCGAGGTATATTCTAACATTGACCAATCCACTCAGTCTAGCATTCCAAATGAGAAAGGTGACTATGTAACATGTTTGATAGCGAGAGATGAAACCACGGCTCCCTGTTTCTTTCTGATGATCTCGTCCTCGTCCAATCCTCGTTTTCTCAAAGTCGTATCCAGTTCTTTTAGCTTGTAAACCTGTCATGAGTATCGTTTCCATACGTTAAAGAACAAGAACTGACCTTGTCTACCCGTTGCCAATCTACAATCTCCCCTTGGTTCAACTCATCAAGAGAAACCAATTGACCTCTCACGACGTGTTCTATCTTATCCCATATTTCTTCAGAAGGTCCAGGTGACCCTAGCCGAACGACCAGGAGAGTGGCGGTATGATCGGATATGCCGTGATGTCGGAGAGAATCGGTGATATTGTTATTGGGCGATAAATGGAGGAGAAGCTCTGAATGAAGGTTGTGGGTTGATGTGCGAGGTAAGGAGGAATCAGGGGAAGGGAGAGATGAGAGAAGGGTATTGAGGATAGCTATGAGGAGATGTTGACGTGATACGAGCTTGAGTATCAGTACGAATTTTTCACGACAAAAGACATGACCCTTCAAATGCCTAAATGTTTTATGGCGGTTTTCCCGTGCTTGACACTCTTCCAATTTCCTATTTTGTGTAGCACATTTCTCCTCATCACCGACAACGTTTTGTGTGTCGATTCAAATTTCGAATCGGTTTCTTCCTGCTCACACTGACTGAATCATGAAAGTTTGAAACATTTGCTATTGTCTCAATAGGGGAGAGTTTACTTTGAATCGTCATGAAGTGTGGTGATATGGTGAAGGACGAAATGGAAAGAACGAACATACCATAGAAGCCTCTAGAAAAGCAAAATCAACTTCTTCCCTTAACTTATCCCCCACCTCTCCCTCCGCTTTAGAAGCCTCGATCAGTCTTCTACGTATTTCAGGAGAATTGGTGACATTTCTCAAAAGAGCTAAATGTATCGTATTCATCGACTCTGGGAAGTTGGGCATGGTATAGGATTCCATTTTGTTCCAATTGATATATTTCGCATTGACCCTGGTATCCTGATATTACCGAATCTGCATAAGAAATCGTGTCGGATTGTTGTTCGAAGCTTGTCTACGTTGCATGTTGCTCGATAGCATCCTGAGGGGTGATGAACTTTGTTTCCGTTGGAAAGGGTACCTGATGGAATGTGGCACTTGACGAATGTGGCATTTTCTAAATTTTGTGGAAATTGTCCGTGAGCCACGATCCGCTTCACCTTCACGACCTATATCCCATCCAAGACGACCATAGCTCATGTGGATGGAAGGTGTTCCGTTCACGTTTGACAGGAAAACAAGTATTGAAAGTAATCCCGATACATAGTTTCTTTCACCTTCTCAGGGTTTTTGACTAAAGTAAAAGGTCCTTTGATCTAGTGCCTTTCATCATTTACACCTCGTTTTTTTCTGGCGTCCACGCGTAGAACTCGCCTTTCACAACATGTCTTGGCATCGACCTCACCATCTAACCTTTTACTTTCTCTCTTAGTCTATCTCAGTTCACAGAGTAGTAATGTCACAATCACACTCCCAAGAAAGGTTTAAACATGCCATCGCATGGGCGGGATACAGGTTCACCTCTACCGTCCTCGAGTGAGCTTCAACTTGCCCCTCCTCGAATGAAAAAGAAGCTGATGTAAAAGTGATATTTGGCCCTTGGTTCTTTTCTTCACTGGAATTGCGACAAGTCAGTCATTTACACTAGCCAATCTACCTTGCCCAGCTGATGGAATAGTGGTGGTGTGCGTGACAAAGTTCACAACGACAAATTTGGGGATCAATTCTGTCCCTCTTACAGTCATTGGAACTGTCGTGTTAGTCTTTGGTCTTGAAAAGGTGGTGTTAATCTGATGTTGTAGGTCCTTGGTTGTCAGTTTCAAGACGAATAACTCGTATTCTCGATGGTGGGATGGTCAGTGGAACTTATGATGTACCAAGAGTAAGGGATGACGGATAGGAAGAAATATATGGGCAAACATCACTTCCAATTCTCGTCAATTGGCTATGATCTTCTGGATTCAGGTGGGTCTTATTGAACTTCACTTCACGAGACACTTTTCTAGCAAACGTGGTAGAACCTGACTGATGAAAAAGGTTCCGAATACTCCACCACCACCGAAAGACGACAAGCCCAAGCCTGAAGGGGTTGAACCGGAGGAAGAAGCTCAAGCAAAGGAGCGAGCGGGACTAGGTGGACTCATCGAAAAGAAAACGTATATAGGTCTCGTCAGTATATTCTCTCTTGGATATCACTGATGACTTGACTAATTCCAGATCCTAGCTTTCTCAGTGGCTATGAAGCATGCGCTACGTGGTGAACTCGGACCATTCTACTCGGATTTATACCCTCTCATTGCTTTTCTCCCAAAGTCAGTAATCCCATTTCGTTGCATGAGCTCCGCTGAGGGACTTCAGGTTCGGTCCAGGTGCTCAACCTCCAATCACTCATGAGAATATCCAAGTTTTATGGCGCAACTCTGCTCCTAGGGAAAACTATCATACAGCCGATGAAGTTGTGGTCCCCTTGACTCAAGCCGCCACCAAATTCGATGGCTCTCATCCTGATAACGAGAAGGCTAGTGGAGGGATGACCACACAGTCCTCATCTTTCCAAAAACAGAGATTACGAAGTACAAGGGATTGTTTAGGGGTGAAAGATACCGATGAACCTGATATCGAGGAAAAGGGGGAAGAAGGTCCAACGAGGATAACGAATGTTGAACTTATGCCTCCTCGTCATCCACCTCCTACTCGATATTACGATATCATCCCGCCTTTGAGAATCATCAAGATCGTCAGTGATGTCTTCAAGAAAGCTCAGAAGCTGGATGAACAGGAAAGAGTAGCAGGTGGGAAGAGGAGACATCCGGGAGGTATAGCTCCGGGAAGAATACCACAGCAAATAGTGTAAGTCCATTTGGTCTTAATGTCTACGAGATGATCTGACACGTAGGATGTACCTCTCTGCATATATATCCTCTCTCGTTCAACGTCAATTACTCTCCACTTCTCTTATTTCGCCAGCCTTGAACTGTATACAAGAACTTCAAAAGGCAATTTCAGATCTCGAGAAACTAGCTACTACTCCTATACCCTCAGCTTACGTCTTCCATCTTCGTCTTACTGTATGGATGTATCTCGCCGCACTTCCTTTCCAGTTGGTACAATACATCAATTGGGTCACTATACCTGTAGTAGCTATGGCATCAATCATTTACCTGGGATTTTTGGAGATAGGTGCTCAGATAGAGTTACCATTTGCGTATGATCAAAGTGATTTGGATTTGGACAAGTTCGTCATTGGGTTGCAACATCAACTGGCGGAAGTGACAGCTGTGAGTATCCTAACCGAGTCATCTCCAATCCCAACGCTAGTTTCATCTCAGTCGATCCCACCAGTGAGGTTATCACACGTCGGGTAGATCAGGAGGGTTGCTCAGACTCATGAGCTGACATGTCAGTTCCCTACATCCGTCCCGACTGACTTTGTCGTCCATTCTCACCTCAATCAGCCCTTCTTACCCACACTGTCCCTCAACGTAGAAGAACTACTGGGTATCTCTACCTCTTCAGAGGATCGTCCCTCTTCCCCTGATTCTCACCCCAACGGAGGTGCAAATGGAGTTTCAAACGGGACGGAGCATAAAACTCTTCCCAAGAGCATGAAAGATCTGGAAGTTGTCCTCAGTGCCAATTGGAGAGAAATCCGTGAGGAAGCGAGATATCTGGGTCGAAGACGTGAACAATTGGAAAATAGGACAGGGTTGGAGATTGCCGTATTGCATTTGTAGATATATCTACTCACCTCTCATTCATTCACCTTGCATGGTTTATACTTGTCTTTCTTCCTCACTTCAATATGATACCCCAGGATGGGAATGTCCGAGAACAGCATTCCTCGCTTCAAGAAACAGAGCTTCTTTGAGAAGGCATGAGTATGAGAATAAGGTCTGTGATGTAATCCACAACCTGTGATCAGATGGGAGCTACACTACAACATGCTACCTTTGACATTCCATGCGGCCTTTCGGAATTTAAGCCCGTCATGCCCGGGACACCATAAAACACGAGTCATCCGACATGTCCTATTTCACATCTCACCACTCTGATCCGCTACTTGTCCCGCCTACCACGGGGTTCCGACACAGCTTAGGGTAGAGATCGTCCAACCTCGTGTCCGAGGGGACCAACGTGGAATCACCGACGTGCGCCCTAAGGAATCCTTGAAACCTTGGAGATGGTGAAATCCCTCAAGGCGCAATTCCCAATTACCACAGTATCCAACCATGGACCACGCCTTTGCCAAGACTATGGAATCACGGATGATCACGGATCTGATCCAACGACGATCCTGCCTTTCCAAGTCACTAGTCGCTATGCAAGTTAAGTACCGCCTCCATGTCACTGGATTCATCTCTTTTGCTCGCCACTCTAACAAGGGTACTTTATCCTTTATCTTTCCTCTTTCATTCGATTCAGATACCTATAATACATGGAAGTCACTCTCACCAACCAGACGGTCCCACATTCCAAGATGCATGTCAGTCTTCACTTCAACATAAACACAAGTCGCTGATAGGCTAGGTTCACAGGGAGACTTTCGAGAGAACCGCTTGGTATCTCATAGGCCCTCGAGGTGTTTCATATTGGCGGTGAGTACATTCCACGGTATTATAAATCAGAGGTTAGGCTGAAGAGAAGATTCTTGATCGGAGTGACTATTCAAATGACTTTTACCACATGTCCGTCATGTTCCGTCGTGTCACATCTGATCCTAAATGAGTCAGCTGATATGGAGTGATCACGCTGGCAAATCAGAAGGAATGGATTCACGCAAAAATGAGTCCAGAGTTGATTCCTGTTTTAGGGACTATTGTGTGGGTAATTCCTTACCATCTCCATGTCAGACTGTGCTGATGATAGTGCCCTAGCATTAGGGTTCAAAGTGGCGAGTTCGAGTGCCGATTGGTCAGAAGGTGAATCAGAATTTTCTTCGGAATCACCTGACAATCAATATCTCGAAATGACGACTGATCAATAGCTAGATGTATTTGGTCCAGAATCTCTGCCTCTTCAAGATCATTAGGATGTTTGTTCTGGAATCACGTAGGTCCTGTTGGGTTTATGGTTCGAGCTGACAGCTAGGTCCGCTGTCCGAAAGAAGAACAAACTCAAAGTAAACTTGATGAGCTAGTGACTCGAAAGATCAACCTTCTTCGTTTCGTAAGTTACCAGCTATTCCCTTCTGTTCCTCGCCGTCTGAGGTGTGGTGATCAGATATGAAGGACTGACAACAGCTCGACCTTTTTGCAATCGGTATCAAATGTGCTTTTGGAGGTGAACTCGATCCTGCCCATCAAAAAGATTACGACGATTTGTTCAAGATTTTAGAAGTGTAAGTTCAGTACTACTTGGACTTCTTCCCCAGAACCAAACTGACAAGTAGGGGTCACGGACTACTTGTCAGACAAATCCCACCTTCGTCTCGTTCTGAAGGTTTCCGTACCAAGCTCGCCCAACTTTTAGGGCTAAGTGCTATCGTGCACAATCGGGTGGTAGACTTTACTGCCTCCCGTTCAATCTTGTGAGTTTCCGCTCGTAGTCTTCCCCCTTCGATTCAACAGCCATTTCTCGGAATACGATCTTTGGTAAGCTGACGATACAGATTTACCTTATCCCAATGTATGGCGGACATGATAGACGATCGTCAAGTAGATTATGTCATTCAATCACGTATATTCACCCAATTGGCGAATCTCGAACAAGGTATGGCGGACATGTCAAGGCTCTCAAACGGTCCACTTCCTCCCATATACCGTTTTCAGCTTCAAGTGGCAGTATGGACTTTCCTCTTTCTTCTTCCTTTCCAAGTTATCGATGAATTAGGGTGGTACACCGTGCCCGTCATGTTCCTCGCCGTGGTGACATACGAAGGGTTCTTAGAGGTTGGATTGCAGATAGAAGATCCGTTCGTGCAATTTGATGATTTGCACGTACAGGAAATGACGGAAGCTTTGAGGAAGGACCTTCATCATATTTGTAAAGTGAGTCGTTCTTTTTCCTATGGAGTCCACCATTATCGGGAATAATCATAAGAGGGCAGGTTGACTGATATGACAGACCTCAAGTGAACCTCTCGTCCAGACCATAGGGTTGACGGTAGATGTTTCCCCTAGAAGAGTCAGAACCAGTCTTCCTGTCACTCCTATCACTCCAATGTCTGGTAGGAATTTCCCAAGGGCGGGTACGTGGGTATAGAAGATAGACCTTGGGAGGTCAGAGATCCGAAGTCGAATAAAGGAGCTCCTCGTGTTGTACTTGTAGAACATATCTTGTCTTAGCATGCATAACACGGACGATTGTATTTTTCAACCCTGCGCAAGAGACTTTCATTTCACCCCATGAAATTGGCAGTATCCTGGACGGGATGCTGTTGACAAATGCATCGCTGTGAGATCCCCAAGTATTCACCACCACAAGTAAGGATATACATGTCTACGAGCAAGTCACCTCCATATTCTACCTATACAACGGAGACACTTCTGTGGTCGTCTGATGGCCGATGGACGGTTCCCTATCAACGGAAAGAGGCACAAGCGATCATTAAAAACGCACATGAGATCGCACGGACCATTCCTTCCGTAAGCCCTCGACGCCGATCAAAACCCAAAGTGGTTAATATCATATATCGTAACTTTTGCATAGAGACTAACTCTAACCTCATGACACCACATCCCTTTCTCTCAGCTTACATTCACTTTTCATTCCCATCCCCATTCCATCCCCCCTTCCCTCCCTATAATATCTCCTCCTTGTGTTTCGTGTTACTGAACTATGTTTCCTCTAGACATGTCGAAATTGAAGTCCCGGTTCAAGACTTATATCGTGGGTATGATCAAAGAAGATCTGGAAAGTGTTCAGAAGGTCTTTCTATACTTTCTGGATCTGCTGAAGTAAGGCTGCTGTTGTGAACTTATTGACCTGTCGCTGACCTGTAGACATATCATCATAGGAGTGTTGTTTTTCACCTTGATTGCTGTATGTGCGTTCTTCTTTCTCGTCCTACCCTTCAGGTCTTTTTGTACTCCCTGCGCCACCAGACCTCTACGAGAACATCCCCACTACAGGCCTCTAATTTGCATATCAAAGACTGTAGATGGTCGGTATAAGGGACGATCAAAGACTTGGGATTTGAGAATGTGATAGCTGAGGACAGTGGTAGCGGCGTTGAATAAATCGCACAAAGCTCATTTGACCATGGATTCAACATCCGTCGTTATACTCAGTAGTTTAGTGTGAGCTCAGGATCCTAGTCTTTAATGAGCTCACGAAAAGATCCTTCATTCTTACATATAAAGTTCACGGGTCCAATGAGAAATATCAGAATGGTGAGTTTCCCTTCATATTCGGGTGAAGACTGAGAGATAGCAAGAACAACTTGGTCAGATGTCATCTCCAATAGTCGACAAATAGGGGTGTTGTTAGCCCAACAAGTGAGTCCTCTTTTCTCAATTTTTAGGATGAAAGATGACAATGAGGATCCAGGTAGCCACTTGGCTAGAGAAGAACTTGGTCAGCCCGCTCCAGAAGGAAGGGCTGTGAGCTGACGGGGATAGAGGAACAAGGTGCTTTGACGAGAAATGCGATGCATTTGGTAAGTTCTCACTCCCCTCTTCCATCTGCTATACCTCCTACCACCTCACGTTGGGTGGAAGGAAGGAATGAGTATGAGAGAGAGTATTGCTCATTAACAAGCTCCGCTTCTTTCCTCCAGCTCTTCAAGAAGGTCTCGAGAGGACGTCAAAAGCACCAGAATCATTCTCCTCTCAAGTTTCTACTCTGCTACAACAGTAAGAGCCTTTCCACCTCTCAGCATCATTGACTCATTGCCAGACGTACCCTGAGTGGACTGGATACACAAGCATCGCTAGTACTTCCTCCCAATATGGGTCCTGAAGGAAACCACGATACTTCTCCGCCCCCTCATTTATCAGAAGTAGACACTGAAGTCGCTCAGGAAATTCTGTCAGTACCCATTCCTCTTTCCCTCGCATCGATCTTATTGTAAGATGAAGCTCACAGTAAGTTGGACTAACGGACAGAACATGGTTATCACATTACATTACCAAACTCTCGTCCCGTGATCATATCTCCACACCTATTCAAACTCTCCTGTTCAAATCTCTCTCCAACCTCCAAACGGCTCTCACATCACTTCATCAATCCGCCGTTCCAACCACACCTTCTCCATACACTTTTCAACTGAAGCTTTCCATATGGGCATATCTCGCCTTCTTACCTTTCCAGCTGTATCCCGGTTTAGGATGGGGTATCATACCGGTCGAATTTGTAGTGAGCGTGGTTTATCTGGGTTTCATGAGAGTGGGGATCAAGATTGACAGTCCGTTCGTTGCGGGTAAAGGTGGGATGAACTTGAATGAGTTGGTGGCGCAGACGGAGAAACAGTTGGAAAAAGCAACGGGAGTGAGTCGGTCACCATATCACCCCATCATACTGACTTTGTTCCAAGGCGACATCGTTTGTGCTCGCGAAAGTCGGGGATGATTGGCATAGTACCGGACATGGGGATCTTGGCCCGGAGAGGAGAAAGCTCATTCCAGGTGAACATCGCCAGCCCTTTCCAGATTCTCAATCTTGCCCCTCCTACACTCCCTTCGGGGTTCGGTATGACCGCCGAACCGAGGAACGCCATGGAGTTGAACGAGAAGATCTCAGGATCTCGATCCGGAAGTGGCTCATCAATTCCATCGTTACCGACATTGCCCGTGCTTCAGGACATACCGCGGGACTTGTCTCAGCAGGCTGGAGATCACGTGTAGGCATGACATCCATCTGATCCGGGGTTGATATTTCGTTATCATATTGTAACGTGGCTTATTGGATCGATGACCGAGGACGGTGCTTGGGGCTTGTTGTATACCCTTGGGTAGTTCGTATAATCTATGTGACGGATATATGTTCATCCTGTTCATTCCTTCTTCTCCTCCTCCCTGACGTTGATTGACGGACAATATAGAGGATAGATCAGTCGCATGTTTAGACGGAAAGCAGACAGTCGTACAGAGATCATGATACAACACCGATCATAAATTCGTTAGATCCCACAAATCCTCGCTTCTTCTTAACATTCAGAACACATCGCCTTGTTCCACCCCATTCCACACGGGGTCCTCTTCATATTCGTCCTCTTCATCCAGCCTGACCTCTGATAATCCCATGGCTTCTCTGGCCGCTATCAGCCCTCCCATGATACTGGGCCGAGGTTTAAAGCTCTGTCTCCGTTTCTTCATCTCTTCCTGCCCTTTGGTAGCCAGTGACGCGGAATGAGACCAACTTGGAACTCTGGATACAGGTAAGGGTAAAGCTGTTCGGGAAGTTTGAGCTGAGACACTTCTACCAGCTGGCGGACGAGAAGGACTAGAACCTTGTTCGGGGAAACCTCGAATAGGTCTAGGTTTCATGGTCGATCCTTGTGTACCTACACGGGGGCGTTTGGGGTTGTTCGAAGAACCATATGGTGTTGGGGTTGGAGCTTCACGCTTCCGACTCATTGACCGTGTTGATCCGGGTACGGCGGCTGGGGTGGTGTGACGAGCCACAGAGGCAGGGACAGAACGAGAAATCGTCTTGGCGGGTGCGAGTCCTGCGCGGGTTGCCTATGAGTTAGTCAAGGCCCAGCGACTGGTCGGAAACATCTGACCCGATCCTCGAGGGGGAGCTGCAAACACAAGTGTGGGAGTAAAAGTAAGACCAGACACTTACCTTCTTGGCCAGTTTCGCTTGTTCTTTCGCTTCCAAAGCGTCGTGTATCCGATCGACCACACGTTGACCGCTGACGGTGAATGGGCGACCATGCTCTGCTTCCCAGGTGGGAAGAAGAGAAAGCATATCCATTTCCAGCTAAACGTCAGTCCTGATTTCTTTCTTTAAGGATGCATTGATCTTGAGTCGGGTGTGAATAGTGGAGTTTCGGTTTGATAGACACACCTTAGGCTTTAACATATTGACCCTCTTTCTCAGCTTCTCCTCTTTCAACAAAGCGCCTCCCCTCGCGGAAAACCGATTTGGATCATGGGACATTCGTTCGAGCTCGGCTTCGTCTTTACATAGAGTGTGCCATTCTCGGACCTTTGGCAAGATGGCAGTCTTGCTTTCGATCTCTGCTCGTAATCTCTCGATTTCCTCCTCATGAGCCTGCAAGAGTTCCTCGGTATAAACATCTTTCCGTGAGCTCACTACGATTAGCTTGAAGGAGCTCCGAGCTCACCATCGATGAATGGCCCAAAGTCGCCTTTGTCCTCCTCGGACATCATCAGTTCGTCCCAGAGAATCTCAATTTCCGTCCGGACGGCATTGATGAACTTCTCGAGACTGTTTCGACGTAGTTGTAGACATCTGTCAACTTCGACTTCGTACTGCTTATCAGCCAGATCCGTAATTCATCGGGGAGGTTCAAAACCCACTGCTTCGATCACAGCTTCTCCGCAACCTCGATTCATCTCTATAAAGAGGTCCATGGCGTCTTGCTCCATTTCGAGTCGTATCCAAAGAGGTTCCACTTGATTATAGAGTTCTTGTATTCTGTTTTGCCGTCTATCCTTTTCTTCTGTCCACTAAGACGTAAGCCGAGTTCTTCCTCACGTCTCTTCCCACTCACCAGCTCGTTCAAACTTTCGGTCCATTCCAATAATCCTTGCTCGGGCTCGACGATCTCCATTCCAATCACTACCATACCTTCCTCGTCGTCATCCTCTTCATCTTCTGGTAAAGGATTTTGTGCAAGAACCGATGCAATGAGCTTCTGATACGAGACGGCATGATCTGATCGGCGCGGCAAGAGCTTATTGGGGAACCTATCTCTTCCTTCGGCGGGAAACTCTGGTAAGACTAATTCGCGATGTAAAAAGGCGAGGTTGACGATGAGAGTTTTGAGGTGGTCCAGTTTAGCTTCCTATATCGTATCAGCTCTGAGTCATGACTCATCAGAGCCAGACAGCTCACTCTTTCTTCCAAAGCTTGTTGTATGGCTGCTTCCGCAGCTGCCATAGCATCGTCGCTCACGTCGAACCAGCAGCCAGTGTCTGGTGGAAGGCCAGGTTGAAGGATTGATGTCCGTCTTGGTGGTGTCATAGCCTGCATTCGAGCCAAGGATGCTGAATCTCGTCGACCCGTGTCTTTTGAGAAGACTGAGATGGGTCGGGGAGGCGGTAAGGGTTCGACCGGGGGTCCGAGTAAGTGAGCAAGGGACGCCATCTTGTCTCTGAGTGCTGATAATCAGCTCGGACTACTCTTACACCAATCGAAGAAAGGTCCGGACACTTGGTACGGACTAAAGACCTACCTTTATGCTGCTGTAGCCTCGTCTCATAGAGCTGTAGAATATCAGTCAACTCCGTCTCGGGATGTTACAATAACCGCTCACTTGGACCAACTCTTCTTTGTGGGTCCCCATCATATTCACTTGTTGAGGTAGAGACTGGAAGATCAGGTTTACGATCATGAACTGAGCGAGGGTGACGAACGACTTCTTTCAATCTCTCCTCACTTGACACCTGCAAACTCCTAGCTTGTCTGCCGATCGCCCGGACGAGATCTGCCACATCCAACCTCATACGATGCAGTTTGACCTTATGTTGATTCACTTGGTCTTCATACTCGTTGACCAAATTCTCCACACATTGTCGTATAGCTGTTTCTATGCTTTGTTCGTCGGCGGCGATGGTCTCTGGGGGTAGACCGAGTTGAAAATGTAAGTCTCGTAGATGTGGCAGTTGTTCGGACAGGTATGCTGCCATTTCGTCGTAAAAACCCCTCCCACTATTGATCCCTCGGTTACTTTAACGGTGCGAATGATGACGGACCAAAGATGATATGATATATATTGGGCTGTGCAAATTATTGTGTGGGATGTTGACGGCGCGGAAAGCAAAGAAAGGGAAAAGTGGGAGGAAATCACTCGCGTTCCGAAACTTAATCGGTCCCCCACTTTTGATCCCTCCGTCTTCGATCGCTCGGATCTCCTTCACACGTCATTTCCATCCTCCCCTCCCCTCTCTTCGTTCAACTCGACACAAATCAACATTCAAGCATGTCAAAACCTCTTTTCAATCTGGCGCTACTAAGCTTAGTGTTTGCTCATTCAGAACACAGTTTCGATCTGGATGATGCCGCCGACGCTGGAATGTCATATGCCGAACGCCATGTGCGTCGATCTTTTCCCCCGTGACATATCAAATGACTATCATCGGCGTCAATCATAACCGGTTTGGAGCTGGTTGTCTCCTGTCAGATCTGCTGACATGATAGATGCACACTGAACATCATATAGATTCTTTCGACCTCCCATCTTTCTTCAAACTCCACGATTTGGATTCTGATGGATATTGGGACCAAAAAGAGATCGCAGCGGTGTATGGATTGTATCATCATAAGGTAAAGGATAAAGTACCTGAGACGGAAGAGCATAAGGCGAAAGTTGAAGAGATTGTGAATGTGGTTTTACAGCGGTTAGATACGGATAGGAATGGTGAGCATCCTTACCATTCCTCTTGCTTCGCGTCTTCTTTGCGAGCACATCTTCATGTCATGATGAACCCAGCTGGGCCAGGTCAATGCGGTCGACAATATGAGCAATGAGCTTGAAACCTTTCCGCAGCTTTTTTGTGTGAAGATATTGATGAAATAGGAAAAATAAGTCTGGTAGAGTACATTGCAGGCGGTAATGACGGTTTACCAAACTTCCCAGGGTACAAAGATCTCGGTCGTAAGCTCCTATCCTCTGTCTTGAAGTCCCGAGCTGACATTTACAGATCACTATGACGAAGAATCAGAATAGTCAGTCTTCTCATCGCCTTCACATGTAACCGTCACTAACGATCAGCTTCCTGCATCACGAAGAGGTGTGCTCGGCTCGGATCACTCGGAGATTACACACTGATAATGCAGCTATATCATTCAACACCAGAAACCCAGACGGACGAGTCGTATGTGCATCAAGAGGGTGAGTCGCTGACCGGGAGAAACTCAGCTGACAATCAGATATCGAACATTTTCAACGCAAGTCAACTCTTCCATTCCCCAAAGCCCTTTCCATCGATTATTTCTTATCCAGCCTTTCAGACCAAGAGTACTTTATAGTTCTCCGCTTTGTCCTCTTGTAAATCTTCGCGACACTTGATATATGTAATGGGCCTAAATGGCAAGACTTATGAACCGTCCCACTTCCATGTGTCGAGTTGTGGGAAGAGGCGCTGACATACAGATCACATCCATATAGAAGCCGAAGAAGACGCCAGAGAACGGATATTCGAAGGTTTACCTCCTGATGCGAATCTAGAGATGGACCACGTAGCTTCTGATCCATTGGACGAACATGCCCACGCACCAGGTGAAGGACCATCGGACGTTCCTCCTCAATCAGACCCGGAGAAGGATTTGAAACCTGGAGATGAAGTACCTCCTCCGCCAAAAATACAAAGAGTTACACCTGGTGCATCCCCTGCGCGATTAGGGAGGGAAGATGAGGAAAAGTTGTACAAACCTGATGAGAGACATGGTAGGGGGAGAGAAGCAGGAGATAGGTTACCATATAGTGAGTCTTGTCTTCTCTTTTACCGTCTTCTAGCCTTCTTCATTTGGACAGATTTACAGAGCAAAGGACACGGCATGAGCTGGGGGAGAGTTCAGAAATAGATCGTACGGTGGCTAATTCGACAGAATCGAGATTTAGAAAAGGTTTGCGAACTGATGAATTCTGAGCATGTATTCACTGTCCCTCATTTCAGGTAGTCTCATATTCATGATCCATCTGCTAAGGTTCACCCTGAATACATCATCTCTCCACGAAGCAGATCTCTACATTGCATTATATACCTCTTGTAAAAACTCAAGTCGCATTGTGCTTTTTATAGATCAAATCGTCCATTGTCCATGCTCTTATACCCCTCTTCATCCACCAACCCAACACTCTATCCACACTATATCCCCACTAATGTCTACAGTCCATTGTGGACATATCGCACCGTACAACCTCATTCCCCAGATATACCCCTATAGATTGGATGAACTTCACTGAGCAGCTTTGATTCTATCTCATCAGCTTCTCTCGCCATGTTTTACAGGAACGTATGACTCACATATCCGCAGCATTCTCCGCTAAACCATATAACGAAGCCGCCAAATGTGCCGATATCTGCATAGGTAAAACACTAGCATCCACCACTCTTAGGTTATCCGTCCCATAAACTTTCAAATCTGATCCTACCACACCACCATATTCTTGAGCCATCATGGAACAAGTAGCGATGGGATGATGAACCGAAGCGAAACCATCTAAAATCCATTGACGCCATTGATCTTCTGGTCCACCATCTGAATCATCGGAAACTGTATTGAAACCAGGTGCGTTTTCAGATGTTACTATTGAACGTAGTGGAGCTGCTTGGAATACTTTACGAGAAAGACGTAATCCTGCTACTTGGATTTGCATATCTATATCTGCTGCGAAATCTGAAAGTTAGGTTATTCCTCTTTGATACGCCAACACTCAGTCTCAATCGGCTTCTCCACAGGTTCCTTCCTATTTTGAAAATCACAAAAAATTCCACGAGATGTGATCTTCATATGACTTATCGGTGAGACATCTCTGAGAATTACAGACTTGATGAGGGATATGTGGTGACGAATGATAATGACACATAGCAAGATAAGAGCCAAACCGGAGGAGATGAGTGAGAACAGAACTCACAACGCGGATCAACGGCTGGATAAGTGAATGGATCAGTCGAAGTGATAGATACTGTCCCTCTTGAAAACGGTAGGAGTTGCCACATATCAACACCCAAACCACCATTAGGGAACCCAGTATCGAAGAACATTTCAGCTAATCCTACTCCTTTATTGACCATTAGATCTTGTTGTATTCGGAAAATGTTCATAGCTGCGTCGGATGAGATGACTGCACCTGCTTGCGCTGCGTCGTCGGCGTATGATTGAAGATTGTTGTCTATGGTGTCTGCTATTGCCGAGGCATTCGAGCCGAACAACTACTGGTGAGCTTGAACGTCCTGTATACATCCACCTTGTAGGACTGGATAATAGAGTGATAGAAGTCAAAAGACCGTGAGGGTTTGAATGGGTTTACAAATGAAGAGACGAGGGGATGCAGTGAAAAAGAGGACAACATACAGCATCAAGATTTGGATAAGCTATACAATCACTTGGTCCTCTACCATCGGGATTGAAACCATCTACCAATGTCCAACCTATCGAATCAAGGGTCTAAATGATCAGCTCTCCTCATTCTGGGAAAGTCGAGCTGACCTGTTCTTGTAGATTCTTTCCCACTCCTGGAAGATCGAGCACCACATCTATTCCTACCGATTGTAACAATCCTTGATCGCCAATACCTGACAACTGTAACAAAGCAGGACTTTGTATAGCACCCGCAGAAACGATGACTTCACGATTCGCATCGACCTCATACCTGGATCCGTCCGAAGACCCAAACTGTACCCCTGTAGCATGTACAGGAGTACCAGTGTTAAAGAGGATTTTGGTGGCTTGTTGGTTTATCAAAATAGCGATATTTTCTCTTTGCCCTTCTATAGGAGACCAATATGCCGTGGCGGAAGAAGAACGATGATCGCTATCATGCCAATCGATGGTCTATTGTTTAGCTTACAAAGTTAAAATAAAGGAGAAGCTGACGTTAGGATGAAAAGCAACTACAGCGGCATCACCACCATCAGCATCGACGGAAGCGGGAACTGAGAAATTGGTAGAGATGACTTGTTTGAAATATTTCTGGTGAGGACCTTGGTAAATGTCATCAGGGTAAGTGACTTGGAGTGGACCGGTAGTGCTGTGATAAGCGGGGTTTTGTGATGCTCCGGCGGCTTGTTGGTTATCGTTAGGACCTGAAAAACCTTCACTCTGAGGATCAGCTGAGAATATTGTGAATGAACAGCCTCGTCAAGAGCTTTTCAGTTGGGTGAGAATGGTGATGGGGTTGGATTCTATCACTAACCTTCAACATAGCAGCAAACATCCCATCCCATGTCCATTTCCCATCGGCGTCATCACCGTTCAATAAAGTCGCCAAAGCATCATATTGATCCTTCTGCGCTCGAGTCTGAGCCAATCCATTAATCGAAGTTGATCCTCCTAACGTTTTCCCTCTATTGATCAGCCGACACTACTCTGTAGTCGGACCCAAGTTTTTCACAAAGAAGTCATAAGTAAACTCATAAGATATCGCAGGCCATTGCAGGGGAGTAAAATGAGTTGTGAGGAGATGTGATTATTCAACAAGACGAGAGAACAAGAGACCAACCCATTTATCGTCCTTCCCTGACTCGAAGGCCAGGCCCAGTTGAGAGGTGTGGAGAACGCGGCCGAATATTGATATGGGTCATAAACTTTATCATTGGTTCTATCATCTCCCCCTGCTTCGATGACCCTTCATCATAAGCTCAGTCAAGACATTGACATCAGAATAACTCACAGAACTGTAATCGACGAGTCCTCGGAAAGTCTATTAGCCACCACCAAGCCTCCCAATCCACCACCAACGATGACGTAGTCGAAAGATTGACCGTTGACTTGATTGGGATCCGTGATGATACCTGACAGGGCCAAGGCATTACTTGCTAACAATAGTAGGATCTCTAAAAGGATTATCGTCCTCATTATGATTTGAATAATTATGAGAGAATAGAGAGTAGGTCGGATGAGTATCAGTCAGGTGCGATGAATCCAATAGGTCTTCGACTGACTTAGAGGAGGGGGAGAGAAGCTTAGGATTGAAGATTGAGGATGAGGAAGATTAGTATTGGTCGTATGTCTCAGTCCACATATATATCCATGTGAGTACGGCTGTCCATCAGTCTTGGAAGAAGCGAACAGCACCATGCACCTTGAACCATCGGCTAGCTATCGAGCATGGAGCGACGTCTGAAAGTTACTCGGCTAGTCGGGCAGCATAAATCCGCACGATTAATCCGCTAAGATGGGGCCATGGGGCCAGGCTCGGATCTATTGGATGGTCAAGAGGTCGATAGTCAAACATGACGACCAGCCTTGAGCTACCAGCCACGGTCTCCTGGTGCGCGAGGGGTGAAACATACGTGGGTGAGGGCAAAGGAACGCCCGAGGGAGATCGATGTAAGGAGCGAGCGGGAGGTAGAGGGGGATGACTTTTGAGGTAAGGATCAGGACTTGGCGGTATGGGGGGGGTGCTGAGGTTATGACATGAGAAGCATAGTCTGGCAGCACAGCATGACGAGAGGAAAGAAGCATGGACGGATCGGGCAGGTGAGAGCAGAGGCAGAGTGATGTGGCGGTGCCCCACTTGGTGAATTAGTGGCACTTTCCCTGCCACAGGCCACTGCTGCTGGGCTGCTAATCAATGCTATGAGCTGTATGGCACTGAGCCTTGAACTTTTGCAATCACATAAAGAGCATGCAGATGTTCCGCTATCATATGATTCACCTCTCGTTCCATGATCACCAAACCAATCAAGGCTGTCGTGTGCGTGTGTGGCAACTCACAAAGATCCACGCTCATCTTCTAATCATGTCGTCTCCGCCGCTAACTCCCGCAGAACCGCTCCGACCTCTCCTAGACGCTCATGTTCCTTCGTCAATCCTCCAACTTCCAGCAAATACCGTATCGCAATCTCGCGCCCGGATAATTCCATCGGATTTCTCAAGTCGCCGTACTGTCCAGGCGTGGCAGGCATCAATCTGAGCCTAACCCATCGTTGGGTAAGCGATTCTTGCCAAGCTATTGCCAGTCTCCCAGATCTGGAATAACCTACGATATCAGCTCGGACTTTACGGATTGTAAGAAGAGACTGACTTCTGGCAGCTTCTTTTCTCTGTAGCATATCGCGGAGCTCATCAGTATGTGGCTCGACGATTTGGAGGTCGTGTATGATCCTAAAAGTCAGTCATACCTCCATCTCTATGAACATCCTTTACCACCTCTCGTAAAACATAGGCAGAACGTGTAGGACTAAGCCGGAGGTTAGGTGAATAATGGTGGAGGCGGCGAAGGCAGTAGAAGCGACTGTTGGATGTGAATAGTGGCTAGGGAGTCGGGCACAGCAAAGATTGTAGTCATTGAGACAGGGATCACTACGAGGTAATAACTCACCACCATCCTCCAAGCAACCACTATCCTACTCCGGTCAATGGTGGATGCCAGAGGACCAAGAAGCTTCGGTTGTCATTCTCCACCCAGTTGAAGGAAAACCTGAAGGAGCTATACGTCCTCCCAGCCACTTCTGCCGGTGGCGCGCTGATCTACCAACTCATCAGAGCGACACTGAATCTGATTCTTACCACGACATCCCCTCACCAAATGAGAGTCCTGACTCAAATCCAGTGCACATGGACAGTCATGACCTAGAGGAAATCCCCACACCCAGTGAAGCCATATTAGATGCAACCCAGAACGCTTCACCGAAATCAGCTCCTCTCAGGCTCAGAGGGGGTGCCTCTACACCAAACGCTCCTCCCGACATCTGTTCAATTTGCAACCTAGGACTTCCGGTTCGTAATGTTGGAGATCACTTCCGTTTACGTCATGCCGGCCAAGAAATCACTCAGTCCCAAGTTCAGGTAATGGGACTTGGCCTCTGCGAATGTGGCTCAATCTGCAAGCTTGCGGGAATCCAAGCACATTTCCGCAGATGCCCTCGTGGAGGAAAGCTAGCGACAGTCCCCATCTTGATACCTCTTCCAACGAGAAACAACTCAAAACCTCGCCAAACACGACTAGTCTCCGGGCCGTCACATCCAATTCACATACCAACAGACCCATCACAGATGCCAATCCAAACCCAGCCCCCTGCTGGGGACATCACCACTTACCAATGGATGTCTGGTCTAAACACGGATGAAATCCTGGTCCTCTTCAACAACCTTCCCACGGTTTACAAGCCCATCCCACCTAGTCTCGTTAAACTATTCATTGCTACAGCATCGAGAATGGCTCAAAACTATCTCGACAACCCTTGCCAACAGACCTTGCTTGATTTCCTGGCGCTGCCCAAGATAGGATTGGCCCCAGGCCTTCGTCACAAAACAACATTGGCTCGTTTATCAAAGTTTCCCGATGTTGACCGACCTCACTCGAGTGAATCTATTCGGATTAATCGCACTCCAGCAGAGAAAGCAAAGCGTATGGTTGAATCGGGCAGACTAGCTGGCGCAATGGCAGCACTGGAGGATAAAGTTGCTATTGCACCTCCAACCGAACAGGTCATTGAAACTCTTCGCTCCAAACATCCTCATGGAGCAGAACTACGAGTGGACTCCTTTCGCCCGGTCAAACTTCCCGATGCTCCAGATGCTGGTGACATTCTTGACAGCCTCAAATCTTTCCGCAAGGACACGGCACCAGGCCTTTCCGGCTGGACAGTCAACCTACTCACTCTAGCCTGTAAAGATCAGACTGTTGTCAAGTTCCTCACTGTTCTTACAGCTTCGTTCCTTGACAATACTGCCCCAGGTCAAGATATCCTTTGTGCAGCTCGTCTTACACCACTTGAAAAGGGTCGCTCTGGACCGGAGAACGATCATATCGATGTGCGTCCTATAGCTGTTGGAGAACTTATCTATCGCCTGGCAACGAAGGCAATTCTCAGAAAAACCTTTCGCCCGGATTTCCTTGCCCCGTTCCAATTGGGAGTTCATTCTAAAGGCGGAGTCGAACCAGTAATTCACTGTGTCCAGAGGGCGATCGAAGGTAATCTATCAACTACCTTCACACACATTACATCCATGGACGCTGCCAATGCCTTCGGAACTCAGGACCGTTCCCAATGTGCCGATAGTATTCGAAAATATGCTCCGGAACTGCGACCCCTTTTCCAATGGCTATACGGCAAGAAAACTGCACTTGTCACCCGCTTGTCATCGGGTTCCACTATCATCCGTTCCGCCCAAGGCCAACGGCAGGGTGATCCTCTCGCCGCTCTATTCTTCTCCATTGGACTCCGCGATGACCTGGAAGCGGCCAAACAAGCACTTGGCCCTCAATGCCTCTTGTTCTCCTATCTTGACGACATCGTTGCTCTTGGGACCGATAATCGTATGGAACAAGTGATCATTCAAGCCTTCAAGGACCGTAACTCTTCAATGCATTTCAACGAGTCCAAATCCCAAACAATACCTATTGCTGAATTGCGTGACGAGGGATTCCCCGTTCTTGGCTCCATTACTGGTAATCCACAAGCCCAACGATCCTTCCTTAAACCATTGATTTCGGAGCTCAAACACACCCTTACCCTTTTACCTCAGCTCCCAAGCCAACACTCCTTGCTCCTGCTCCGGATATGTGTTCTTCCCCGTCTACGACACCTTTTACGAACAACGGACCCTACGACGACAAAGGATTGCTGGCTGGAGGTAGACGATCTTTTTAAATCCGCGGTTAACGCACTTCGATGGTCGGATGGGAGACCTGGTGATACTGAGGTTCAGCATATCTTATCATCCCTTCCCATAAAACACGGCGGCCTAGGGTTTCTCTCCTACGCGGACATCAGCCCTCATGCATTCGCCGCATCATCCGAAGCGGCCGACAACCTCCTCTCCACCCTTGTACCCACTATACCCCCACCTCTTAACACTTCTCTACAACGGGATCGATGTGAGAACATGTACAAGGAAATGAGGATCAAGATGTTTGATGCTGTTCATCCATTTGAACGACTCACAATCCTAGAGAATTCCGCTACTTGGGGTCGTCGATGGCTATCTGTCATACCCTCTACCGCCAAACACTGGCTCTCAGACCTTGAAGTAGCTCTAGCTCTACGACACCGAACGCTAGTGCCTCCGCAAATCACCACCTGTAAAGTCTGTGGCCATATCAATCCCAATCTTCTCCATCCCGATAGCTGTTTCCCTCTCCAAGGGATCCGAGGACAGCGCCACGATGTCGTCAAGAAAGCCTTGGGTACAGCATTGAAAGCTATACCTGGAGCCGAAGTCGAACTTGAACCCTTCATCAACCACAGGGACCCTGAGCATGGCCCTCGATACAATGATGTTCGCTTCACAGGCTCTCTGGAAAACAACATTTCCCCCCTGGAATTCGATATCAAAGTCACCATGCTGGCGTCAGCGGCACATCCTTCGGCAACTAATCAACTCACGGCAGTTCCTGATTCCATTACTGGTGCGACACGTTTCGCGACTAAGTCCCTTGAGTCCGTCGCTCAAGCAGCCACCAGAAGCCTTCCAAGAAACATCGCACCTGGTTCCACATTTCATCCCTTTGTCATTTCGTCAGGAGGATTATTGGAGACTGGATCATTTGCGATACTACAGAAGTTGAAGGATAGATTTCCTGTTGGAGTGATGAGTACAATGAGGCAGGCGGTGAGTGTTGGTTTAGTTCAGAAGAGAGCAGCGGCGTTGGCAAAAGTCGAAGGTGTGACTGGATCACGATCGGCTAATTGGTACGCCACTTGGTCAGCGTTTGCGAGAAGGTAGATGGCGAGGTTGTGTCGACGAGATGAATGCTGGTCATACATATCGAAGACCTGTTTGTACATGGACGATGTATTTTAAAAAGAAATCATGCTTCGCTCCTCTCATCCCACCAAAAACGGGCACGGGCCTACCGAGATTCTTCTTCTCTCCATTCCAATCTTCAATCATTTGAGCAGCATTTGTATGGGTCCACAACTCTCTCTTCTCTTGCCAAGCAGGATGAGCGTCTGGAAATATCGTGATCCAGCACAACAGATGTCTGAGCGGATGAGGAGGCGGTAGAGGTGGGGGACTAGGAGGTAAGGGAGTATTGTATGGTGTTCGGGAAGGGTCATATGGCTCTCGTGGACGGAATTTTCGGATAGGATAAGGGTATGAGAAGAAAGTGAGGGTGGAGTCTTGTGGGGATCCGAAGATAGCTTCTATATCTGACATATGGTATGTGGGACCATCTGGTCGGTTTTGACGTGGCTGACGAGGAGCAGGAGGGAGGTCGGAGGAAGTGGGGACATAGCCAGGTCGGCGAGACGGAGGGACGTATTTCGACATGATGATGTGTTGAATTCTTAGGAGAAGTATCAGCTCTTCTCTGCCCGCACCCTCATCCAGACGGAACTGTGTAGCTGATCAGGCTGAAAAGTCATGGCCAATTTGCTGATAGCTGAGGATGGCGGATCCGGTTCAACGGACATGAGAGGTATCTCCGTGATTTTGCTTCCCTCGATTTGCTTCCGCATTCCCCGACGCGTTCAAAGTGCAACCAACGACACAGGTCTGCACCTCTCACTACAAACTACTCTCTTTCTTTACTTACACTCTGTACAATCCAGACAACATCCTACTTCTCAGTTCACGTATTTGACAGCTTCTACTGCTAGCTACGCCTCATAGTCTCTCTTTTTAGTCTGGTTTTCATCGTGTAGCATACCCTTTCTTTCGTTCATCAAGTAACGGCCGTCTAAGTCTCCCCACGTCAACAAGCCTGGCCGCTCGTTCATTCACTCTTTCATTTACACTTCCGCCCCATTTCTCTGCCTGCTAGTCTAAACATACATCGCCATCATGTCCATTGATAACTATACCAAGCTTGAAAAAGTCGGTGAAGGTCAGTCAATGCCTTCCCAAGTGATCCCAGCTGATGACGTCAGGTACGTATGGAGTGGTGTACAAAGCTCGGGATATACACGGGAACTTTGTCGCTTTGAAGAAGATCAGATTGGAGGCGGAGGATGAGGGAGTACCTAGTACTTCTATAAGAGAGATTAGTTTGTTGAAAGAGCTGAGTCAGGATGATAACATCGTGAAGTGAGTGTACGACTTTCCCCATCACATTCCTACACCTTCCTCTTTTTGTTCCCTCCTCAGAGCAAGACCTCGAGGATTGCTGTGAGATCTATTGTACGACATTCCACTTCCTTTCACTCGGGGTGGTCTGCCACGACTTCCCAACCCCCTTGTGGACAACATACGACCGACGAGGCTCACATTCAGACTTCTCGACATTGTTCATTCCGAGGCGAAACTCTACCTGGTCTTCGAATTCCTCGACCTTGACTTGAAGAAGTATATGGACACTATCGGCGACAAAGATGGTCTTGGGCCAGCTATGGTCAAGGTCAGTATTTCTCTTCTCTTTCCATATGACCTCGTCAACATCATCGAAATGGTCTCGGTTGCCAGGTCTTGGTCAAATATCTGCCGGTCGAGATTGCTGATGAGCAGAAATTCACATGGCAACTTATCAAAGGATTATACTACTGCCACGCCCATCGTATCCTTCATCGCGATCTCAAACCTCAAAATCTTCTCATCAATAAAGAAGGCAATCTCAAAATTGCCGGTATGTCTTGTCTCCTCCATAGGCCACAAGCTGACAAGAATAGACTTCGGTCTCGCAAGAGCATTCGGAATTCCCCTTCGTACATACACCCATGAGGTCAGTCAAAAAGCATGTGGGCCAGTGTTGGACTGATGACTCAGGTGGTGACGCTTTGGTATCGCGCACCGGAAGTGTTGCTCGGATCACGTCATTACTCGACGGCTATCGATATGTGGTCGGTAGGATGTATTTTCGCGGAGATGGCGATGCGACAACCTCTCTTCCCTGGTGATTCGGAGATTGATGAGATTTTCAGGATTTTCCGGTAAGTCAACTTGATCACGCCCACATCCCCCCCCCCTCTCCATACGTGTCTTTAACCCAAGTCGCCCTTAATTTTCCATTTAAACGATTCTGTGGACCCGGGAAGTTAGATGGTACAGTTAACAGGATGAAGTGCGTATATGGATCTGGCTGAGTGACAGAATCTTGGGTACACCCAATGACGATATTTGGCCTGGAGTTCAATCGTTACCAGATTACAAACCTACTTTCCCACAATGGCACTCTCAAGATCTTTCGACCATGGTCAGAGGGTTGGATGAACATGGTATCGATCTTTTGAATCTCACTTTGATTTATGATCCCGCGCATAGGATTTCAGGTAAGTTGGGGATCCTGCCCCCACTTTACCCCCGCGCTTGATTGTCCGAGTCGATTTTCCTTCTCTTGCTACGTAGCTTTTCTGCATCTCCTCCCGGTCAATTTGACAAGGACTGTGTTGACATACAGCCAAACGAGCCCTGCAGCATCCATACTTTACCCTCTCTGGCATGGTGGCATAGGTCTCCATTGAGCGGGGTAAGTGAAGGGCTGGGTGCTGAATGAATGATGGACGCAGTGGTCAGAGTCAGATGATACGGTAGTCTCGGTGTGACGATAGTTTCTTACAGTTTCATGTCATTGGCATTGATGATTGCTGCCGGGTTCTCAGTCATCCATTGGAAAATCGATTTGTGTTACCTGCCGAAGTGACATCCCTTTGCCAGACATGTCACCTTCACGACCTAAAGAAAGCCAAAAGAGAACGACGTGGTTATGAGATCCATAGACGGTGTCAAGTTCTAACCAAAGTTGGCCCATTCAAGACTATAAAACTCCACCTCTTCCTCATCCTCTCCCTCATTTCCATTCTCTTTCTTCCCCGCCTCCCTACTTGTCCCTTCTATCTCCTCAATTTTCTTATCCCCAGCCTGTCTCTGGCCAGTCCAACAACATAACAATCCAGCTTTTTTCGTCCCCGTACCCAGTCTACCCCACGCTACCAACTCACTAGGTTTTATACAATCTTCAGGAAGTATAACCTGACTTGTGAAATGTGCATGATATCTCAGATAATCCCCAGGATAAATTAAATACTCTCCACCAAACCTCGGTCCTAGACCCATCCGAAAACCTTTTTTCTGAAGGGTTTTGAAAGTCGCTAATAATGCGTGATCTCGTGGTGTGGAAGGGAAAGGGAAAAGTGGATGAGGGAGTGATGTTATAGGTGATTGAAGTGAAAGTGATGATAGAGGTGAAAGAGGGTGAGAAGGAATAGAATGAAAATGAGGGTTTGTAATATCCACTTTTCCTTTTTCAACCTTTATATTCTCTTCTCCAGTATTTCCGACTTCCCCCCTATCGATAATTTTCTCATCGGTGAACCTCGTTTGGAAATCAGATTTGATAGTTTGAGTTATATCCGGTGAGAAGGTGATAGTAGGAGTAGGAGATGATGAATCTTGAAAGAAACCACTTTCTTCTTGATCTTTCCCTTTAAGCAATTTCAAAGCTTTCAACTTGGCTCTTTCTTCTCTTTTCCTTTTGACCTCCTCTCCACCTTTTTCCATTCTTTCCCTCCCCATCTTAATCTTTCTCTCTTTAGCCTGTTCAGTCTTCTTGGCTAATTCTTCCAATTTTCTGACCCTTTCTAAAGTCTGAGTCTCGATATTAACTTTGGAAGGAAGTTGAGATATAGGTTGAACAGGAATAAGATGAGCGATTTTTTCAGAGATGAGATAAGCAGTTTCTTCAGACATTAAAATGAGTGGTAGACCTAAAAAAGCGTTTTGTTGAGAAACACCTGGTAAAGTACCTGTACGTAGGCCGGAGATGTTGTGTAGACAATGTAAAGTAGCGGCGACTGGGGGTTAGTGTAAGTACCAGGTACATGTTGTACATATTCGACATTGAAAGAGAGCTTCTGGCAGAATGGGTTGTCGAATCGATGAAGTTTTCAGTACATTTTACTTCAGTACCTTCTGGAAGGGCATGTAGCCGTGCCGAAGTCTGGCTAGAGCTCCGATGGGGAGAAATATGATGGGATAGTCCGGTGGGGGGAGGATATGGTATAGATGGAAGAAAACGAAACTCACTTTGAGGATCCCATACGGTAGCTACACCATTGATGAGATACAAAGGTATACTACTCGGTCCCTCTGTTCCTATATCTTCGTTCGGGATCATCGTCGTGAACTTGATCTCCTTGTGTTATGCCTTCTCTGAGGGATATCAGATGATGTTGAATACATCAAAAAATTCGAGAGCTTCGAGAGATAGCATCAACTTCTGGGAATTTCCTTCGCCACGTGGCATTCCTTCTTCGCCAGCTAAGTGGGTTCTCTCACTGCTCAACTTCACTTTTGCAAATTGGTATTCAACTTTTCTCTCCAACATTGATCTTCCGAGTGTTGCTGAGAGAGTCAGATGGTGAGTTTATCTGTTCATTTGATAAAGTAGATGCTGATCACCTTTCCAGCTTTTCTTTTCGTGAGTCTCAGCTCTGACAACTTTCCACGAAACACAATCATCGGTTTTCTCATCTTTTCAGAGACATCCCTTCTTGTGGAGAAGCCTCCTTGGCTCTCTTCTGAGGGTAGACGACGACAAGTGGATAATTCATGCTCATTGTGATACAGTGACATACAGATGTAGAATGGAAGCGAAAAGAAGGGACATACTGACTTTGAAGATTCTTCAAAACACTCACGGATCAAGTCATCACCGTCGAACTGAAAAATGATCTTTGCATCACTGGGACTCTCAAATCGGTAGATCAGTAAGTTTTCTCCTCCTAATCATTGTACATACATATAACGAATCTAATCTCTTTCTCTCTCTCTTGACTTTGACTATCATATCGCAAAACTCCCATTCCCCCCCCCCCCCCCCCCCTCGCTCTAGAGATAGTTGCGATCGATGCTAATGTCAGATTCTTAAACATTCGTTTAGACGGTATAACTGTAGAAGATCCTGAAAGACATCCTCATATGGTGAGCTGCCGGTTCTCGGAAGCGAGCTGACGATTAGATGGCAGTGAAAAATTGTTTCATAAGAGGTTCAGTGGTGAGGTACGTTCGTATGGGTGCTCGGAGTGTAGATACTACATTGTTGGAGGATGCTACGCGAAGAGGTGAGTGCATGGTTCAAGTTCTGAAAGGATTGAGGTCGGGCTAATGGACAGAGGCGAAGAAATGAAGATTGTATCTCATGTGTTTTCTTCATCTCGTCTTTCAGCGACTAGCGGGTTTCAGTGGGGAGGAGAGCTGTACGGGTGGAGAGAGTATCATCGCACGCATGCATTTCATATCAGTGTACTATACTTGTGCTAGAGATTACAATAAGGGTAGATTATGATAGATATCACTTGTCCCAGACTTTACTGGTCGTTCACGATCACCGATGTAAGATGACCATCTCGGAAGAAGTGACCGATGTTTTCCGGCCGACTTTTCCACCTCAACTTTAACCCACCTTAAGGCTCCTACTTTATCATTTCTTTCCCTCCCTCACGTACTCTTGTGTGACTCATAGATCATAGAGAAGTATGTTCTCCACAATCTTACTCATCCGAACCACCTCCCCCACCACCTTCCTCCTTTCCAGATCGATCCACCCTCGTCCACTTTTCCGATCATTCACCACCACCTCAATCCTAAACACTTTCACTTCCCCTCTTCGCTATCCTCTCAAACCCACTTCCACCACCCATCGTTCAGCTCTCGTACCTACCCCTCCTACTCGGTCACCCGCTATTTCACCAACATCTCCGAAACATGAACAATCTCATAGTTCTCAAACACCCTCTTTGGTCGCTCAGACAATACCACCCGCTTCAGCCGTCACGATCCCACCGAGGAGTATCATAGATCGTCTTGTTCCTGAATGGGCGGCGGGGGTTAGACCTTATTTACATTTGATGAGGTTGGATAAACCTATTGGGTGGATATTACTTTATTGGCCATGTGGTGAGTGTTTCTTTTCACATTCTTAGAATGACTATAACCTTGTTTCTCATTTCTTCGTATGTGATCTGTAACTCGCCTTGACTTGGTTTGAGTCGGTTAATCTCCACTGCCCTCTTTCTTCTGATTAATTCCTTTTGTTATTCTCAGCCGCGTCCTCTTCCGATCCTCTTCTTTGCCCCTCTTGCTCTAACATCAGAGTTGCGTATCGACTAGACTCAGCCGAACAGCCTCGGCTTTTGTTTGGAATGTATCATCAGCTTATAACTGACACTCAGCATGGTCAATCACGATAGCTTCCACGGTATATCATCTCCCACCATCCACTCCAATATTCTATTGCGGGTTATTCGCCCTTGGAGCGTTCATCATGCGTGGTGCGGGATGTACTATCAACGACATGTGGGATAGAAAGTTTGATGCTGCTGTTGGTGTGTCCCTCCTTGCCGTCTTCCTCACCTTACCTCCCAGAGCTCATGTCGCCCTCTTACTGCCCTCCCCACTCTCCCTCCCCCAGCTTAATTGACCTTCATCCTCCTCAAATTAGCCTCCTTCTGTCCGTCTGGCCAAAGCATACGACCCGATGTCTTCCTTTTAAGATGTTCATATCGAGTTTCTGACTGATTACAGAACGTACAAAATCCCGACCTTTGGCAAAAGGAGATATCACTCCTCTTGGAGCGACCACCTTCCTAGGTGGACAATTAACAGCAGGATTAGGAGTTCTCACTCAACTCAATTGGTATTCGTATGTCCTATCCTCCCTTTCGAACTTTCCAATTGCTTCCTAACACTTGTCTCTCCTCCCATCTCTTATCTTTTACATAGAGCACTACTCTGTATTGCCACAACACACTACTCAATGTGTCTTGTAAAACATCTCCCGCTCACAATGGTACTAGTTCAGATTTGGAATTAACAATCAGTATCGTCCTTGGTGCCTCTAGTCTTGGATTGGTATTCATTTACCCATTCATGAAACGTATCACCTATTATCCTCATGTCGTCCTTGGTGAGCTCAACCACGGTCAGAACTAAGAACCCAGCTCATATTCAGGTCTAGCATTCAGCTGGGGATCTTTCCTCGGATGGTCAGCAGTGACAGGGAGTGTAGATTGGGCCATGACTACACCAATGTTTTTGGGAAGTGCTGCTTGGTGTGTCATGTACGATACTATTTATGCTCATCAGGTGGGTTCATCCTCTCTGTTAAATCATCTCCTAATCGCGTTTTTGTTCCCTATGTCAGTTGAGTAATAATAACATATCACCTAAGAACCCCGTCAGGACCCCGTCAGGACCAAGCTTGATTAATTGTTCATGTACTGTTGTCATCGCGTCTGAATTTCTTGCTGTACCCTTTTCATCTTCCCGACTATTCTGTCTCAGACATATATGACACTCAACCCGACTCCTCCTTTCCCTACCCCACCTGAACAGAAGATAGCCCAAAGCACATTCACGTGCACCGATTGCACCGAAGGTTGATCCAGATGGAATCCATGTTACAAGTTTGAGCTAACAAAGCTGACGACCAGGACAAAAAAGATGACATCTTAGTCGGAGTTAAATCCATAGCACTCCGTTTCCCTTCACTCACACAATCACGTATCCTCATCTCATCCCTCTCCACATTCTTCCTTTCCACTCTCATCGTCACTGGTCAACTCACAGGACTCGGACCTGCTTATTATTTGATCTCTTGTGGTGGTGCGGCGGGACATTTAGCTTGGCAATGCGCTACTGTAAATTTCGATAGTAGGGAGGATTTATGGAAAAAGTTTTCATCTAATGGTTGGTTAGGGTTGTTGATTTGGATGGGAATGGTGGTGGATTATGTACAACAGGTCTTATTGGGGGAGGAGCCGTCGGAGGATATGCAGGCAGTTTGAAAAATCTTAGAATCGTATCGTCGAGTCGGTTGAAAACAGGTTAGGCATGCTGTGTAGATTGCTTAGATTGTCGAAGCTCAAGAGAAGGTTTCGGGTTTGGGGAGAAGGATCTCGTCTTATAAATTACAGAAAGGGTTAGAGGAGATAGATGATGATCACAGGGAGGGCATAAATAGATAAATCTGAGAAGATTAATAATTATTAGATTCGTTCGTTTTGGGATAATGCATTGCGATCTGAACATCTATTGAACAAGAAATCATGGTGATCCTATTCTTTCAGCTATTCATCTAGATGACGACAAAATGACTCACCACCCAAGAAATTATCAGCAGAAGTTCGTTGTTCTGCCCAACTTTGTTTGAAAGCAACCAGTCCTACGAGTATACCAGCTATAAAAACTGATCTCAGTGTGTGTTACACTAACGAGGATATCCGACTCACAGACAATAGCAATTATGAGCCAAAACGCTCCTTTTGATCAGTGACCATTCCTCAACCATTTTCTACCTCACTCTTTGCACCTTCCCCTGAGATACACGACGATGTGCATTTTTTTCAAGATTTCTGATTTTTGGGTAAATGAAGAGAGATGAAATATGAGGATAGTAAGAGGAAAACTCACCCCAAAATCGTGAACCACAACAACCTATCATGTGCGCATATTCTGAAGCATCGGAAGTATTGACTTTTCTCGATAAAGAATCCTGCCTATCAGCTTGAGACTTGGGGTGACAGTTCAGCTGACGTCGATGATGTCCCACTTTCTGTCAGCTTTTGTTTGGTTCTCGATAGCGGAGAACTTACGATACAATATAGACACGACATTACGCCGATGAAAAGGACTAGGAAACGTAGTGCTACGGAATGTGCCACTAGCCAACATATCTACCTGTCAGCTTGAATCTCCAGTGGAACGAGCAAGACTTGTGATCAGAGGGTATCGGGGAGTCTATCCTCACTGGATCAGATGGTCGTGAGATTGACAATGCCAGGAGTATGACAGTGCCGATTTCATGGACAATGTAAATTTTGTAAATTCATTAAGGATGGAGGGAAGAGAAGAAACAAGACATACTATGATCAATGCCACAGTGATGAGGATACTAAACCATGCAACCCAACTACGCTTGGCCCACCAAAGAGTGAGAAGGAAGAGAAAACACAGAACCAGTGAAGCGACTTTACTAGCGTCCGTATCGAAGCCCTATTCATCAGCGAAGATTCACAAGGACGGTCGTACGATCTTAGGCTTGAAATGGGAAGTATGAACTTACACATGTTATCAAACACGCTCCGATGAATGACGAACCTAAGTATCCGGCTGGAAGAGTGATGACTGGTATACCTCCCCTCATTCTCGTTGAACCTCCTTCATGTGGGTCGAGCTGATGTCAAAGGTCCTCCCTATGCGTCTTTCAATGCGTTATCTGCAACCCCACACCTCTCATACTTTCGTATCCCCCCTGTCCTTCCTCTCCACATTGTCCAGCTCAGGACAAATCCGACGAATAAACATCCCCTCTGGTCTCGAGGTGGAGAGCAGCCGAGATAAGGATCGGTCGGACGTCAACAGTGGGTTTTGATTATCCACTATCCGTGGAAGGAGGATGCAGGAGCCAACTCGTGCGATAGGACACTCACCGTGATCTGCTCCACATGTCCACAAGTTAAGATCTATCAATTAGCCTCACTCTTTGCAATCCCTTCCCACTTGAGCGGTGGTGTACACCGAAGAACTTACCCCTGCTAAAGCATGACATCTCCTCGTTAGCATCTACCATCGTTGCTACAAAGGGTAGAGAATTCACAATTCATGTAATCCCACAGTCTGGCATCAGCACACAATCAATATAATCATCGCCCTCCTCCACTTCATACCACAGGGATATGTCACGTGTATATAAGTCCCATCGGGAAGTGGGTCATGAATCAGGTGTGTGCAAGAGGCCTCGTAACTGAATAAGATACGTTACGACATACCAGAAGTTTGAACGGATAGATGAGGTATTCAAGATATGGTACTATCCTCAGTTTACATCTTCTCATAAATGAGGCCAACTCACCATGCCTGGTAAAAGAGAGAGCAGGATCAGTGTTACAATCCATCTCGCCTCGTAATGATACTCACCACTGTGCATCAGTGAGATGTTCTGGCAGCCTAACAGAAGTATCCCTCAAAGCTGCTAAGTACCCCAAAGAGACGAGGAGTCACTCTCCCAGTGAAACGCTCAGGGTAAAGATTAGGCGAGTAAGAGGTGAAGGAGGTGTGACCAATGCGGAAGGAAGATATCCGGACAGTTTTGCACCAAATGAAGTTGGGAAGGGGTGAGAGTGAGCCTGTGAGATGCCTAAGAGAAACGTACCACTGCCTGTCAACTACTAGCCAAATGGTCGCGAGCGATGGACCACTCACATATTCCAATGACTACCACATAACAAGCAGCGACGATCAATGTCACTCTGATTATCAGCATCTCCTACCTCTTATCCCTTCCCCCCTCAGTGGTCAATCTGCCACCGTCTGTCATCTTCAACTCCCATCTACCCTCAATTCGATTCATTTCAAAAACTTCTCTGCAAGTGAAGTGTTGCCCTGCCCATAGACTTCGGCGAAAACCTCCAGAGGACTCACTTCTGAGTATCGTTCGGCACAAAAGGGCTTCCTCTTCTATACAGATGAATCGTCGTTTCGTCATATATCATCCCACGCAGATCGGGCGGATCGAGGATAAAGGGCGCCATGTTGCTTGTCCCTCGATGAAGCGTGTGAGAAGACAAAGTCGAGTTAGTATTAAGCGGCAAAGAAAGATGAAAAGAGGAGAGAAAGGTTGAAGGAAGGTTGAATGAATCATCACCATCAAAGGCATCATCAGTCAGGGCAGTGCAACCGTGCACTCGCCAAGATGATCGGGGAAGCGAACCGTGCGCAGATCATTCCTTCTCTAAGGTTCCGAGGCATCCACGCTCATTCCGCAGCCACAGTTTACCGGGTAGATGTCATACATGCATCGTAGATCTTCTATACTTCGTCCGGGGCAAGCATGACTGGTACCTGTCAGTATGCACACAGATCATTTGACATGGACTCACGCTCGGGTCGGACACGTTTGTCGAATTCTTCCTCTGACAGCAGGTTCAATTCGAGACAAGACTGTTTGAGTCTGCTGCGTCAGCTCGTTTTGTATCATTCTATGATTGATGGACTCACGTTAGACCTTTCTTGTGTGCATTCTTGGCGATCTTGGCGACGTCTGAGGGTTAGCGAGTTCGGAAGAAGAAGGGGCAGGACTCACCATCATAACCTAACACACTGTTGAGGCAGGTGGCACTGAATGTCAGATCCTTTCTTTATCGCCTGTACACACCGAGGATCGGTAGTGACCATGGAAGCAAGTAGTGCTGGTATGAAGGGAGCTGAAAAGGAAGAGAGTGGGGAGATGAGTTTAAAGTTCGGATGAATACGAGACGAGACCTTGTGAACACACTCACAGCATCAGACTCTCATTCATGATCTTCTGAATCCGATCCTCATTAGCCTTGATCCCCACCACACAATGGTCCGTAAAGCTCCTCGCACCATCAGCCAGCAGACGAATGCTTTGCAACAGGTTCTTGATCAAGACAGGTTTGAAAACATTGAGCTCGAATTGACCATATGACCCAGCGACCGTGATGGTGGTGTGGTTCCCCATTACTTGAGCGGCGACCATGGTCAGGGCTTCACATTGGGTTGGGTTGACCCTAGAGCTGTCAGCTCTGAGATTTCGGATCCACACCATACCGGCTCGCTCTTTGTCTCGATCGCCTCGGCCCCGTCAGACGATCTGTCACCTAATTATCGCAGAAAGGACGAAAACAACAGGATCGAGTTTCACAAGAGCGGCACGCAAAGCGTCTGCGAAGAGAGTTGGGAAATACTCACTTCCCAGGCATGATACTCGATCCAGGTTCGTTCTCAGGCAACTCAAGCTCTCCTAAACCGCATCGAGGTCCTGAAGCCAAATACCTAATATCATTGGCGATCTTCATAAGCGACACAGCCACCACGTTTAGTGCGCCAGAAGCTTCGACAATAGCATCATGCGCCGCAAGAGCTTCGAATTTGTTGGGAGCAGTAATGAAATCGTATCCGGTGATTTTGGAGATTTCAGCGGCGACTTTTTCGTCGAAGCCTTTCTTAGTGTTGAGACCCTGTGCATTAGGTCAGTTTCTATATCACATGTGTCCTTCAAGATATCCAAGTGATTCCATTGCTCTACCTCGAGACGGGTTAAGCCATTGGTCACCAATTGGATCACTTGACTGTCGAGCTCTGATAAGAAGAGGGAACTTCAAGAAGTGACGTACCGTTCCAACAGCAGTTCCACCCTGAGCCAACATACTCAAGTTTTTCAACGTCCCTTTCACCCTCTCGATACCCCTCTCAACTTGAGTTACATATCCGCTGAATTCTTGTCCAAGAGTGAGCGGTGTGGCATCTTGCAAATGTGTACGTCCGATTTTCACAATGTGGTCAAACGACTTGCGTTTGTCTTCCAAAGCGTCGTGGAGTTTCTGCATGGCAGGGAGAAGGGTCGCGTTGATCTCTACCACTGCGGCGATATGCATGGCAGTGGGGAAACTGTGGTCAGTCATGCGCATTCTTGTATTTATCATCTGCCGGTAGACCCTGCCAGAAAGACATCCCTAAGACGAACACACACCAGTCTTTCTCGTCCAGACGCCAAGGTGACGAGGGCCGTTTGGGCAGCAAGCATGACTCAAGTAGAAGGAGTTTGTGTGATGAAAGAAGTCACATGATGAGTGTAGGAAGGATGATAAGGTGGAGACATCAGACAGAGACACTATGACACCCACCTATCATTAGAACTCGCCGACATGTTCACATGATCATTGGGATGAACCGGTTTTTTACTCCCCAATTCCCCACCTAACATCTCAATTGCCCTATTACTTATAACCTCATTCACGTTCATATTCGTCTGGGTCCCACTTCCCGTTTGGAACACCACCAATGGGAATTCATCGATCAATTTACCGGAAATCACTTCGTCAGCAGCGGCCGAGATGGCATCTGCTATTTCGATGGGCAAACCGTACGTTTGGTTCACATGAGCAGCAGCTTTCTTGAGAACTCCAAAGGCTTTGATGAGCGGTGGTGGCATACGTTCTGTGGGACCGCCTGGGAGGTGTCAGCCAGACCTCTGGACAAACCGAAATCCGCGACGACGACACTTTGAGCAGCAGTATAAAAGTATACAAACACACGAGTTGTTCTCGAGGAGACAGATGCTAGTAGATAATGTGACAGGTTGAATAAAAGTAGTTTTCACCCATGCGGAGATAAGTGAGGACAATGTCAAGCGTTGAGGTGACGGTGACGGGTTCGTGGGTGGGAGGGTGTCACTGGAGTCATATGAAAAGTAGGACGAATTAAGGGCGAGGGGTCAAGCGGTAGTCATAGAGAAGCGAGTACATGACAAACCCACCAATGTCGAAATTCATCAATGACCTTTGTGTCTGAGCACCCCAATACCTCTCTGCGGGAACTTGCAAATCACCAAAAGTATCCTTCTCTTTCCGATATTTCTGGGACATGATAGCTGATGATGATAAGTTTCGTTGAATTGAGGCTAGTCTCCGCGAAGGGTGCTATGTATCAATAAGGTTCTGATACCCGCACACCTACGCAACCCCTCACACCCCTTTGTGCATGCAGCATGCAGCAGATGCTACTGTAGATTTGACACATGATGTCATGAGTTTGAGGCATGACCAAACGTCATGCACCTACCAGGAGATGTCTCGGCACTTGTTCCAGTTGTCTCATTGGTACCACCGGAGCGGCTATCACCAGGAGTATAGTTCTCGCAGGGGAAAGGGGGGAGGTGGTAGGAGAAGACTTACGCTGAGAGCCGTACGACGTAAAGAAAGAGACAACATGAGAGTAGAGGGAGAGTCACCTGAGTCGCACGGACACACGGGTCAAACGGGTCAAGATTTGTGGGGAGAAGGGAGTGCTGTCACTTTTTGCAAGTGCGCAGGTCGGGGTGGGGGTGGAATGGGCCACTTACAAGTGGAACACTTCCAAGCGATTTATCGGGTTATCGGGAATCTTCGGACTGTTGAATTTCAACGTTAAGGCACCATCAGCTTCGATGGCGGAGGTTGCCGCTAGGGAAATTTCTAACTTCCTGCTCATCCACCAACCTCTATGTATATTTATCCTATTCAGTGTCATCTTCAGTAGTACAAGGTTGACTTTATTGGGACATTGATTGAAGGAGAGAAGAGTCAATAGCTCCAAACGAGACTAAGAGGGAAGGTAAACCGCGAGAATAAGGAACAAGACACAATATGGATCGTCAATTAGAATCTCCCCTTCTTCTTCATCCTCTTTCCTCACCAAAGTCATTATCCGCATCATCAACCTACGCACACATCTCATCTTTCCTTCCTTCCCTCCCCCTGGGACCTTCCAGAACACAACTCGAACGTCTTGCCGATTCATTAGGAGTAGACACTGGAAATTTAGCTCCATCGGAATCAGACAGACGTGAAGCGGCCCGTGCGGAAGCTAAATTAGCAGAGAAGAACGAGAGGAGAAGGAAGAGAGAAGAGAGGTTGTTAATGAAAGAAGAAGAAGAGAGGAGGAGGTTAGAGGGGATGGTAGATGATTATCAAGAGGATGATCTGAATGAAGGACAAAAGTTGAGGGAAGGAGGAGAGGGGAAGAATGATGAGGATGAAGATATGGAATTGGGTCATCAAGATGGTGAAAAGGTGGAAGAGAAAGGAGATATTGAATATGATGACGAGGATGAAGAGGATGAGGATGAACCGGATAATGAACATCGGGAGAAGATGAGTGACGATCGATGAAATATCCATTACGAGTAAGTTTGTTCTTTGGGATAGTTATTCGTACCAGAGAGGATAGCTGATGAGACAGTGCAGATGAGGAGAGAAGATCTATGCATATACAAGCAAGTTGATCAGATGTTGTACATAAATGATACACCTGATGTCAATGTGAAATCTTCAAGTCTCATCCACCATACAAGGACCACGACCTTCAGAAACCATATCGAGTATTTTGAAAAACCCACAACCTTTCAATTCACCAGTTTGACCTGGACTTTGACATTGCCAGAAGAACACCATGTCGTCATGTAAGATCTTCTTCTCCTCATTTACCTTCTCATCTCTGACCAGTCCATCAGTCGACTTCTCATCTTCTAAGTGTCCATCTTTTGGCTCTCGTATATTTAGAGTCGGATTGGGCTCCCTGGTCAGTGATTGACCCCCGCTAATCTCATTCTTCGATGTGTTCGTGACTTTCCCTGAACTGAGGAGAGAAGATCGGACTTTGGCTTTCTGGTCGGCCCGTAGTAATCTGACATCAGAGCTCGTCTCCTAACAAAAGAAGAAACTCACGTGGGTAAACCACACCTACACATCGGAGTACCCTCTCTCCTACCTCTCCAACCAACACCAGAATCAGGATGGAAGTCTGACCCATGAGCGCATCTCCAAACCCCAAGATGAAGATAAGAAACAAGACTGACCTTCGCGATAAAACCGAAATGTCAGGTTGATCCGTGAGGCGTAAGCCTTTTGATCTGTTGGTGGTATTGGAGATTGGTCGATAGCCCATGCAGGACGAAACAGGTCCAGAGCTTTTTGAGTGGGAACACTGTTGGTCAAATCTTCTACCATCTAATTCATTCATCTACATGCTTGAAGCCACAGCTGTGAAGAAGGAAGATAGTGTGAGTAAGTTGGAGAAGGAGGAATAGGACTAACGTATGTTTATACCGTTCTTGACATCCGGCATTCATGAGTACCAAAGTATTATGACCCAATTTGACTTCGTATGTCCGGGTAGGAGTTGTCAAAGCGAACGCAGGATCGACGGGGGTTGTAGGTCGAAGACGAAACCCTCGAGGAGTTCCGAGGGAGAGACTTGCGATGGTTGCATAAGGTCCTAGATCTCGATGTCAACGGTTTGGACTATCGATGCAGAATTGATGGGATGGATTCTCTCACAAGTAAGCTGATCAGCATGCCAGCCAACACTACGAAGTCAGCTGATCCCACGAACATTGAGCAGTCAATAATGTGTCCATTCCACTATATTGAGTAGACCCTCTAAGTATGTGACAGAGAGGAATGAGTGACTTAGACATGCATATAAACTCACCTACTAGCGGCTCCATCATACCGATTAGCTCCACATAAATTGGCTTTCCATTTACCTTTCCATTCCCAAGAATATCTTCCCTTTCTGTCCAGAGCCTCATTGACAACCTTCTCCACCATCTCCGCCGCTTCCTCTAACAACCTCGGAAACTTCTTAGGAGATTGTAATTCTTGTCCTGACCAGAAATATCTGGCTCCATTCGTATCCTCCTTGACATATTGAGTAGCAGTATGTGGTGATTCTACCCATTTCCCAGCTAAATGAAATCTATTCCGATCCCACGAAAGGGATTCTTCCATCATAGTAAGATACAATGCCGAAGCGAATGAAGGTGATAAGGGAGATTTGAGAAATGTTAATGGGAGACCAACTTGATCGATTGCTTCTTGAGATATCAAGATGACACTTCCTTTCGAATTCGCTTTAGAGGGACCTGAGGAGATAGTGGAGGGTTTGAGTATGGTGGACAGGTGTACAGTTTGTCTTTCGTTTTTGGTCGGAGAGGCAGTGATGGGACGGTTGACAAAAGTTTGAGGTGAGATTGAAGATTGGTGTGAAGGAGAACTGGGAAGGGGACGTTTCTTGTTCAACCAGGATTTTAAAGTTGGTCCTGCTTTACGTTTACCCGAAGCTCTCACACGAGGTAAGAGAAGAGATTCTGCCGCTTGTTGAATTTGTCCATTGGCTTGAGTTAGAGCTTCGAGATATTGTTCAGGGGTGAAAGTGGTCGGTTCGAGTAGAGAAGCCAGTAAAGCTATCTTGGTTTCTGTATCTGAGGTTTCGACGTTCATCTCTTCTACACTGTCTAGTCATAGAGTGATGCAGGGAGAAGAAGAGGAAGAGGGGTTAAGAGGATGAAGGAAGTCGAAGATGACGAGGTGTGAGTGGACGACGACGTGCCTGACTGCAGATGGATCGTGATTTGATTTTGTTGTGTGTTTTAAGACGTCAAGTTTCCCGATTTGAACATTCGACATACGACTAGGTGCCTTTATACATCTTGATACTTTCCTTACTCTGACAATAGTAGCTAGTAGCTCAGTAGCTCAGTAGCTACGTAGCGTTTTTCCTCCATGCCACCACGCGACTTCACAGATTCGGAAGAAGATGATCCTCCCATTCAACCTTCTCCTTCTCCAAACCCACCATCTTCACCAATTCCTAACCCACCTCAATCCCACCCTTTGAGAATCACCGTCAGTATCTTTCCTTCATGTCTATCCCCCACCCTCTCTCTCTCTCCTTTTCCTTCATATTTACCTTCTTATGATCATCGGAGGATCTCTCATACTCATCATCAAAAGTTCACTCTCCACCATCTGAAACTAATCAGACTCGCGTAATATATAACTTACTGACAACACAGCTTCGACCATCAATAAATCATTTAATGAACGACCATCCTCCTCCTCCTCATCCTCATCAAACTTCCAGTATCGCACCATCCGAAAGATCTTCTTTATCTCCACCACCACCTATAACACTTCGTTTCGGTATCAAACCAACTAGTATCACTCCCAAACCTTCAGAAACGCATGGCGGTTCAGATTCAGAAGTCCCAAAGAAAAAGAAAAAGGTACATAAAAGGAAATCATCAGCAGTGATAGAAACACAATCTAACAAGGTGATGTTACCTAAGAAAAGTTATGATTGGCTTCAACCTTCTGACGTAGGTGCGAGTCATCATGGTCCTCATAATCGTCCTTCACCTCCTGTTTCAGAAGGGAATGAGACTAAACCAACACCGACGGCGGTAGATAATGCGATGAAGAAAATCGGTAGTCATAAGAAAAAACCTGATAATACTGGACCTGGTAAAGCGTGGAGAAAAGGTTTGAAGAAGTGCGTTCTGGCCTTTCTTCTCATTCCAATCCACTCCCCTTTCCCTCTCCCGCCTCTCCATGCGACTCTCATCATCGGTCTCAAAGAATAAACTCCTGTGACACTGGGCATCTTCTTCTTGTTGTATTCAATGATCCATTGGACAAGAGTAAGGGGGAGGGGGAGGGAAGGGGGTATCTGAACCAGCTGACATATCAGAGGTATGCCTATTCCATGGCGGGAAGGAAATTTTTTAGAAACCACCCCACCATCTTTCTCAAACGAAACTTCTACTCATCTTCAACTCCCTGTAGATCCAAGTATACCCATAGAAGATTCTCGTAATCGTCAACCTTCTTCCCTCCTTGGAACTCCAGAACCTAACAACTCTATATCTCCAACTCCACATAACCCCGAATTACAACCAATACCAATACCAATACCAAATCCAGAACATCCCATTGACCCTCCTATCTTACCAGCAAGATCAGTATCACCCATATTCATACCTGCCGATCGGGAGAAAATGGGAATACCAATATACTCCAGACCTATCGTACAGCCTAAAATCACATTAGGAACATTCCCAAAGGTCACTCAAACTTTTGCGCCGAATAACGGGGGTGATCCGGTGTTCCCAAGGAAGGAAAGGGTTAGGAGTTGGAAGGAAGCAGAAAGGGTGGTGATGGGTATAGGAGGTGGACAATTGAAATTTCGTTCTTGGGCAAGAGGTGTGTCCCTTAACCTGATTCTATTTGGTAGTCCACACTATCCGTCATCTCCCTCCGAGTACGATGCGTTCTCCCCAGCTTGACAGCTACTCATCTCTATTTCCGTCCTGGAGACAGTATGATATTTCTCTTCTTGCTCAGTCACATTTCAATTTCTCTCCATCACCCAAATCTCTTACCTATCGCTAGTCAAAGAACGGATACCTAGGAATTTTGACGCCCTCACTGTCTCCGTTTTGTCAATCACGTCTTGATCAAATTGAGAGCTTATTACTCACCTCCAGGCCCATCATCCGAACTAGGTCGTCTGATTCAAGCGGACAAAGAAGCTAAAGAACTACATCGAGCCAAGATGAAATCCGCCGCTATATCCGCATCCCAAGCTCCTGACCCGATATTCTCAACTAGTACAAGTGTCAGTCTCCATGCCAGTCCCAATCCCACTCAATGGGATCGTCCGAAACTTTTACATACCACATCGTTCGATTCTTCTTTAATGCCTGATGATACGTCGGAAATTGGAGATGGGGATAGTATAGTTGTACCTGACTTAAATGTCTCGAAAGGTCTACAGGATTTGAATGAAGCGAAAGAGGTAAAAGATTTCAAAGACGGGAATGATGTTGATGATATGAAAACCGTGGAAGAATCAAAAGGAACAGAAATCAAGAAAAGTACAGGAGGTTTGAAAGGTAGAGGAGGGAAGAAAATTCAGAAAATACAAAGGAAATCGAAATTAGCACAGGAGATCGTATTGACTGAAGGGGATCTTGATACTGAAGTTTGATGTTGTATAGTATACACTTTCGTATATTCAGAAGTGGGAAGAGAGAGCCGTTATTAAGTCGCGGAAACAAGAGGGGCAAGGAAGCAATGCTGTAGGTTAGATTAGGTCATATACATAAATACATCAGCATGGCATTTATTCACATGCCCTGACTGTAATACAGCCATTCCGCGGGTATACGGCTGTATGTGAATTCAAAAAGTACACAGATATTGCATGACATTATAAATATGGGTCTTAGAGCCATGCAGAGTGAAATTGACTATCGTATCAACAAAACTTCTCTCTTTACATCACACCGTGTATTCCAAATGCCTCCTTCACCCCCTATACCACAGAACTCACCGTCCATGGGACTCAATATTCCCATTTCCCCACCAAGCAAGCTATCTTCCCTTATTTTTGTGTGAACCCGCGGTGAGGATAATGCTTGATAGACCGTAAGCTGGCCACCCCACTCAAATCCGTTCATCCCTCAACCCTCCTCGCGACAGCCAAAATAAGATCCCTTCTCCTTCCCAATTTCCACACTGCCAATCGTCTCAATTCTTTCCAACTCCCTCCTTCAGGCGCAGGAACGTTGTTTGGGAAATAAATGACGAAATCACTTTCTGACAAAAAAGATCTCAACAATGATCCTATGAGTGCACATGCAACACATAAAACGATCAATGATGGGATAGATATAGAGATCCTCGAACGTAATTTCGTCGTCACTCTAATAGGACTCGTCGGTGTGTCTTTGGTTTCCGTAGGAATAGTGATATCTGTGACTGATGTATCAGATGGAGGAAGTACGATGGATGGTTTGGATGGTAGAGGTGGAGGTATGATAGGACGACGTAATCGAGGATAAGGATAACGCCAAAATTGATATTTCCCTCCTATTTGTTCATTTACAATTTGTTCAGAAGAATTGTTTGATTCAGATGATTTAGTTTCGTCATTGATTTCCCCATTAGATTTGGGAGGAGGGACAGTTGATATCTCTTCGATGTTTTGTTCATCTACGGATGGTTCTGATGGTGGGGGAGGTACGGGTTTCTGAACGAGATATTCCACTGCGACAGCCAAAGGTTTATCTAAATTTACGGTATTCGGTATATCTCGATTGACCAATTGTGGTATTCTAAAATTTTCTCTCATTCTTATTGATCGTTTCTCTTCTTCGACCACTAAAATTTGTTCTCCAAACATATATTGATTGGTGCCTGGTCGAGGGGTAATAGAGAGATGTACCACAGCTCCATCATTGATCAAATCCAACAACCATCTCGGTCGTGGTAATGGTCCAGTTTTACCTGTTAAAGGATTAGCAATGGGAGTTTCGTATCCCGCTGTAGGAAGGGTTATCCTCACTAAATGTCGAGAAGGAGTAGGTTCGAGAGAAGCTGTCTGAAGTACGGAAGGTGCCATGATTATGATTTGACATTTGAAAGGTAATTCCATCAACCCATCATCACCCGACGTCATTCGTATTGGTAGAATTCCATTCTCCGGGGAATCTGCATTGATGACAGGAGTCGAATTTAAAGCCATAGGAAGGGATATACCCCGAAGAGAAATATCACAACCTTGATTCAAAAAAGTAGCCAGTACAACTTCTGCTACGATCAAATCTTTTCGTCCTCTTCTGATATCTTCACCCAAATCAATGACTGTCCGACCTGAATAGAGTGAGGATCTGGAATCGTTGGGACTCAGAGGTGGTGAAGTCGGAGAAAGTGTTTCGGATTGTTTATTAGATTTGGAAGGTCGAAGGAGTACCATCAGACCATAGTTCCCCTCCATGTCCAAGATCTGTTCCACACCCACTCGCTCATTGTCAAATCCTTCGAGACCCCATGGAGATTGTGCGGTCGGTTCAGGAGCCAAGATTGACATTGGAGGAAGTCGACAACGAGTTGGAGGTCCACGAGACTTGAGCATAGATTCAACGGAGAGTACGACCCGAGGTAGAGAAGCGTTCAACATGTTATTCACTGACAATGGCATTGATCCACTGAAATCAACCGCTGCCACATACATACACCGTGTTGAAGGGATAGCGTAGTTCTCATGTGAGTACGGATCGATAGTTTCCAATACCCATCCTTCGAGGATAACATTACCCGGGGGAAGAGAGGAAGGATTGTATTTGATTGGGTCCAGAGAGGTAGTCGTACGGTCGAACGCCGAGGTGGATGCATGGAAGATTGTGGATAGAGGGGTGTGAGTACCATGAGAAGGTGAAGGAGGAGGTCCATCAGGCAGTCTAGCAACGATGGTAGCTACCAACATTGATCGTCCGCGGAAAGGAAAGGCCGTATGCGCTGAAAGTTGTGATGTTATGATACCAGTCCCGTACGATTCCAATCGAAGTGGTACATCGAACCTTTCGTCCTTCCGAGACATGGAAACGGCTGCAGAAACTTCCTCCGCGGTGAAGCCCTCAATGATTCGACCAGCGCGAAAGACGGGGAACGTATCTGATACGTGAGAAACATTCCTACGCTCCACTTTGAGTCCATCACGTTCAGAGACCGGTTGCCAACCATGTGGATCGGTTGATTCGCTTTCCCTATCAGCGTGCATTCTTGCTAATTGAGACAAAGCTTGTACGGCAGCATCGACTGGAGTAGATCCTGTTGGAGCTGACGGACCAGGACTTGTCATGGGAACGATTGCCGCTCTGGTCTGCTGAGCCGCGACTGAATACCATCTCGACAAAGGCGCTGCGATCTTCGCGTATGTGGAAGGTGTCACTGTCCTGAATGGATCGATAGCGAGATCCACGCCGCTCTGCTTCTTCCGAATAGTTCCAAGGGCCGGAGGTTGATCAAGAGGAGCCCGAGTAGGTCGAGATCGTCTTTGTCGTTTCAGAAGCTGAACCTCGGTATCGACCAGCTCCTCGGTATCAATTTTCACCTTGTAGCCGTTGGCTGTGAGCGTCGGCTTGACGGCAGGCGGACCACGGCGAATAGTGACCGCCACGGGGTTTCTGCCCAAGATAGCCGAATTGTGTTCGATTGTCAACCATAAACCCCCTCCCATGGCCGATAATTTGTGACGCTTAAGTGCGGACAATGACTGATGAGGTGGGTCTATGACTATAGCTATACTATTGGCCCACTGATTCATATCACACCGTATCTCGCATTCGATATTTGCTCCTAGATTTTTGGTGGCGCCAAGCGATCCCAAGCTGCTCGAGTCGCTACCGTTCCCAGTGGGACGAACGGCCACAGGGAGGGGAAATGCCGTGACGATACTTGACGAATCAGAGCGTCTGGCTTCTGCGGCTTCGTACTCGAATCGGAACGTCTCTTTCTCTACGTCGTATCGCGATGAGAGAGCTTTGGCACCCCCAAGTCTTGTGGCAATAGGCGGTGCACCGTGCTTTATCGAGAACTCTCCGATGCCCGCAAGTGTGTTCATCATCACCTGAGGTATGGATGATTTATTGGACCATCCTCGGGGATCACTCTGCTCGAGAAGAGTGACCTGCGTCGTATTGGGTGAAAGGGATTCGATGGACCAACCTTGAAGATCAATCTGCGTGCGAATGACCGTAGGGTCGATACTCGGTGGTATGCGAGGAAATAGCTCGGTGTCATCAACGGAGAAACCGAAGATATGGACGGAAGATGGAGATTTGTATGTGGTCCGCAGAATAACCGAGTCTCGAGCACTTGATCTCAGCATTTATACCAATAGTCATTACCTGAACTCACGACGTTGGCCAAGCTGCCTTTGAACGGAAATGCCACAAGTCTGTGAGCTCATTGATGTCTTCGACCAAAGTCGCATCATCATGCGTCTTGTCCCATACCCAACGATCGCCGGGACTAGCAATGGTGGCATAGAGGTCCCATATGTTTACCCCGACGAATACTGCCTCTGCACGAAATACAACCAGTGTTTTATCAATTGAATCCAGCTGATGTATCGCCACTCCTCTTGAATCCAGTACAGGTTTCCACTTGGGTTCGGGCTCTTGCAGAAGTGATGTGAAGTCTGACATGAGCACAGTGTACGAGCAGATCCATCCACTCACAGATGTAGTTGCGTTTGATCATTGAGGCGATGGCCTTTTCCGCGGCTTGCGACCTGCCGGACCCGTTCATCCTCACGTCAGTCGGGCCCGAAGCTTGAGTCGTCTCTTCCGACCCTATGCTACGCAGAGAAATGCCGCTGGTACTTTCTGTTTCCTCTAACACCCGTCTCTGTGGAGCTCTGGCATCTATGGATTCTACTGTCACAGGAATTCCATTGATTCTCACTCCGGAAATCGAAGAGGACGTTCGTTCGATAGACACTTTGACGCGAATGAGTTCCTCATGCTCTTGCAAGGGTGCGTGTGTGAGTCGTAGTATAAGTCGGTTGGGTGCTTTTGAACCAAGGTCTGTAGGTGGAGCATGACCGACGATGGCGGTCCATACAGTGGACGGAGATTCTTGCCCTTGTTGAGTTTTGACATGAATTTGAATATCCCAACTTTGCGTTGATGAAAATCCGACCTCCACTTGACGTCTTTTACCATCGCCATATCCGTCAACTTCCCCCTTCACCACTGCGTATCCCATAGATAAAGTTACACGAGCCGTGTCGTAACCGATAGAGCCGATACTGACCTCTGGACCAAAGTTCAATACCACGGGGACCTTTTCACTTCCCTCCCTCGCATAGTCTACAAGTCCTGTGACTAGATATGGTAGGTGTTGAGGCACTCCGCCACCCACCGCCCACGCCCCTTTCGGATTCCACGACCAAAAACAAGTGATCTTCGCCTTGCCCTCGGGGACCTCGGCTTGCGGTAATTGAATGCACCAAGCAAGTAAGTTGATATGTGCACGAACATAGGGTGGAGCTGGACGAAGGTAAGATGGTTCATGCTTTGACCGAGGAAGAGATGTGGTGATGTCGATGAGGGTGTGACGATCCACCAGGGTCCTAGAGATGGTCACAACATCTCTAGGACTGGAAGGCCATCCAAGGCGATAGTTGGTCTTGGTCACACGAGTATTGGCATCGAGTAGATCAATCGTAGTGGCCTCCTCCACCATTCGGTCCCATCTAGGCCGAGTCTCGGGAGTGACTAGACATCCACGAAACGTATCGGTACTGACGTCGGTCCCACAGTCAACTTGGACAGTGGCTCTAAACACCTCACCGCCTTTGCCGTTGCGCCGATGGATGATGACATTATTGGGAGAGACCTTACCTAGTGATGATTCGTTGTTGGAGCTAGATCCATCATCACGAGCGACGGAAGATTCTGTGAGAGGGAGAACGGAGACGGGCTTCCATGCGGAAGATGACGAAGAGGAAAGGAGTGCACGAAAGTAAGAGAGGGAAGAGGTGAGAGCCTGTTGCCAAGCAGCTTCGAGCCTGTCTGTGAGGAGAGTATCAATATCAAGACACTCACTTGCTACCATCATCCAAGTCTGCGGCACCCATCCCCCGACACGCAAAGCATGAGGTTTTATGCTATAGTCAAGGGTGGAACGATGTCAAGTTGAACCCCCGTCAGAGTAGGGATCTGGTGGGGATACCTTTTAGCTGAACGAGTCACGTGACCGTTGCCACCCACCACTTGCATCGTATGCAAGGGCACTCTGCTCTCTATGCTATCATGCTCATTGCTATGCCCGTCACCAGTCCTTCAAGAGGCTCATGATGACTGTGAAAGCCATGCCTGACCCAACAATCATCGTTGCGCCCCCCGATACCCCAGGTGCTGGCCCGTCCACACAATCAGCTGCTCGCTCCTCCTCTCCCTCCCGACAGTCAATTCTTCAATCCGTCTACCACGGCCGACCCGCAATGCTCATGGCAGTCTCAAGATCACGTAGTAACTCAAATGCGTCTCAAGACACCAGTCAGGTCACAGCATACGCTGAAGATGGACACAGTACCAGCGGGAGGACGACGCCTGAGCAACGGAGAAGGGCCACCAAAGGTGCGTCAATGGCCATGTCAGGTATAGCTGACCTGATTGACTCCTAGTTGCTACCTCTTCACTACTTGCCAGCGATGCAAAGTACAAAAAATTTGCCGCTCAGGTAGATCGGAGTCTTCAATCATTTGATAATGTCAACGAATGGGCAGACTTCATCTCCTTTCTTTCTCGTCTACTCAAGGTGCGTAGAAGGTATGCAAGCTCAGAGCTTGACTGATACACAGACTCTACAAACGCCGTCACCGCCGTACTCCGAGATCCCTCGTAAACTCATCGTATCCAAACGTCTAGCTCAGTGTCTCAACCCTGCCCTCCCTTCCGGCGTTCACCAACGAGCATTTGATGTCTATAGCCACATTTTCCTTTCCATCGGCACCGAAGGCCTGAAGAGAGATCTTTTGATATGGTCATCTGGCTTATTCCCCTTTTTCCAATTTGCTGCAACTTCCGTCAGACCTTTACTGCTGAATATGTACGAGAGGTACTACCTTCCACTCCAAGATGGATTGCGGCCTGCCACCAAGGCCATGATCCTGGCTCTATTGCCCGGAATGGAGGAGGAGACGGGCGACTTTTTCGACCGAGTGAGTCTCAGCTCATGCAACAGCGCTGACTGTAGGTGCTCGCACTTCTTGATCAGTTATCATCGGCGGTCACTCCTGCATTCTTTTTCCAAACATTGTTTCTCATTCTCATCTCATCTTCTTCATCTCGACTGGCGGCGCTCAACTATCTGGCACGTCGAATGCTCAAACCTCCAGCCCAGGAACTCCTTGATTCTGGCTTGATTCTCAGAGGTGTCGCTGCCGTCCTGGAAGATGGTAACGTCCTTGTACGGAGGCAAGGCTTGGACTTGCTTTTGCGCGTCATCACCTTGGACGGTACGGTGATGAAAACTGCCGACGAAAGGGATCAGGAGTTGTTGGTACGGTCAGCAACATCTATCGTCCTGCAGCGAGATATATCCTTGAGTCGGCGAGTGTACTCATGGCTACTGGGGGCGGGCGAAACTCCTTCCGAACAAGTGGACTACTTCAGACAGCATGGTCTAGACCTTCTATGCAGGACACTTCTTGTGAGTCGCACGCTTGTGATGTAGCTGAGCCATAGGCCGATATGACAGCCACATCAGCTCGGGCTCTGGAACTGAAGCCCTTCAAGATCTTTCTCTCTTTATTAGACCGGTGGGAAATCGGTAGTCCTTTGTCTGAACGCCTCGTCATACCGGCTTTACAGCAATTGCGGAGAATGGGATGCGGATCCCCTGACCTCAATGTCACCGAGGTAGGGATAGTCTTTCTTCGAGTGTCAATATTTTGATAGCGCAGGTCATCACTACGGCTAGTGCAGTTTACGAGGGAGTGGAGCCGACGATGACTTGGCATTTATTGTCGAAAGGGATCGCGGAGCATGATTCGACAATTGAAGAACTGCTACAGTGGATCCTCCACAGCATTCCGCAGAACGATCAGGAAGTCAATGATATCCATGCGTCTTTCCTTCTTCATGCGATAGTGGATGACTTGATGGTGAGTGCCGGATATAACGGCATATCTGACATGTAGACTGTGGAGATCCCGAGCCTGAAAAGGCTTACACTAGCGGCAAAACTCCTGAATATCATCCCTCCTGCACTCATGGTACAAGCATCTTCAGCGGAGGGCAATGCGGCACAGATTGAGATCGACTTGATGAACAACAAAACATCAATGGACGAAGCGCGTGGGCTGGTGGCCTCGACCATCATCCCGCAATCTGTTTCCAAGATTTTCCAATTGAGTCACCGCATTTTGACCGAGAGCGATCAAACACCTCGCTTGATGACAGAGATCTTAGACATGATTTCCCTCTTGGTCGACAGAGACTTGCCCCTTCTGTCCACTTTGGACTCATCATCTTGGTTGGACGACTTGTTAGCAGCTCTTTCACGGGTAAGCCTTCGCAAGTATAACTGGGTCACGCTGATCATACAGACCACTGCATTCCAGGTCGTGGATCGTATCATCGTCCTTGCCCTCAAAGCTAGCACTTCGTCAGCCTTTCGTCCTAAAATCAATGTGGCCGAATCTCGAGCCATGTCGTGTTTGCTGGACGCCGTACGCCAATCATTCATCGAATACCTCAACTGACTGACAGTTGTTCCGATACTTAAAATCTGAGGCTGCTTTGTATCATGTGCGGGCTGTCGAATTGCTGTGGGAATGTAACCAGCGTGCTGAAATCCACACACTCGAAAACGTCATAGCCAGACGAATGTCCTCGCCTATACGAAGAGCTGAAGCCTTTGATGCCTTCGGAGTGTTGTGGCGTTTGTCTGGTTTGTTGGCCCTCCTCTTTTGAGATGCTTTAGCTTATGTCAGACGACTCGATTTTGCCCGGGGACATGTTTTACGTCCCTCTATGTACTCTATTGGAAACGCTCAACTCCTTGGACCCGAACATGCAACAGACGGCGGAGACGTGGCTGCGGTGCAACCTACAATCGTACTTCCGGTAAGCTCGTCACCAGTCAGTCGGTAGTGCTAACGGGACAGTGCGCTGGATCCCCTCCTCGCCCGATTGATCGACGCAGTGGAGTCGAAGGATCAAGATTTGTCAATGATGTTGCATATCCTGGGCAATGTCGCTGCTTTCTTCCGTTTTGGTGGTCACGGACTAAGCAAGGCTTGTCAGACTACGGCTCTACACACTTCTACTCATCCCGGAATACTCAAACGGGCCATTTCAGGTATTTAAAACACATTTGTCTGTTATGCAGCTGATTTGTCAGTATCGACGGACCATAGTTATCTTGAGCTAGTGACGAACATTCTCATGAGGTAAGTTTTTGTGATCTTCATACAGCTCACGTGGGCAGCCTCCTGCACACACCTAAATCAAACTCTGAAACACAATTGATTAACTCCCAACGTCAGAAAGTGCAGAGTGCGAGTTTGGACATCTTACAACAACTCGTTTCTCGAGGCGATGTCTCGTCTACTCTACAATCGCAGCTCAAGGATTGTCTCATAGAACAGCTTGGTCAAGCTGTGAAACGACGACGACTAGCATTGCAAAACAAGATGCTCCATTTGTTACATATGACTCTCAACACATCGAGCGATTCCATTCGCACCCATCAACATACACCCTCAAACGCCGATAGACCTCAAATGCCTACAGAGTTTGACATTTCCCTCGTGCGTGTCATTACTGAAGCCTTGGCCTCCCCTACCAATCGGTCCGTGGTGCAACATTGGGTCGACTTTGTGCTTCTCACCACCCCACAGTTTCAGAAGTCACGCCAACTCGTGCTTGCAATGTGTGATACGTTCAGTCAACAGGTCAAAGCTTCCGCTCTTCAACTCCGTCAATACTATTCTCGTACATCGACATGGGAAAGAGTAAATATCTTGACGGATTCGGAACCGACGATGCTTCTTTCAGCCCTGGAAAAATTGCTCGCCATCAGTCTCGGATCGAGTTCTCCTGGCAAGGCGGATGATAATGCTCACACAGGTGAGGGAGGCAGTCGTATTCTGGGTCTTGTTTCAGGAGTTTTCACTGTGGAAGCTCCTGCCATTTCTTCGGTAAGCTTTTTTCCGCATGTGATTCCGTTAGCTTCGCTCATGGATAGAGCAAAGAACGAATGGACTATATTGATGACGCCATCGAGGCTTTACTGGTGTTATGGGCCATCACCGCGGATCCCTCGTCAGATGGACCTGAAGGACCATCTCGAGTTGACGTATTTACCAAAGTCCGCGCAAGAGCTAAGAAAGTCCTCGAGAGGCTGTTCAAAATGCAACCTTCCGCCGTGATGCGGTCGTGTGTCAACGTATGGGCGGTAGCATCGAATGATGTGTCAGATGGGGCGATCTTTGAATGTGTCGATGCCTTGACGCCTAGTGCGCAAAAGGTGGTAGAACTTGTCAGTGAGATTGTCAATGGAAAAGCGTCGAGGTCATCTACGGCGGAACAACAGTCAGTCTTTATCCTTCTTCCAACAGCTTGAGCTGAGATCATAGACCCGACCCCGCTGTGCTTGCCTTTTTGGAAGCCTACGTCTCACGACTTGAAGCACCAATTGCTGTGCAAGTGTGGAGCACGATGTTTACATTCGGCCGAGAATTGTTGGGGTCGCTCAGTAGCCCTTCTACGAGACCTCAGTTATTCCCAGCTTTCCGGTGAGTATCACCTCTCCTGCGTAGCGTAGCTGGAGCTGAGTGGCAGATGTCTCACTCTATTGGGGAAGACAGTTTCAACGACAAGTGCCCTGGAGGATCGAAGACTACGTCGAGATTTGCATGTGAGTGTGTCAGAGGCCGAAAGATCGCATGACTGATCAAGAGGATGTGTATACGAAGCTGCTTGATGCCGTGGCTTCGAACGCGAGTCGTATAGCCGAGACGGGTGTTTGGGAAAGGGGTATCTTAACAGAAAAATCAATACCTAATGGTGTTGTTATGACGAGTAGTGAATCCGCTCTCAAAGCTGTTCGTACAACTTGTACTCGGAACATCCGTTCTAGCTAATGGTAGATCTACACTTTCGTCGCAAAAGAGGTCATCCCAAGTCTTCGGGTATTGCTGGTAGATTCAGATCGAGTAAATACGGCATGTACCAATCTGTCTAGCAGTATTCTAGTCCCCGCTTTCAAACAACAAAGGTCAGTCTCCCGTCACATGCTGAAATATTTGACTGACGTATAGGGTTGACACAAGTATGTTGCAAATCGTATTTGAAATGACCAAGATCCCTGCTACAGGGAAAGCATGGAGAACACAAGTTGGGGATACATTCAACGATAATCGATTCTTTTCCATGTCTTTCTCAGATTCAAACGATTGGAAACCTATCATCTGTTCATTATTCGATAGTGATAAAGAACGATTTGGAGATTTGCTCGGTTCGTCTTTTATCTCATATTTCATCCTAGAAAAAAACTGACGAGGGTAGGTCGGATCACAGCTGTACCTTCTGCCAACATCTTCACGAATCGAGAACAAGAGACCATCGCAAAAGCACTCAATTTACGTCGATTATCTTTCATTCTTTTAGCAGCTGAACGTGATCATTATCTGTTAACTTTACCCAGTATACAAGAAAAGTTGGTAGAGATTTTAAGAAGTAATGGAATACCAGCAAGAGTGGAAAGTGAAGTATGGTTATGTTTGAGAGTTATGATGTGTAGAATATCACCTCAACATTTGACTAATTTCTGGCCTGTCATTTTGACTGAACTGGTGAGTTCTCCATCCAAGTGTATTCATACGACATATCAACTCGTTCAGTCTTCACACCCCATACCTCGTTAACACTTGTTCTGATCTTTCGTCCCCACCCTCTTACCCACTGCAAAGGTCGCATCTACTAGCGAGATCTGGGAACTGGATCGTGACTCCAAGTAGGAGCTGTGCCCAGTCAGCGAGTCGATGAATATGATGTTGACTTTTAGGTTAGCGTGTTTGAAAGTACAATGGATGATCCTCCACCAGACGAATCAGATCAACTTCAATTAGTTTTATCAGCTTGCAAATTCCTCGACCTTCTCCTTGTCATTCAATCAGAAGATTTTCAAATGTCAATTATTTCCCTTCTACTCTTCTTATGACGTTTACGCTGATGAATAGACATCAATGGATGTTCGTGACTGATACTACCGATGCTGCTTTTCCTCCATCAAATTACGACACTGAAGCTATGATGGATCGTTTGGCCGAAATAATCAATGAACATTCACATTCGCAATCACATTTTTCATCGTCTATGGAGAAAATATCTTCATCTTTATCAATGGAAGATTCAACTTTGACCCTACGTCGACCCCGATTAGCAGGGGTGAAAACTTTGACCAGTTTAAACCAATTGAAGGAATTTTTTGCTAGAGCTAGTTTAGATACTTTTGAGAGTGTGTATAATAATATGGGGGTAGATTGGGATGCGGTGGAAGAAGGACTTGCAAAAGAGATTTTCTCATGATTTATAAGTATTACCTTGCTCGACATATCATCTTTCTTCTCGTAATAGAAATCACTCTTCGTGATGAGAAGTATACGCTCTTGAGCAGAAGAGGTCCTTCAGGGACAGAGATGGGATTGACTGTACTGTAGATTTAGAGAGGTATGGTGATAGAAGGATCATTTCAGTTATATACATAGCATTAGATGATCTGCAATGGGTCGTGATCTTTAGAACTGACTATGACTTCCCATCCCGGATCAAACGAGTTCAACTCAGATTCCAACCATCCACGTAAGACTTGAGAGAGAAAAGGACGCTCGGTATTGGTGTGATTGCACAAAATGACAGTTTGACCTTTCGCAATGGCAGCTAGTACTTCATGCTACCCATCAGCACCGGTTCAGCTTCGTCGAGAACGAGTAGAGCAACATGTGGACGACGATCAGGTCAAGGAAAGTTTCTTGGATAGGAAGACGAGGGGAGGGGTACAGCAATGACGATTCTTAGGTTTTCATACGTTCATTGGGAGTCATTTTCCAGACAGAGAGAGGAGTTGTTGAATGTCGTGTTGGGGGGAGTATACGGACGTATCGATACTCACATGTGACATCTCCCCAGTCAACAGTAGATCTGCGGATACACCTCTAAGTACAGAACCACCAGAACCGGCACAGACTGCTATTGACTCGATATTTTTTTGAGGATTAGGAGAAGCGACTTGAACTATAACATCAGCGTCATCACTCAATCACACTCCTTCATATCCTATCTCATTTCCAGCCAGCTTATATCTATCGAAACCTTTGAGACTCTCTAGATGACGAAAGGAACGAGAGAAAGGAGATTATGAGCGTGACGACCTTGAGGTAGGAAAGAGGGGGTTGAATGATACTTACGATGACTCAATCCCAGATGAGATTTGACCAGAGAGATGGCCTCGGTCAGAGGTAAAGCACGATCAAATGTCGCTTGACCTCCTTGACCAGCACCTTCAAACCCCTCAACAGGGTCAGATGGTGTGATAGGTCCTGAAGTTGATATGTAGGGCGTGAAAGGTTTTAGTAGCCTAAGCCTTAGCACTCGTCTCACATTTCTTCCCCTCCCCAATAGTGACCTGACGACGTCGACACAAAAGCCCCGAGAAGGTATCAGGAGCTCTGAATCCAAATAGATTCCCGGGAAGAGGAGAAATGGTATGAGAGGGGTCAGGTCCGACATGGGGAGAGCAGAGTTTCACTCACCATTTGTTGATCCCCTTTGGTGTGGCATCGAGAGAAGTATGAGGAGAGAAAACGGAGATACCTCTAGCTGCCAGACGTAATAATGATGCTTGGAGCGGGTCGGACATTGTCATTGATCTCTATATGAGCTCCAATTTCCATCTTGTCTAGGCAGAGCTCACTTGAGTGCTCTGAAGATCTGTAGGTCAATCAGATACGATCGCGTTATACCTTAAAAGTTTTTGTGATGAAGGACTCACGGGAGGATGATAAGACACCACAACGGAACATGATGGCAGAGCCAGAGCTTCGTTACATACAGCCGTTGTGAGACTGTCGTCAACACAATCCCCACCAGGCCTCCGTTTCCGATGCAGTCCATATACAGAGGTTGGTGAAAGACAGACCTACTCGATAGTCAACAGAATCTGTCTATGTCGGTGGTTGGGACTGGGAGCTTCTACAGATGTAAGTCTTTTGTAACATCGTATGGAGACGACATACCCATGATGATTCCTACCTGTCCAGTCAGCGATAGTCATCAGTTCATGGAAGAGTTTGACATTATCCCAGGCTCTCTCCGCGAGCTGAAGAGGCGCAATACGTTCCCACACTTGCTTTACAATATGTACCGGTGCTTTATTTGACATGTTGTTGTGAAAAGTGGACGAGAATGAGGGCAGAATGTCAATTGGGACAGTGACTGGTCTGTGAGGGTTAACAAGGAAAGGAGAGTAGTGAGAGGCCGACAGAAGGAAAGTAGTTAGACGGTCATTGAGGGAGGAGACTCAGCCTGTCGAGGATAGAGAGAGTTAAGTGCCGAGGGGTGGGGATCCAAGAGCAACGGATAAAGGAACAATGCGAGATAGAGAGCGCGAGTTTGTTCAGTTTTTGATGAAGTGAGTGGGTTGGAGCCCCGCCGACTACTCTACACTCTACAGGGAGATACGTCTGATGGTTCTCATCCTTTCAAGCTGGCTGTGCAAACGTCATTCAAACGTCATGGGAACGTCGTGCGGAGTTTCATCGTCGTCAAGTGGTGGTAGTGATAGTTGTGATTTGCCCATTTATGATATTGAAGAACCTGTCAACGTCCTCACACCACTTGTCTTACCGACCGGTCACATCATGCAGTCTGCGAATTCGGAGCAGGCCATACCATTCATCGTACCTGTCAAAACTGGGGAATGGAGGATAATCCCAGGTGATCGTAAGGAAGAAGTGCGTAACTCGAACAGATGGATGGGCAGAATTGGTAGGAGGAAGAAGGATACCAATTCCATCTCGACTCTTCACGGTACTAGTACAACTACGAGTGTCATCGCTGCACAAGAGACAGAACCGGTCATGGTGGAGCTCAAGATAGGTCAAACTGATTGTAGTACTACTCTTTCCCATAGGATTCTGGATGAACCAACTGACACAGATAGCAGGGTTGGAGGAGAAAAGGATGATGTGAAGACATGTACCAACCCCAAGCACAGGCATGCCATGACAATGATGACAAATATCACCACTTCACATATGACACAGCCTGTAACAACCATCACGGCTGCACCTCCACGTACAACAAATGAACCAGTGACAGACAACATGAGTATGGTAGAAACGATTGGCACCAAAGAGAATTCTATTACCATCACAAATGCTGAATTATGTAAGGCACCTCCATCAAAACACTCATGGCTTCAAAATTTTCAAAAACGTACAGACAACTGCAGGCGTGCGTTGAAAGCCTTGAGGACAAGAGCAATGGTGGAATCACAAACAGCAGCTGTCACAAGGACCACACAGACCGAACTCTCCATCATTGAAAAGACAGACTTGGACTTGATCTTCATATCGAACGTCCTTTCAGTGGCCTGGCATGTGGAGCTAATGAAGGGCAGGAAAGTGATTGAATTGAATCGAGAGTACAAGACATTGTGTAGCAAACTGACAGAGGCAGCAGATGAATTTGCCACGCAGAAATCCCGGGGTATGAAACATGTACTGAGCCTGAAAGCCACCCTGACCTCATACAGAACCTTACTTGACGGATACAATATTGATACTGCTTTGAAGGACGAAAAGGTGGACATTATAGCGGCTGCTACTAAGCTCTATGAACAACAGGTGTCACGGTCCTGTCCTTGACAGACCTCAATGGATCAAAAACATGTGGACTGCAACTGTTTAATTAGCTTGGACAATGACAATTAGTATGTTGTCCGTAGACTTGTGATGTACTCGGACGACTCAGGTTGTCATAACCCTCGAATATCTGTAAATACCACGTGCATATCATTGTCACGGGGGGTGGGCTTGTCACGGAGGACAACAGAATACAGGACTGTAACCTGAGAATGGGACTATGACCCAATGAAGTCTCTGGCTCGTCGAGAGAGTAACAGAGATGACAGAGGATGAAGTGATGACGTCAAGGGGGACAGGGGTAGCGAGGACTAGAAGTGCTGGGCTTGGACCAACTGTGTTTGACAAATAAAGAGGAGATTCATAACTGAAGAAACTACTGAAAAGTACAAGTTTATATAGACTAAAACTAGTTACCGTCTGCGAGTACCGTTTGTCACCTTTGACCACCTGTAGCTACCATCTGTAACTACCATCTGTGACTACCATCTGTAACTACCATCGGTGACTACCATCTGTGACTACCATCTGTAAATACCATCTGTAATCACCATCTGCAATCACCATCTGTGATTACCGTCTGTACTGTCCTTATCAATCCTGATTAATTATGAGTCACTATTACTTTGAGTCCATACTTATTCTGAGTCATGATTTCTGATTCATGACAGGAGCTCCCCCTCTAAGGGCGAAGTCCTCTGAGCCGGGTTAACTTACTAAGTTATTTTGTGGTGATGTGCTCTTGAAGGTGTCTTGCGGTGTGCGGAAGCGGGAGGGAAATGATGAGTTTCATCCTTGAGATGTTGACGACGGAAGGCCTTGTATGCTGAAGTCTCATAGACTTCTTCCCAAGGTTCCCACGAGTTGTGTGCTTCTGAGAAGTCTTGCCATTGGACAAGGTAATCATATCCACCATCATTGCTGATGCGTGAATCCAATATCTTGCTGACAATATATTCTTCTTGACCCTCAACCTGTATTTGAGGTGGAGGATCTTGAGGTTGATCTGGATGTCCTGGGCGTACAGGTTCTAATAGGTTGACGTGGAAGACTGGGTGAATGTTCATAGAAGGTGGAAGGTCGAGTTTAAACGCTAATGGTGATGAAGTAGCTTTAATAATCTTGAAAGGACCAAGCATGCGATAATCAAGTTTGAGACTTGGACGCAGGGTTTGAATATTCTTACGATTTAAGAAAACCATATCTCCTACTTTGAAGATTGGTTCCTGATTTTGTGTGATGTCCTTATTTTTGAAGTCGTAGAATTTGGAGTATGTTGCTTGAGCTTTCTTGATATTGTTGATCAAATCTTGACGTAAAAGGTGAAGTTTGTTGAGATGATCACTGACTGCTGGAACAGAGTTGATCAATGGAAGTGGGGGACTGGAAGGGTCTTGAGGATGATAGCCATAAAAGGGCTTCAAAAGGAGTGTGTTTTGTTGTGGCGTGAACAGAGTTGTTGTAACTGAATTCTGCTAGATCAAGTAGGCTAGACCAATTTGCTTGGTCATAGTCACAGAATGTCCGGAGGTAATGTTCTAAGACTTGATTGACTCTTTCTGTTTGACCATCTGATTGAGGATGAAAAGCTGTTGAAAAATTGGGTGTGATCCCCAGTCCTTTGACAAAGGCTTTCCAAAATTGCGAGTTGAAGATAGGTCCGCGATCTGATACTATATCTTGAGGAATTCCATGAAGTCGCATGATTTGTTGACGGAAAATTGTTGCAAGTTGGGGAGAATCAAACCCTTCTTCCTTGAATGGAATGAAGTGTGCTTGTTTGGTGAATCTATCTACAAAGACCATGATTGAGTCATAGTTGCTAGATAGTGGGAGCTTGACAATGGCATCCATAGAGATTGACTGCCAAGGTTGACTAGGAATGGGAAGTGGTTGAAGTGGACCATAGGGTTTATGTCGTGGAGTTTTGTTCCGTGCACATGTGTGGCATCCGTTGACGTAGGTGTTCACAAATTGTCGCAGGCCAGGGAAATAGTAGTGTCGAGTGAGGAGGTCATGGGTTTTTGCTTGTCCCAGGTGACCTGAAGTTGGAGAATTGTGTACTTGATGAAGCAGATCAATCTTGAGTTGGTGATTGTCTGGAACGTAGATGAGTTTCTTGAAGTGGATGATCTGGTTGAGAAGAGTGTAATCTTCGAGTGTTTCTTTGAGCTGTGGTGTTTGTGGAGTTTCTGGATGTAGCAGATAAGGCAATAGCTCTTGAAGGATTGGATCCTCAGGCTGAAGTTGCTTTATGCGTGCAATGATGTTGGAATGGATAGGAGTAGTGGGATTTGATGAAGAATGAGTAGCACTGATGACAAATTGACCAGGCTTCAGAAGAGTGTGTGGAGGTGCCTCAGCAGCTCTACTCCCCTCCTGAAGGTCTTGACGTCTCGTCAAGGCGTCTGGTTTTCCCATCTTGGTGCCAGGTCGATAATGAATCTTGAAGTCAAAATTTGCCAATAGCTCTGCCCATCTAGCTTGGCGGCGGTTGAGAACCTTTGATGTCGTAAAGTATTCTAAATTCTTATGATCCGTATAGACCACAATCTCCTTAGAACCTTCAAGGTAAGCACGCCAGTGCTTGAAAGCATCTACTATAGCAAGCATTTCTTTGTCGTATATTTCATAGTTAAGCTCCGCATTCTGAAGCTTTCTGGAGTAGTACGCCATAGGATGGAGTTGATTGTTGGTGTCCGAGTGTGATAAGATGCCAGCAATTGCAAAGTCTGAAGCATCTGTTTCTAGGACAAGGGGTTTTGATGGTTGGAAGTGTTGTAGAATTGGTGCCGTTGTGAAGGCTGTCTTGAGTTTGTTGAAAGCTTGATCTTGATCCTGACCCCATTCAAACTTGACATCCTTGCGGAGTAGTCTGGTAATTGGAGCAGTAAGCTTGGAGTATGATCGAATGAATCGTCGATAAAGTTTGCAAATCCAAGGAAGACTTGGATGTCGTGGACGGATTGAGTGCTGGCCAATCAGATACAGCTTCTACTTTCTTGGGTCCATCTTGAT